TTTTTAGTGACGTGCCTTTTTCCTTTGCAGGCCACCCAACAGATCTCCATAATAGCGGCGCGGTATCATGGGGCTAGGATGGACCTCCACGGGGTCTGAGAGCAGAAAGAAGAAGCGGAGGGGGCCCTCGCCAGTGCTAAGGAGGACGTAGCTGCCAGGGATTCCACCCTCGCCGGGCAGGCTGCTCAAATCGAGCAACTCCTCAAGGATGCCGAGTTGGCTAAGGTCAGCGCTGAAAAGCTAAGTGCTGCCCTTGCCGACGCTGAGGGGAGGATTACAGAGCAAACGCGGCGGCTCTCTGCGGCGGNATGCGAACCGGATATGATAGTAGACTTTGGTTATTGTAATAGATGCTATAGTATATTGACCATGCAATTGCTACTTTCACCTCCTCCTTCCCCTCCATAACCCAATGCATTTTCAAGAGAGTAATTTCTTTGTGAAGGTTTTTCTTTCTTTCTTGTTGTTATGATGCATGTGGCTTAAGAGCATCGGACATATATTTTACTTAAAATATTCATTTCACAGGACCAAATTTCCAGATTGAATGAGGAAAAAGGATCATTGAAACAAAATTTGGATGCCACAAATGCAGCTTTGTGTGGATATAGAAATGAAAGCTTCAAGACACCAGTAAACAGCCCTAATGTGCTCAAGGTGACATTTGAAGTTTGGACCTGTTTTATTTTGAGACTCATAAGAGTTGATTTATCTGATCATTTCTGTAAGGCTGCAGTTGGTTCAGATTTTGGAATTGGCAATCATTGTTATAACACAAAGAATTGAATTCTTAGAATTGCAAGTTTGTAGAATTTGATTGGAGTTAACATTTTTTGGTGTTAATTGGAAATAACATAACAGACTGTCATATAGTTTGATTCTAATGATAGTGGGTTACTCGTTTATGTGGTAGTGCTTGACTATGGTATAATATACAGGTGGATGCATTATTATGCAAGTCTTTGAAATAAAAGCCCCAGGAAGTTGAGTTTTGTTTTTTTGGACGAGATGTAAACTATCCTTGTCAGCCCTAGAAGTGTGAAAGAGAATTCGAATTGCCAGTTTTTAGTTTGATTAGCTTGTAATTGGTTTGTAGGACTCATGTAGCATAATAATTTTTTCCGAAATCTCATCATAAAATATGCCGGAATATCCTATGCAACTTGGTGATTAGAAAAGATGACCCCCCCTGTAACAATTGGTGTGCAGTTCATCTCATCTGCCATTTCTTGTTGTGGTGTCTTTTCCTTCCATCATCATTCTACTTTAATATTTGACAGTGGTAAGGTTGCTCCATGGATACCTAGATGTTAAAGGTTTGAGTCATAGAAACTATGTATAGGATAAGAGGAATGTTAACATGAGTCAATTCCAAATTTAGGAAGAGTAATTGTTTTTTTTTCCTGGTCAGGGAAGACTAATTATTAAATGGGTTGGTCAGGTGTGATTCTTTGGCTACTTTATTTCCTTCTGCTATTGGAATCTAGCAGGATATATCATTTCGTTGAAGGAGTTGATATCAAAATTTTCATCTATGCAACTGTTCATGCCCCTGTAGGAGTGAGGGGGCCATGACAATTAGAGGGTGACATAGCTAGTAAATCATAATCACGGGCCTTCGATCATATAAAAGACTGAAAATTTGTTTCTTACTTTTTAATAATTTGAAATCCTTTCAGGAGCTGGATGTTTAAGAGTGTTAACAATCTTGGTTGAATAGAAGTACTTCATGCGTATATCTTTGGGTAGGGCTATAAAACCTTTGGTTCACTAATATTATGCTTTTGGTGATTAAAATTTTGTTGTATGTTCCATCTGATGCACATGATGCCTTGAATAATAGTTTTTCCAACTGCATTGCCTTTTGATAGTTTACATTATACTGTCTGATATTTTAATCTGTCTCAATAATGTTATTGCTGTTGGTATTCTCACCATTATTATTGGGATATTGATGCTACTGCATCAAAGACAACTAACTTCATGGGATGAGCTTTTTTTTTTTTCCTTGAATATTTTATGAAGGGAATTCTTACGTATTCCCATCAGATATAGGCTGATCAGATTTCTGGAATATGTTTAGGGGAGTAGTGATCAGTTATCCAACCGCCAGCATAAAGCTGTAATGAAAAATAGCACCAATGGTGTGGTTTCTAAACAGGACAGAATGAGCAACGGAAGCACACATTACAACATGCAAGGCAATATTAAGGTATTAACCCACCTTCTCTTCTGTGTAGTTTTGTTCCGGCAAGTGCATATCTTGCTAGGGAGTTTGGCAATTGACTATTGGTGATTAATATGATTAATATGCATCACTTACTCATGGCATAGGCTGGATCGTGATGTTTTAATTAGTAATTGGACTCNCGGCAAGTGCATATCTTGCTAGGGAGTTTGGCAATTGACTATTGGTGATTAATATGCATCACTTACTCATGGCATAGGCTGGATCGTGATGTTTTAATTAGTAATTGGACTCTGTGTGCCAAATTTCCTAATATTTTTTGAGTAGCAGCGCCTTTACATGCAGTAAATACTTTTGGTTAATTTATTTGTAAGCATATTTCTTGGAAAATATTTGTCGTTTTATTTATTTTTTCTTCCTTTTTTGCCTCCCTCAAGTCTCTAATAATGTTTTGGATTTGCTCTTTGTCAATGAATGTGACAACTGATATATTAATGCCTTCTAGGAGCTTGCAGATTTGCTAGAAGAGAAAAACAAATCTTTGGCAGAGATGCAAGCAACTCACGAATTGCAAATAAAGCAGTTGGGTGTGGAACTTGATCAAGAACGTGGCAAGTTGGCAAATGTGCATCTAAGATTACAAGGTATTTTGCAACTCTTAGACAATCCAGTTTTTGATAATCTGTGTTCTGTCATCTTGAGCATTTAATCTGATAATCTACTTTCATTCTTAGAGGAGCAGAAGTTGAATGAATCTTTCCAGCAGGAGCTGAACTCGTTAAAAGTGGACAGAGATAATGTGAGTTCTGTCTTGGTTCCTGCCTTAGAACTGATGGCTATTAATGCCCTTTGAGACTGCATAATTATAGCTGATTCGAATTTATATTTGTCTTTTAATCTTAGTTTGGATCATTTTGTAAAATATTGAGACAGTTCATGTATTATTCTCAAGTTGATCCTATTTTCTGACTTACATATCTGCTATAATATTTCTTTGATTGATCCTGTCAGCTTTTCAAATGGACCTAGCCTCTGTGTTCCCTGTTTTCTTCTTGACCATTTATGTGTGGGGGAAGAGCCAGATATCCTCAAAAGGATTCTGCTTTCTGGTTCTTTAGAACTTATGAGTGGGATTGTCATGTGTTTTGCTATCTACTTTACAAAGATAAATAGTTTCTGGTGGTTATATTGAGAAAATTTTCTATTGTTCTCGGTAATTAGTATGTGTGTGAGAGCAAAACATGTAGTTTAATATGCAATACTTGGTTCTCGGATTACTAAACGTTCTTTTTTTCTTCTGTTGTGTAAACCTTTGTTTCTTTTTGCAGACCTTCACGGAGATGGAAAAAACCCGTGATGAATTAGATAAAAGAATATCAGATATAAAACGATTGGAAATGGAGTTGCATAGGAGGGACAATGAAGAAGCAGATGACGAAGTGGAGAGCCTGAAAAGAAGAATAGCTACACTTGAGATGGAGAACAGTTCTCTTAAGGTTTATATCTTTGTGTAATATGATTCCTACTGCTTAAAAGCATCTCACGTGTAATCTGTGCACTGTTTTTCATTAAAGATTACCTTCATCCTAAATTAACATTTTTGGCTGTCTTAGGCATTAAACCTTCTTTGATATTATTCGATTCATGCTAGGTTGAAAAAGATGGCCTTGAGGCTGCGTTGAGAGTGGCCAGTAATTCTTCGGGGCACAAAATTTCAGATGGGACTTCAAATAAGAATTCCAATAGTTTGAATGGGGTGGGTTTGATCTAGCTTTGGTAACTGTGGGGAAATACCCTTTTTTCTGTCATTTTTTGCTTGGGTCTCTACTTAAATGCTTGTTTTTGGCCTCATTTTTTCCGTTTAGAAAACTGTTTGGTTGTTTCACTTTGTTGAGTCTTCAAGGGTGATGCTCTTGTGTGGTTTCCTCATTCTGTGGTTAATATTTCTTTGTAGACGGCACTCTCAGAAGGTTTTCCTGAAAAGGAAGAAATGGAGCTATCTTTGCAAAAACTAAAGAGTGACTTGAAGGAAACACGCAACGCAAGGGACAAAGNGTTTCCTCATTCTGTGGTTAATATTTCTTTGTAGACGGCACTCTCAGAAGGTTTTCTGGAAAAGGAAGAAATGGAGCTATCTTTGCAAAAACTAAAGAGTGACTTGAAGGAAACACGCAACGCAAGGGACAAAGCATTGCAAGAACTAAGCCGTCTTAAGCAGCATTTATTAGAGAAGGTTATATATCGCTAACTTCCATACTAGTCTTGGAGGAATTGGCTTTTTTTCTTATTTTTACCTTTATAGTTTGCTTCACATAGCATGTTGTGCCAGCCAGTTAGCTATTTATGATGTGGTCTTATTTTGCACAGAACATACACCCCTCTAAATTTCTGTGTTGTAGGTTTTGTATTTCTTTCGAGTGGACAATGACTTCTTCATGTTAACTAAATAAATATTATGTTGTAGGATTTGTAACAATAATATAATGCTTGGTTTAGATGTGTCTTTTTTTAAAGTGAGCTATATCTTCTGTCAAATATTTATTGTAAATTTTAATTAGATTCAGACCAAAGCTTCATGATATGAACTTGTTAATTGTTGAGGCTTTTGTCAATCACTTATTTGGCCACTATAAATAATAGGTTCCCTTAGAATAGATTATGGACTTGGGGATTTTGTTGCCCCAGCATCAGTATCATTGCCTTTGTATCACTGATATTCTATACATCTTGAGTAAGATTAATCTTTTAACTTTCTGCAGTCAAAATTGAGGATGGTTTCTCTTGCTGCCATATTGTCTAGGAATCCGAAGAATCGGAAAAAATGGATGAGGACAGCAAGATCATTGAACAATTACGAGAAAATAATGAATATCAAAGAACTCAAATACTACGTTTGGAGAAAGCCCTGAAGCAAGCAATCACAAGTCAGGATGAAGTCCGAATGATTAATAACCACGAGTTGCAGAAGTCTAAGGAAATAATTGATGACCTAAATAGAAAATTGGCAAACAGTACGAGCATAATAGAAGCCAAGAACCTTGAAGTTCTTAACCTTCAAACTGCTCTTGGCCAGTACTATGCTGAAATGGAAGCTAAGGTAAATGTTCTCCTTTTGCGTTAGAAAAGGAATTGTAGACTAGAACCATGCAGCTTTAATGTTATACCCTTTTTAATTCTTATTCAATCTTCTGCTTGTATGTGGTTAGGACCGTTTGGCAGAAGATGTAACTGTGGCAAGAGAACAATCATCGAGACTTTCAGAGCTTTTGAAGGTGTAATTCTCCCTCATATTTTTCTTTTTGTTGTTGACTAGATAATGGTTGCAAGTTTTTCATAGAACTCGCACATCTTGGGGAAAGGGGATAGGAGACGTACTCCCATAGCTAACCACAGTTCGGGGTGTTTCCTGTGGTCCCAGGGCCACTGCACCATCCCATGCCTTCCTATTCTCCCTCACATTTCATTTTTATGATTTTAACTCCTCCATTCTTTTTAGAGTTGTTCTTTTTTGCTTGGAAAGATTACCTGTAGGCATTAGCTTTGATTTTTTTTTTTTGAGAGTTAAAATGGGATATTTTTCATGATAGAAAATATAAGATAACATCCTTTACATTATAAGATCATTCTGGACTTAAAATTGTATTCTTTCACCAGGATGCACATCAGCAAGCAGAGGTTTCAGAGAGGGAAAAGGAAGAAATCTTGGCAAAGCTTTCTCAAGCTGAAAGAACGCTAGCAGAAGGGAAAAACAGATTGAATAAGCTTGAGGAAGACAATGAGAAACTACGCCGTGCTCTAGAGCAGAGTATGACAAGACTCAATAGGATGTCAATGGATTCTGATTTTTTTGTTGACAGGTTAGTCTTCATGAACTACTTGATTTTTTTATACACGTGTGCAGTTTTATGCTGGTGGAGTACAAGTATGGCAGCTTAATTCCAGATATTTTTTTTATGCATCTTGCATTCAAGAAATGTTTGTTTTTTTTTTGATATGTTCAAAGAATAGTTGCAAATTAAATGGAATAGTTGAATGAAAGTTTCAAACAGATGAATGTGTTTGGTTTGGAAGATTGCCTGGGTTGTCTGTTTAGATATATTGGGATGGAATTAGAATGTAGTCAACACACATGCAGTTATAAACAATGGCCAAAGACAATATAATATTTTGTGAAGCTTTTAAACTGCCTTCTTGATTTTGCCTCCTATATCATGGTTATCAATATTTTCTCCTTGTTGCATGCATTTATGTTATCCATCTGTTCAAGATTTCTGCTTCATTAAGAACTCTAGCCATTCCAATATGAAACTAATGCTATTTAATTAGATTCCTCAGCCTGTGATGTGTATTTTGTTGAATTCTTTTTTCCACCACAACTTGCCCAGCTATCACCACTACATTAGCTTCTGACACTAAACCTATCAAATCCGCCTTAGTATTTTCAGCCCAGCGTGCTCACTACTGCTAAAACTGCCACCACCATGACCATCGCCATCACTATCTGCATCACCACCTATTCTATATCTACCTTGAGAATTGCATTGTACTGGTCCTAATACTTTACTGATGGTTGTGTTGTTTAAGGATCAAAATTTCATTTCAAAACAGTCAAAACGTCCGAAACGTTTCCGTTTTCAAGAAGACCGAAACGAATTAGTGATGAAATTGAAATTCTAATATTTCGAATTGTTTCGTAATGTTTCAAGATAATTTATATTATTTCAATGTATTTGCACAATTGTTTCGCATGTTTCATGGTATTTCAAGATTCTTTGTTTTATTTCGACCAATATTTGAAAAAATAATTCTTAAATTTTTTTATATTTTTCATTCTGTTTTCAAAATGGGTTGAAATGTTTCCGAAACACGTCGTTTCTTTTTCTTAGGTGACCGAAACAATGTACCGAAACGAAATTTTGATCCTTGGACTGTTGTTACATTTGGAAACTGCTTTAAGCTGTCCGTTACGTAGGACTGTGTGCAACACTTAACATAGTATAATCATGCCCATGGTTTTACTTGCATGACAGCCATAANTGTGATGTGTATTTTGTTGAATTCTTTTTTCCACCACAACTTGCCCAGCTATCACCACTACATTAGCTTCTGACACTAAACCTATCAAATCCGCCTTAGTATTTTCAGCCCAGCGTGCTCACTACTGCTAAAACTGCCACCACCATGACCATCGCCATCACTATCTGCATCACCACCTATTCTATTTCTACCTTGAGAATTGCATTGTACTGGTCCTAATACTTTACTGATGGTTGTGTTGTTTAAGGATCAAAATTTCATTTCAAAACGTCCGAAACGTTTCCGTTTTCAAGAAGACCGAAACGAATTAGTGATGAAATTGAAATTCTAATATTTCGAATTGTTTCGTAATGTTTCAAGATAATTTATATTATTTCAATGTATTTGCACAATTGTTTCGCATGTTTCATGGTATTTCAAGATTCTTTGTTTTATTTCGACCAATATTTGAAAAAATAATTCTTAAATTTTTTTATATTTTTCATTCTGTTTTCAAAATGGGTTGAAATGTTTCCGAAACACGTCGTTTCTTTTTCTTAGGTGACCGAAACAATGTACCGAAACGAAATTTTGATCCTTGGACTGTTGTTACATTTGGAAACTGCTTTAAGCTGTCCGTTACATAGGACTGTGTGCAACACTTAACATAGTCTAATCATGCCCATGGTTTTACTTGCATGACAGCCATAACCTTTTGACACACCAACACCTCTACCAAGTGTCGTAGTTGTCAGCCCAGAATTCCTCTACGCCTCTCATAAGAAGAGCTTTAGTCTTAGATTTGGAATTGACATGTTTTGCTAGCTGTCTTGTATTGCATGATTATTTGAGAAAATGAAACAGCATGGTTGTAATGACAGATTACTGGTAACTTATTGCAGGCGCATTGTGATAAAATTGTTGGTGACTTACTTCCAGAGAAACCACAGCAAAGAGGTATTTTATTACTATAAAATAAGATTTTTGTTTCATAATTACCAATGTTTCTTATATCTCTTAATTTGAATCATGTGAAAGAATTGCAAATATCAGGCCCATGTTCTCATACCCAAAGACTCTTTGTCCAAACAAATGGTGGAAAAAACCAAAATGGTTTAGTTGATGGATCTTTCTTTTCTCCCGTATGTAGAGAATCCACATAAGGCAGAGCAATTGATTTTTAAACTTCGAGAAACAGTTGGTTTGTTAACTTCCTTTGGTTTTTCCTCCATACACCAGGTTCTTGATCTTATGGTTCGCATGCTGGGATTTTCTGACGAAGAGAAGCTGAGAATAGGGCTTGCTCAGCATGGAGCAGGTAAAGGTGTTGTTCGGGGTGTCTTAGGTCTCCCAGGCCGTCTAGTTGGTGGCATCTTGGGTGGTGGTGGTGGTGGTTCAGCCGAAGTTCCTGCGAATATGGCATCTGATAAACAGGTAACATTTTCCTTTTATAAGAACTGTAGAGTTTTTTTACCTTACATATTCTCCCTTCAAGATGTTCTGGTCACCATAGAACGTGTGTAGGTTTCTGTTTGTAAGGGCACACAAAAGTACAATGTGTGCATGTTGTCTTTGTGAATTTTTCCCTTCACAAAGGCAAGAGAATGTCCTTTTGAACCCCATTCTCCGTGGCTTTTCTGTTGTGTGTACATCTTTTGGATTGAGTTCACTTTGCATAATCTAGACTTTTGCTGCCCTCCAAAGATCAACTTGGTGGTTGAACTTTCGTTTTTTCCTTTTCCCCTCCATCTTCTCTCTTATAAGAGCAGTGCTAGGGATCTCAAGTTTGGGATTCCAAACAAATATAGACCCTTGATTCAATGGGTCCCATTAACCTTTTTGTAATGAGACCCACTCATCCAAGGTCCCTACTCATTTGGGATGCAATTTGGGATTCAAAGTATTACCCCTCTAATAATAGTGGGTGTCCTTGCTAAAAACGTTAATGCTCACAAGTTCATTCTCTAATTCCTGCTGCACTATTTTTTCTAGTCCTTTGGGGATTTGTGGGTTGATTTCCTTCTCAAAGAAGCTGAAGAAAGAGAAAAAAGAGAATCTGCAGAAGCTGTCAATGGATCTAAGGCAGACCAACAAAAAGGAAGTCCAAATGGTAAAGGAGCAGCTGCTTCATCTCTACCTGATAATACTACGAATGCTACGGCAGCTGCTTCTGGTTTCTCAAGATCAAACCCTTTTCTGGACCATAACCGAAGTCCCTTGTCTCGTGGAGATTTTTTGCATTCCGGCGGCCACTCTGATTTGGAGTTTTCAACAGTGTCTCTCACTTCATCAGAAAACAGTTCTCAAATTTCAAGATTCCCTCCAAGATACTGAAAACTTTGTAATTAAGAAAAAAGAAAGAAAGAGGTATAGGTCTGTTTTTGTCGTGCAATTTGTTTCATTAATTCTTTCAACCATGTGTTGAAACGAAAGCNCTAAAAACGTTAATGCTCACAAGTTCATTCTCTAATTCCTGCTGCACTATTTTTTCCAGTCCTTCGGGGATTTGTGGGTTGATTTCCTTCTCAAAGAAGCTGAAGAAAGAGAAAAAAGAGAATCTGCAGAAGCTGTCAATGGATCTAAGGCAGACCAACAAAAAGGAAGTCCAAATGGTAAAGGAGCAGCTGCTTCATCTCTACCTGATAATACTACGAATGCTACGGCAGCTGCTTCTGGTTTCTCAAGATCAAACCCTTTTCTGGACCATAACCGAAGTCCCTTGTCTCGTGGAGATTTTTTGCATTCCGGCGGCCACTCTGATTTGGAGTTTTCAACAGTGTCTCTCACTTCATCAGAAAACAGTTCTCAAATTTCAAGATTCCCTCCAAGATACTGAAAACTTTGTAATTAAGAAAAAAGAAAGAAAGAGGTATAGGTCTGTTTTTGTCGTGCAATTTGTTTCATTAATTCTTTCAACCATGTGTTGAAACGAAAGCAATTCCCTGTAATTATCGTTATTGTGCAAATACATCAACAGATGAAGGGATTATTGATTTATAAAACTGCTCAAAGCGTCCTGATTATACCGGGAAACCAGAGGCAATTCATTTATGGGGGTATTCTCTATATTCCATTAGCATAGTCGAAAATTAGTTCTAATGTAATCCTCGGATTAATATCCATTTGAAATTTCATTAAAAATTAATACATTTGTCACCCATGTGAATTGCTATTGGGCAAAAGTGTAAACTCAATTTATATTCTCGAGTGACATGTGAATCAATTTGTAATGAAATTTAAAACAAATGTTAGGCCAGANTTCTCAAATTTCAAGATTCCCTCCAAGATACTGAAAACTTTGTAATTAAGAAAAAAAAAAAGAAAGAGGTATAGGTCTGTTTTTGTCATGCAATTTGTTTCATTAATTCTTTCAACCATGTGTTGAAACGAAATCAATTCCCTGTAATTATCGTTATTGTGCAAATACATCAACAGATGAAGGGATTATTGATTTATAAAACTGCTCAAAGCGTCCTGATCCTGATTATACCGGGAAACCAGAGGCAATTCATTTATAGGGGTATTCTCTATATTCCATTAGCATAGTCGAAAATTAGTTCTAATGTAATCCTCGGATTAATATCCATTTTAAATTTCATTAAAAATTAATACATTTGTCACCCATGTGAATTGCTATTGGGCAAAAGTGTAAACTCAATTTATATTCTCAGAGTGACATGTGAATCAATTTGTAATGAAATTTAAAACAAATGTTAGGCCAGAGCAACATTGGATTTACGACATTGCAGGTGCAATGTGAAAAGAATAATCTTTTGAGATGCAAAGTGAGAATTGAGATATTTTTTAGGGTACAAAGTGCAAAAAGCCCTTTACTATATGTTTTTATAGGCAAAATTCACCATCACATAAAAAATAGACAAATACCATCCAAAAATCTGCAAACAAATTAAAATTAAGTACAAAACCCATGTACAAGGCACTGAGGACATTTTGTACTAAAAGTAATCACCAAAACACATCCGGTTGGTGAGCAGGCCATTGCTGCTAGTAACAAAATATTCACACAACATATCAAGCTTACAGACAAATTCCAAATTCATCCAATTGAGAACCTAAACACAAAAAACAGCAGAAAACATCATAAAACCATGGCTGAGACAAATACACAAAAAGCCGGTTACATCCTAAAACTAGTTGCCACCTAAATCTCTAACAAGAGGAAAGAGTACCTCAACTTCTCTAAGCCCTCTTCTTGTCTTTTGATGGCCCTCTTGGAATTTTACTCAGAACCTTGGCACCAAACACGGCATACTGCTTCTTGATCTCAACAATTGCTTTCTCTGCAAATGAATCAACCTTGTCTTCATACTTCTCATAGATAACAGGTACAGTGTGCAGCAACACAAAAGCTGTTTCATCAAAATCAAGACTCCCAACTTAGAATGAAAAATAGGAAAGTGGTTATAAAGTAAAAAATAAATAAAATAAATAAAAGGTAACTAAAGCTTTTTATTGTCCTCACATATATAGAGCAACGTCAAGAAATTCCACCAACTCCCCACAACTGAGAGCACCCACAAACCAGCAATAACCTGAGAACAACACCACAATCTACAAGAGTCAGCAGATCATAACCAGAGAGAGTAGTCACGACACAGGGCATACAATTAAAAAAGTAAGATATTTCACCAAAATAGGGCAATAAAATTTGGTATTTAGCCAAAATTACCAACTTACATTCAGATTTGGACTAAAAGAGAGAAGCAATTTAACTAAAGTTCAACTGACATCATTTTCTTAAAAACGAAAAATACTGCAATAAAAAGATAAATAAATGAAAAAGAAATTAACATAGAGAGTGGCAAGCCCATTTCACTTCTATTGTTGCTGCCCTCTCTAAAGAGTAACTCAACATTCAGTTCAAAGTGAATAGAATTTATTCTTAAAGAAATTGGAAACAAAACCAGGGCAGCCAAAGAAATATATTCTTGCCAACCCACAGATTAAAGATAGTGCTGAAAATGTTGACTCACAAATCACATTTTTAGATATCATTTGAGGTGCTATATCCACTCATTTATGCATCTAAGTAAAAAGCACAAGTTCAATAACAACAGAAACTACCCCAAAAATGGCATTCAAAAGTCTATCAAGGCAACTTATTTCGAGGAAAAATATCAAAATAAACTGAAAATAGAAAACATACAGCTAGAAACTTCTTCAGATCTCTCCCAGAAGCAATATCTCGCAACATAGCAAGACCTCGGTTAATTTCAATCCTTATAGCATAAGCAACTTCAAGGAATGGGTCCTTAGGAATGTGCACTTCTGGGATACGTGGAGGTGACCTACAGATTAAACAGTTAGGCTACATTCCAAACCACAAACTAGTCACATAGTAAAAGCAAAAACGATTGAAAGACCCAATAAACCTACTTGTTAATAAAGTTTGAAGCATTTGACCACAAGAACAAGACTGCGAGCGTGAGGATTAAAGTGTGACAAACTAGAGCGAGCAGATGATACTCAACCAACTCAAAGAGAACCCAGATTGCAGTCACCCCACCAAGAACTGAGGCAGATATTTTTTTGTTCCTCCACAAGAATACATCAGCAGCTGCTCCATAATGATCACACCAATTCAATTTTATACAAGTAAAATCAAAACTTGTGAATTTGACAGGAAAAAGACATCTTCAATCTTTTTAAATATATTTCATTGTTTTCCGATCACATTATACTATATTAGGTTTTGACTTAACTGAATAAGAACAGTGAAAACACACACATCATCAACGTTTACCATGCTACTCACCTCAACTAATGGAAAATAATTATTGCGGATTAACTGAGTGGATCATCCATTCAGAGGTCGTATGTAGAAAACAAATTCACGATCCAATTAATTTCTTGTTCTTTAACTTTTCCTACATTTTTACCGTCACAGCAAACTCAACTTCTTCAAATCACACAATTATGTGCACAAATCTACCGAACATTTCGAGCTGATGTAAGTGCACCTGAAGTTACTACAAACTCTATTCCATTATCCATCCAAATCTCACTCTTCGTCTGTGCTGTATTGCAATCACTAAAACCTCTCACATCAACATAAACATATACAATCGCTTNCCTGAAGTTACTACAAACTCTATTCCATTATCCATCCAAATCTCACTCTTCGTCTGCGCTGTATTGCAATCACTAAAACCTCTCACATCAACATAAACATATACAATCGCTTATGTGTCTGCGTGCGAGTTTAATCCAATTTTAACGGATCTAAAGACACTTCAAAGTTCAAACCTCCAAAACCCTAATCTACTCCATAAATCTATAGCATGTCCAAAACCAAATAAGACGTAGAAGTATATGTATAGAGAAAAGAAGTGTACGTTTTCCGCCACCGAAGACCTTGTGAACCGGTTTCTCCCTACCGAACAGCCGCCAAATCTTGGCCTTATTTGACGACGGCGAAGCTAACTTCGGAGGCGCTGATTTCTTCTCGGAATCTGAGTCCGACGACGAAGAATCGTCACCGTGAAGCTTCTCCGTTATCTTATCCAACAACGACTCTCCTTTCGGATCCGAATTCTCTGCGTGTTCGGCCATATCAAACACAGAGCTCCGATTCAATTCCCAAATTAGAAGTTCCAACGAAAACGAAACTGTGATTTGTGCAACGAAAGTTGTTAATCGGTGGAATTCTTGTGAGCTGTGAAATGAGGGTTTTGTGAGGGAAATAGAAAGTGAATATGAGCGATTTTATTGTATACAATCTGTGGGCTATATACCTGTAGGAAGTCGAGAAGGGTACGACCCTCAGCTTTAAATCCGAAGCAGCTGGTTTGGAGGTNGTGAGCTGTGAAATGAGGGTTTTGTGAGGGAAATAGAAAGTGAATATGAGCGATTTTATTGTATACAATCTGTGGGCTATATACCTGTAAAGGATATAAATTTGACGGCCAGGATTTGATGTGGGGAGTGAGGACAGTGAAGATTGTCTGGTCCTGTGGAGCCTTTATGTGAGCAGGGCTGCCGACCTGGTAAAGGTGTGCTGGACGGCTACTTTAGTTTTTTTTTAGAAAATGGAATAGAAGTATCTTTTTTAGAATTTATTTGGCTTTAACTAGAGATTTTTAAATTTATTTTTTTTAAGTATTTTTTTATTAAATAGTTGTCAATAAATACATATTTTTAAATTTTTTATAAAATTTATTTCATAATTATCTCTACCATAAATAATGTATACCTACTTGAATGTAAGACTTTTAATATTATAATATGAGATTTTCAAGATTACTTTTGACATTTGTATATCATTTAAATTTTGATATTTCATATATATATATATACACACACACACACACACACACATATATATATATAAACACACACGTAATACAGTGACACGTTCAACAAAAAAATAGTAATATCAAACAGTGACATGCTAAAAAAAAAGAATAACATCAAACAGTAACACACTCAACAAAAATATTTGTGTTACTATTTTTTTTGTTGAGTGTGTCATTGTTTGATGTTATTCTTTTTTTTGTTGAGCGTGTCACTGTTTGATGTCACTGTATTACATGTGTGTGTGTATATATATATATATACATATAAAATTTTAAAATTCAAATAATACATAAATATCAAAAAAAATTTTAAAAATCTCACATTCAATTAGGTATGCACTATTAACAATAGTGGTAGAAGGATTTTTATGACTTTTTTTTAGCTTATGTACTTCTATCTCAATTATTTTAAAAAATATACTTTTATCTTATTAAATTTTTTAGAAGGTATCAGCCTTTTTTAAGCCNCAAAAAAATAGTAATATCAAACAGTGACATGCTAAAAAAAAAGAATAACATCAAACAGTGACACACTCAACAAAAATATTTGTGTTACTATTTTTTTTGTTGAGTGTGTCATTGTTTGATGTTATTCTTTTTTTTGTTGAGCGTGTCACTGATTGATGTCACTGTATTACATGTGTGTGTGTATATATATATATATAATTTTAAAATTCAAATGATACATAAATATCAAAAAAAATCTTAAAAGTCTCACATTCAATTAGGTATGCACTATTAACAATAGAGGTAGAAGGATTTTTATGACTTTTTTTTAGCTTATGTACTTCTATCTCAATTATTTTAAAAAATGTACTTTTATCTTATTAAATTTTTTAGAAGGTACTGGCCTTTTTAAGCCCTAATTTTTTTAGTATTGGACTTTCATACATCAATGTGGGCTCCACATACCTGGAGATGCCCTAGAGTACGTTAACGGCCCTGGCCCGGCCCATTGGTTGAATTACTCTTCGTTCATATTGTAAATAAGAGAAAATTGTCACAAAGGTGTTATTGGTCATTAATAAATTAACATTTAAGTACGTGTATCCTATTTAATTTAATAATTACTATTTAAGTAAGAAAATAATCACACTATATAAAGAAATGATACCCCAATACATATAAAATATTTTTATGTTATATTAATTTATTATTTTTATAATAAATATCTATTAATCAATCAAACTCATGATAAAATCGCTAATGTCAACCACCGGCCACTATTATGTTGTTGCTAACAAATACTATTATTTTANTTGGACTTTCATACATCAATGTGGGCTCCACATACCTGGAGATGCCCTAGAGTACGTTAACGGCCCTGGCCCGGCCCATTGGTTGAATTACTCTTCGTTCATATTGTAAATAAGAGAAAATTGTCACAAAGGTGTTATTGGTCATTAATAAATTAACATTTAAGTACGTGTATCCTATTTAATTTAATAATTACTATTTAAGTAAGAAAATAATCACACTATATAAAGAAATGATACCCCAATACATATAAAATATTTTTATGCTATATTAATTTATTATTTTTATAATAAATATCTATTAATCAATCAAACGCATTATAAAATCGCTAATGTCAACCACCGGCCACTATTATGTTGTTGCTAACAAATACTATTATTTTAAGTTTTGAATCCGAACAACACACAAAAAGACCCGTTAATAGTCAAATAATTAGTGAACCTGCAATTTATTACTCTAGATTAATTTTGATATGTTATTAAGATTTTTATATTGCTATCATAGACGTATGTTTGACTTCTAATGAAAAGATTATGGATTAGTTTAAGTCTTATTGGACATGGATTTTTAGTATTTAGTTCATCCCAAGAATGAATTAAGCTCATTGTATAAAAAATTAATCAAATAGATTCGAGCGTATGATGTTAAACTAGAGCCTAGCTTTGATAGAATTCGGGCTCGGCAATCAAGCTTGAATCAAGTTCTAGCATACCAAGATCGGCTAAATTAACACCCTACTTTTTAAGTACCATTTTGGATGAAGTCTTACTAATTTCATAACATCTTTCATCTACAAACAGTTGTGTGATCTGAATATTGAAAATTATAGGCCAAGCACAGAACCAACTCTATGAACACAACTGCTTTTCATATCCAATGACTCAAAACTATCAACCACAGGGCTGTGCGTTGACAAAATTCTTAAGACACGAGGANTCTATGAACACAACTGCTTTTCATATCCAATGACTCAAAACTATCAACCACAGGGCATTGCGTTGACAAAATTCTTAAGACACGAGGATAAATCTCATTCTCCAGTGTAAGAAATCATCGGAATGGTCTCGGTGGCTTTTCTAAGATGGCAGAGAAGAATACCTCTCTGTGATCATTTTTATCCAGCTTTGGTAGAATAACCCATTTATGCTTCTTATACCTTAGCATCTTAAATGCTTCCAAGTAGTCATCCAAATCCTGCTTCAAACAGAAGAAGCTATCAATCCACAGCAATCCTCCTGGCCTCAAAACTCTGTCCCAATCATATAATACAAAGTCCAGCAGCACATAATCAATCCACCCATCAAGAAATTTCGTCGTGTGAATCAGATCCAAAGTGTTTTCAAAGAAGGGAAGGCGTTGATTGATAGATAAGTAAAGTGGGATGAGCCCACGAAGAGCGATCATTTCGTTGAAGGGTGCCCCAAGATTGATTGTTGCAGAAACTATTGTGACATTGAATTCCCTCATTCTAGCAGCAAAAGTCCCGGTGCCAACGCTGAAATCCAAGCCAATTCTAATCTCTCCTGACTTCAAGTTGAGCACTTCAGTGATAAGAAAATCTGCAGTCAGTTTTGAGTTTGGGTCCTGATATGTTAGTTTAACCCATCTGGGCATTTCGTGATGAGTGAGATTGAAACAATCAGCACACTTGAAGAACCCCTTGCGGGTTGAATTACTACCCAGGCAAACGAAGTTCTTGCATCTGTACTGACTCCATTGGACATTTCGATCATCAGGAAGCATCCACAGAGACTCATTGATAGGAAATGGTTTATCGTATAGTTTAGGAGCTCTCGAGAAGCACCTCCTCCTTGGCAGTGGATCACACCCATGAACCATCAGTTTTTGAGCCAGTTTCCAGTCATCGTTGCAGATTTCACCAATATCATAATCCATGTACTCTTCAAGATCTTTCTTCATGGCAAAACAAGCATGGCCAATGCTAGTAAAAGTTCCATTAGCTCCCATGAAATTCTGTTTTCCTAGTCTGTTGGGTTTGACTCTGACATACTTTCGGATCTCTTCAATCAAGAAGTACTCAGCAGGATCATCGGGTTTTTGCTTCGGTCTTGATAGAGGATGCAGAGTCCCGAGTTCATTTTTGTGCTCATGAGTGCCTTCATTAAGTGGGAGATATGCCTGCACTGACTCAACAAGACCCAAAATCTCTGCAAGAAAAGCTTTGTGCCTCAACCTAGATGATGACTCTTTTAGGGAATCTCTTGTATAATTAATTTCCTGTTGGATTTTCTGAATAACAGTATCCAAAGTTAATGTCATCTGGCTTTTGGTTCTGCCATGGTTTACAGGCTCTTTACAGTCGCAAAAGGTCTCGGTAATTTGAAAAGACCCTAGAGAGTAAAATTTTGACAACATAGCAATACAAACCAGAAGAATAAGAGTACCAAATATGAAGATAAACCTGTTTATCCCTCTGCAAGTTCCCAATCTCACTATAGCATTTGTTTTACGCATCCCTGCCCTTATAAGCAAGGAAGTGGAGATTCTCAGATATTTTATTAAACACACGCAGTGATTATTGCAGAAGGAACTCTACTCTAATACAGCCATAGAACTGATAATTTTCATGTGATTCACATCTAAGAACAGAACACAGAGATATGACTTGATCAATACTAATCATGGCAAAAGCCAGAGAAAACTCACACTTTGGAATAACTTTCGAGATTGCAATCAAGAGTAAGAGGAAAGATGTTTAGGTTGTACCTGAGACTTAAAGCCGAAATCTTCGGCTGGAGGAGGGCTGAAAGCTTTGCCTGAAAGAGGGTAGGGAGTGAACTCACATTGACTCAGATTCTATATTTCAGTAAGTAAAAAAAAGATTGGGGTCAGAACTTCAGAAGATCTTGAGATCAGAATCTTTTTTATTTATCATCAACTTGGGTTTTGAGTTTCTTGGGAACATTTCCTAAGCATTTTTAATAGCATAATTTTTTTTTTTGCTTGGATTTAATAGCATAATTTATTCCGNATCTTGAGATCAGAATCTTTTTTATTTATCATCAACTTGGGTTTTGAGTTTCTTGGCAACATTTCCTAAGCATTTTTAATAGCATAATTTTTTTTTTTGCTTGGATTTAATAGCATAATTTATTCCGTTATTACACCGCCCCAAAACAAAATAAAAAATAAAAAATAGTCAACTCTTCACAAAAAGTTCACCCTATACTCCCATGCAAAAGTTGCATCTAAATGTGCAGAAAATCTATGAAATGGGAGGAAGAAACCATTTGAATGATGGTTGGTGGTAATCATCATCCTGAGTTGAGGAACATGAGAATGAATGCTTGTTCAGGAATGAAAGTTCATACATGTCAAATGCACCCAAAAACTAGGAAGTTCATGCATAAAATGGTTTAGATTGCTCCTTGAGCACGACCATAACTGTTTATTTAGTCACTGCATCACAGTAAAGAATGAGTCCTGAGATGCATACAAGAGCCACTCCCCAATGTTGTCTGCCTCTACCTGTAATAACAAATATTTAACTTTGCTTAGAGAGCAGCAAAAAGCAAGAAGTACAGCACAAGTAATGCAGCCCCATATTTAACTAATGAAAGGGGCTGTGGGATGTTTACCATGATTCATGAATTATGGAAACTTTGTATTGGGCAATAAGCTGCTACAAATGATAAAAATAAGTTGTGTTTTCCTATTCTATTATGAGTCAGTAGTCTACCAAGGTTTGGTTTTTTAATGCTGGAGAAACCAAAGAGAAGCCAGGCATGTAAATTTTATGTTGGTTTTCTGAGCATTAAATATAACATTCATAGACAAAGTAGTAGAAGCAACAAAAGATCAATGAAAATCTGAGTCTGCATTTTAATTTACCCATACCAAATAACACTACGGAAAAATATCAGCAAAATAACTCCAGCCATTGTGCATCATAGTAGTACTCTATTCCAACAGCAAGTGCTCAATATCAAAGAGTTGATTTGCACACTGGAAGATACAGACAAAATTAGAGCCATGACCTACCAAAAAATAACGAAGGAAAGGAGAAAAAGAAAAAGGAAACAAAAGTTGGAATCATGAGGGCCCATATGATGAGATCCCAACTGTTGTGCCTATATAAACTTACGCCTACAAGGCTACCCGAGAGAGAAGCAATAAGAATCTACTCAAGAACACCAAAAATCAGCTGCCATAAAAAAAAAAAAAATTCAGATAGTAATTATTGGACTCAAACACCCACTACAAATTTCAGCCTTGATTCACACGGATTATATAGATCAAGAAATAATGAAAATGAACCACACCCTCATTGATGTCAAAAAGAGTAAATAAGAACTATACCAATTTCTTCCATTAATTTGAACAGCTCAACAATTATCATAAGTTTTCATTTCCATTTCTCTACTTTATAATCAATCAAAATTCACAATTCATTGAAAAAGAAAGAAAGAAAGAAAGAAGAGAATCTTTCAACTCCATCACCCCGAATCACTCCCCAAAACTTTGCTCTTAAACTAAACAACCAAGACATCATCCAAAGTCACGAACCGCAATTCACCCAGAATCATGGGGGTCCACCTATCACCTCCTCCGACCGTCCGAGTACTGAGACAGCGGCACCACCTCCTGCAGCGGCGTGGACAACGGCGTCGGCAGCGGCGAGTTCCGACACACCGGACAAGAAGCATTAAGCTTCAACCATGCGTCGATACACATCAAGTGAAAGTAATGCTTACAATCCGGCAACATCCTCAGCATCTCCGCCTCCCTATACTCGCACAAACAGATCGAACACATGGAATCACTATTCCCACCACTACTTCCCCGGTCCTTGGAGAAAGCAAATCTCGGGTACGAATTAATCACAGCTTGATCAAGCCCAACCCCAGCGATTTCGTTATTGCTTTCGTCATCGTCGTCTTCGGCAACAAAAATAATCCGAGGGAGATATATTCCATTGTCGGATGAAGAGTTATTCGTGCTGGGGTTTTGGTTAGGGTTTTGAGAACNAAAAAAAAAAAAAATTCAGATAGTAATTATTGGACTCAAACACCCACTACAAATTTCAGCCTTGATTCACACGGATTATATAGATCAAGAAATAATGAAAATGAACCACACCCTCATTGATGTCAAAAAGAGTAAATAAGAACTATACCAATTTCTTCCATTAATTTGAACAGCTCAACAATTATCATAAGTTTTCATTTCCATTTCTCTACTTTATAATCAATCAAAATTCACAATTCATTGAAAAAGAAAGAAAGAAAGAAAGAAGAGAATCTTTCAACTCCATCACCCCGAATCACTCCCCAAAACTTTGCTCTTAAACTAAACAACCAAGACATCATCCAAAGTCACGAACCGCAATTCACCCAGAATCATGGGGGTCCACCTATCACCTCCTCCGACCGTCCGAGTACTGAGACAGCGGCACCACCTCCTGCAGCGGCGTGGACAACGGCGTCGGCAGCGGCGAGTTCCGACACACCGGACAAGAAGCATTAAGCTTCAACCATGCGTCGATACACATCAAGTGAAAGTAATGCTTACAATCCGGCAACATCCTCAGCATCTCCGCCTCCCTATACTCGCACAAACAGATCGAACACATGGAATCACTATTCCCACCACTACTTCCCCGGTCCTTGGAGAAAGCAAATCTCGGGTACGAATTAATCACAGCTTGATCAAGCCCAACCCCGGCGATTTCGTTATTGCTTTCGTCATCGTCGTCTTCGGCAACAAAAATAATCCGAGGGAGATATATTCCATTGTCGGATGAAGAGTTATTCGTGCTGGGGTTTTGGTTAGGGTTTTGAGAACGACGAGAGCGGCAACAGATATAGGATGTGAGGAGGATAGCAGAGAGAAGAACAAGGAAGCCAAGGGCGATGGCTATGGCGTATCCAAGGCCGAGGTTGGTTAGGTTGTGGGAGGTGGTGACTGGTGGAGGTGGCGGTGAGCCGCCGTATGCGGCGGAGAAGGTGGCGGAGGAAGGGATGGTGGTGGACATTGGGGAGAGGAGAGAGGGGCAGTGGGGGGTTCCATTTGTTTGGGGAGAGGAGAGAGAGAGGGAAGGAATAGAACAGGGGAGGATTTTTTTTGGAAGGTGGGTGGATTGCTTAGCTGCTGCATTTAATACCGTGGTTTGGAAAAAGTGAGGGTCATTTAATGGTCAATACGTGGGGTGACGGATCCGATTTAAAGCCTCATTTGAAAAATTGGGTATCTAACTCGGGTAAAAATTCAAATTTTTTCGCCAATTGTTTAGTTCGAGTTTTTATAGTTAGGTATTGATTGTATCGAGTTTCGTAAATTTGAGTTCGAATATATTAGATTTATTTTTTTAAATAAATTTAAAAAATTATTCAACTTTAACTTGTTTATACAATGACTAATCTCGGGCTGAACTCGACCAAGTTCAAATAATTTAACGATTTTACATATAAACGAGTCGAGTTTTGCGAGCTTGAGTCGAGTTTTTTATAGCCTAAACAATTATTCAAGCTCAGATCGTTTAGAACACGAGTCGAACTTGAGTCAAGTCCTATCTGAACCGAGCCCGATGAAACTAAACTTCTNTGCTGCATTTAATACCGTGGTTTGGAAAAAGTGAGGGTCATTTAATGGTCAATACGATCCGATTTAAAGCCTCATTTGAAAAATTGGGCATCTAACTCGGGTAAAAATTCAAATTTTTTCGCCAATTGTTTAGTTCGAGTTTTTATAGTTAGGTATTGATTGAATCGAATCGACCTTTGCGATCTTGAGTCTGAGTTTTTTAGAGCCTAAACAATTATTTAAGCTCAGATCGTTTAGAACACTAGTCGAACTTGAGTCAAATCCTATCTGAACCGAGCCAGATAAAATTAAACTTATTTTTCAATGCTCAAATTATACGGTGAGACTCTAAATTCGACGCTGACTTTGAACATAATAAATACTCATCTAATTCGCATTGATATTATAAAATATCAAAAATCTTACCTTCTAGATCTTCATAATTACATTTATAAATGTATCTCATCTCATCCGCATTGAGATTATAAAATATCAAAAATCTTACCTTCTAGATCTTCATAATTACATTTATACTCAAATGTTACTCTATAAGTTACTTCTTGATACCATCGTCACACTAAATTCATCTTGTATTTCAAAACTAGAAAGTCTCGACTTTTTGAACTAAAATCACACTACTTATTCTCAATGTCAATCTNATATTATAAAATATCAAAAATCTTACCTTCTAGATCTTCATAATTACATTTATAAACATATCTCATCTCATCCGCATTGATATTATAAAATATCAAAAATCTTACCTTCTAGATCTTCATAATTACATTTATACTCAAATGTTACTCTATAAGTTACTTCTTGATACCATGGTCACACTAAATTCATCTTGTGTTTCAAAACTAGAAAGTCTTGACTTTTTGAACTAAAATCACACTACTTATTCTCAATGTCAATCTTTTATTCTCTTTGAGTTAAGCAGATAGACTCGTCTATGATATCGGAAAAAAAAAGTACAAATATTTATTATTTTGGTGGATATTTTTATCATTTTTTATAGTACTTGTGAGCGATCATAATTCATAAAAGTGGTTAAAATATTTATAAAAATAATAAATTATTTATTATAAATAATTCACAAAAATTATAAAAATATGCATTAAAATAGTAAAATTTGTCAGTATGATATCGATTTTTTTTTTTGAGTTCCATAATCAAGTCNATTATAAATAATTCACAAAAATTATAAAAATATGCATTAAAATAGTAAAATTTGTCGGTATGATATCCATTTTTTTTTTTTTTTGAGTTCCATAATCAAGTCCTAAGCAAAATAGTCTTCGTTCTTGAAGAGTGCATGGCCCAGCTGGCCAGAAAAGAACAGTTTTGGGAGTTTGCGCATGAACTACGGCTAATGTCTAATGTAAGCACACTCCCCCGTTAACAATATAAACGGAGCCTATTTTTGTTTGTTTTTTGTTTTGTCAACGAAGACAGATTAGATTTAAGAAACACTGTCCCCCTTTGTGATGTGCCATTTTGCACAGTCCACACATTTCTCTTAGTGTTAGATCGATTGTGTGGTGTTTGTGTTATATACAAATGTTGAACAGTTGGATTAGATTTTGTGTGGTGTGTAGTGTATACCTCTTTTTGTAACAAGTATGATGGGTTGAACTATGACCCAAACTCTTCAAAACTAAAACCGCACCTATCCATTTTGCGTGTGTTTAATGGATTATGTAAAAAATTGTGTTTGTCTTGTATATTGTAAACGTTCAAAAATAAGTCAATTTAGTTTATACTTGAACTTTGATGTGCCGAGAAATCGTTACCTTACAAAATAATTTTTTCATTCAAATCAACAAACAAAATTGATAATCATGAATCAAAAAATTGTTGTTCTTTGGGTGCGGGATTGACACTTACGTTGGACAAATTCAATGTTCTTTTAAGTCAAACCACCCTTACAGGACTCACCACCACCACCACCACCATTGTAAAACAAAAAACAAAACTTCATGATATGATATTTGGATGAGATACATCTATGAATGTGGTGATTGACCACATGACTAAAATCAAATGAGTAAATCATACCATAAATATGATTACCAAACCTAACAAGAATAATGCAAACGGAAAATATGAGAAGTATCAAAACTACGGTAGGCAAAGGAGTTGTTTAACAAGAATAATGCAAACGGGAGTAGCAACAATATTGATAATTTTTAAGGTGTAATTTAGTAGTTAAGTCTATTTTTTTGAAAATTAGAGATTTCATATTTGATACTTATCATACTCCAAAAGGTCTGTCACCCTTATTTCTCAAGAGATATGTCTTTAAACTATCTCAAGTTACGATGACCAGTCTCAAAGTTTAAGAGAGTAGTTAACACAAACTTAAACACTCTTTAATTAAAAAAATAATAATGTTGATGATGTTTGGACCATGGCCATCTCCATCAACCATTGCCACTTGAAGCAAATTAACCTTCTTTTCCTCACAAAATGGACATGTGAAAATGTAATTAGATATATGTTTTTGCACAAGATGGACTAGGAAATCGAAGAAATCATTGCTTTCTATAAGTAAATGCTTTCTTCTTTCCTAATTCTTTCCGATATTACAATTCCTTGGCCCACTTGAATGACCCACAGAAGCAGTCTTCCGAATAGTCACAACCAATCCCATTAATTTGGAAGTAGACAGAAGACTGACCTATGTAGACTATGTGTTTTTTCGTAGGAGTGACAAATTTTAATTGTGAATTACAAGACAACTATTAATAACTTCTAAATACACTATGTAATACTAAAAATCGAAAATTGATTGTGCAATATATGCATTTAAAATAGTAATTTTTTTCTTTTATTTAATACTCAATTTAAAATTAATGTGAATAGAGAAAAAATAAGAAAAAAATAAAAGAGAGAGAGAGAGAGAGAGATTGAACCTACCGTTAGTCTTGTTTCGATCGATTTCTTTCTCTTTATTATTGAGGATTTTGATTGAACAAATAGGAGAGATCTCCTATCCTAATTCAGGCCAGGATAAGAATACAGAAGTGAGTGTAGGGATTGCCCCAATAATTAGCTTCTTGTATTAAAAAATGTGTTGGTTGGATTGTNCCAGGATAAGAATACAGAAGTGAGTGTAGGGATTGCCCCAATAATTAGCTTCTTGTATTAAAAAATGTGTTGGTTGGATTGTGTGATATTAGAAATCGTGCAAAGGGCATGATGCTTTGAAGCAAAAAAAAATAAAATATATGGAATAAATTTTGTGTCATTAAATCAAAATAAATAAAAGTATGCGTTTGTTCGACATTAGGGTGCCGTACATGATTTGTCAATCGAGTTAGACTTAATGGGCCTTTAGCGAGAGTTGCCTTTTATGATGGTACAAAAAAGGAAAGAAGAGTATCGACTTTCAAAAAAATCCTATAAAAAATTGTTTGTTTTTTCTTCCAAATATTGAGTATCTTTCAAATTTGACAAAATGGTCAAATTGATTGAACTTAAACAGGGCCGCCTTGATTCGAGTTAGGAAGGCTCGTCGGGTGGAGATGGGCCGAAGAGAAAGCATCCGGCCCTACTAAATGGGCTAATGAATATACCCACAGGCTGCCATATGGCNCTTCCAAATATTGAGTATCTTTCAAATTTGACAAAATGGTCAAATTGATTGAACTTAAACAGGGCCGCCTTGATTCGAGTTAGGAAGGCTCGTCGGGTGGAGATGGGCCGCAGATAAGCATCCGGCCCTACTAAATGGGCTAATGAATATACCCACAGGCTGCCATATGGCCTGCTAAGCCGATCCATGAAATGTTGTGCCTCTTCTCCCCTGCAGCCAAAAGTGGCTCAACAAAACTTAACCCGTGATTTATTATTATTTTTTATAGGTTTTTTTAGGTGTGGGTATAATTTTTTAGACTTATTTAGGTAAAAGTGTATGAATAAGTTGTTTATTCTATTAAATAAANCCTCTTCTCCCCTGCAGCCAAAAGTGGCTCAACAAAACTTAACCCGTGATTTATTATTATTTTTTATAGGTTTTTTAGGTGTGGGTATAATTTTTTAGACTTATTTAGGTAAAAGTGTATGAATAAATTGTTTATTCTATTAAATACAAGTTTTAAAAAAAAATTTGTGTTTTGGTACAAAATTCAAATGAATTAAAATTACATATTTGTTATCTTTAATTTTTAAATTTTGAAAGAACAGTTTTGTATGCAGTAAAAATCTATATTCAACTGATCTCTGCAGTAAGATAAAAAGTTTAGGCAGTAACATAAAAAATATTCAAACGTCTCTGTAGTTTGTTTAAAAAAAAATTGATCTTTGCAGTAAAAGTCTTCTTCAACATCTGTGTTCATATGATCTTTGCAGTAAAAGTCTTATTCAACGATCGATTTACTTATTCGGTGATAGATTTATTCGAAAAAAGGAACTGCAAATACCAATTATCGTCATCAGCTAAAAGATTAGTTGTTAATAATTATATTTCTTCTTTTATTTTGTCATTTTTTTGGGGAAAATTCCTATGTTTGATTTTGTTTTATGTTTGTTTGTTGTTGGAATGAAGGGAAAAAAAAACTGCATTTCATTTTAATGGGTATAACTGTTTTTAATGGGTGTAACTATTTTTTCTTATAGACATAATAAGTATATTTCTTCTTTTATTCGGTCATTTTTTTTTGAAAAATGACAATATTCGATTTTGTTTTATGTTTGTTCGTTGTTGGAATGAAGGGGAAAAAAAATGCTTTTGATTTTAATGAGTGTAACTGTTTTTAATAGGTGTAACTATTTTTTCGTATAGACATAATAAGTATATTTCTTCTTTTATTCGACTATTTTTTTTTGGGAAATTCTTATGTTCAATTTTGTTTTATGTTTACTCGATATCGAAATGAAGGGGAAAAAATTGATTTTGTTTTAATGGATGTAACTGTGTTTTAATAGGTGTAACTGTGTTTTTAATGGGTATAACTGTGTCAATACAGTTTCAACAATTAATTTTTGAATATTAACAGTTTGTAATTTGTGATCACAAATAGTTATTTAAAACAATTACGTAACTATTTTTAATCAAAAAATCAAACAACACAGATTGTGGAAAAAAAAAATTAATGAATGACAAAAAAACAAAAATGAATGTCACCTGCAATTTTCGGTGAAGAAATTGTCGAAGATGATTTACAGTTAGTTGACCGTAGGACACAATGAACAGTAAATCGTATTCTTCTTTTTTTTGGACGATGAACAGTCACAATTCTGACATTTCAATCCCTTTGCAAAAGAAGATGAGTTTTGATAATTAAACTCCCTATTTTACCTCTCACTTGATTTTAGTCAAAAAAAAAAAAACGGATGAAAGATAATGGATTTTCATATATTTACTGTTTATCGATGACAAATAGTGGTATTTTTAAAAAATATGCATTTTACCCAAAATAAATTTTTGAGTTATACTTTTGCCTAAATAAGTATAAAAAATTGTACCAACTTCTAAATTATCCTTTTTTTATTGTTTGGTGTTGACAATAGAGTGTTTTTTTTTGGGTTACACCATTACACGAAGGAGAAGACGAGATTCGAATCCGTGACTTGAAAATTCAACAATGAGGACCAAACTTGGCAATTTCTACCGAAAACTCAATTTCTCCAACTTTCTAAATAAAAAAATACGTTTGCATGTTACATATGTATAATACCATACACGAGATTAATCTTGAAGTCAGAGTATTTAGTTTAGTTGTAGTTCAACCACTTGATGATAAATATTTTATAAAAGGTAAGTCAGGAGTTCGAATATCTCACGAAACATAATTCCTTGCGATAATTGTTCATAGATTTACTCCTTTGTGTGGGAGTAATCGGGATTGTACTACGGTGCTCAGATATAAAACAAAACAAAACAAAACAAAAGTATAAACAAACTAAAAAATAAAAGCCTATCAAACAAAAACCTAATTTATTTTTTCTCCTATTATAAAATCATATTCACTAGCACAGTAACACACATCTACTGTTAGTCCAAAGTCCACATGAATCATGGATTTTCTTTTATCTCTTAAAAATTTATCTAATATTTTAGTTAAAAAATTAATTTTATTAATTTTAAAAAAATACAACAACGATAAAGATTAATACAATTTTTAATTATTTTAATTAAATGATACAAAATTCATTCTAATTTTTTTTTCACTCACAAACATCAACTCAATTAATATACTCCTCAATGTTATATAACTCCATTAATTTACACGTACTCCTCTCTTCTCTCTTATTTTTTTTCAGTTAATTTTAATTTTAAATTGTGTTATTAAAACAAATTATTATTTAAAATATAAATATTACATAATTAATATTTAATTTTTAATATTACAGAGTAAATTCAGATGAAATTATTGTTAATTATTTAAAATAGTGACAGGTGAATAAATACGTTAAAGTAAAATAATATATCTGTTATAAAACACGCCACAGCATCTTCCACATTGAATATGATATGATGGTTAACGGTGAAAATCACCAAACTTTCATGTAAACGATGGAAAAAGCAAGTCATTTTTGTTGACTATGTGCATTACTATTCTCAAACAACCTTTTCTGCAATTAAATTGAAGAAAGTGAAAGATACCAAGATAGAGTTTAGTTCGCCATTAAAAAACTAATAATGCTCATAATGTATATAAATTTGAACTAGTAGTGTTACATTAATCAAATTTTAGGATTAAATTAAGAATTCAAATGACACGATCGCTGACTTGAGCGTCTTTATTTAATGTCATGTCATTTAAACTCTTATTTTGATCTCAAAATTTGATAAATGTAGCAAAACTCATTCTGAATAATGCTCAATAATACAATATCTTTTTTTGCACGGTTGTCAATATCAAATAACTCAATTAATACATAAACACTTCCTAATTGATGTCGATCAATCTTATTAATTTACCCCTACTTTTCTCTTATCTCTCTTTATTTTAATTTTAAACTCTGAAATTAAAAAAAATTATTATTTAAAATATAAATATTATAAAATGAATGTTTAATTTTTTATATTGTACAAGATATTATTGCTAATATATAAAAAGTATAATACACCAACCCAATAATACAAGTGGAACAACAAAAAAAAAGCCAAGAACATATAAAACTAAGTGGTACATCACAGACTAGTAACTAAATATCATGAGGCTAGTGAAAAAAACAACTCATGGATAGATTCATACCCCCTAGCCACCAGATCTAGAGCTTGACTTTCCTCTTGCACTTCTGTTCCAAAATCTCTCTGCTTGTGATATTCACAGTCATACTGCAATTCATCTTCACAATCACATGTTTCTTTATCAGCTTCAACATATTCACCCTCCCAGCAACTCTCGAGTAGCTGGTCAAAATAAGCTTTCCAGAGTTCGCATCACTCTGCAAATTAGGGTTCGAAATCAGATTGTCAGTCATAATATCCACCGTTATATTCATCCTCATCGTCCGGTGAGCCTTCGCATGCCCCGGCGGCCCTCTAGCTTCTCCGATTTGTGATCCGTAGTAGTACAGCGCTGTCGTTGTGTTCTTGTACTTGAACGACGCGAAGTTAGGGTTCTTGACAGAAACATCGGCGGTCAGGGACATGTTGGTGCCGGGACGTGGAATATTTGTGCCGCTGACGAGCTCGAGTTTATCGATGGTGACGCCGTTGAGTTTGATTTTTGGATCTTTGACTTTGAAGACGGTGAATATCAGTATGATTACTACGACGGCTTGGATGAGAAGAAGGGCGGCGATGCAACCGCAGCACCGAATGCATTTTTTCCGGCGGAGTGCTTTCTGGTTCAAAACGTTCTCGTCATCGTCGCTGCTGAGGCGTTCGGAGGCCGGAGCTAGAGGTCTAACCTGCTCTCTTTCCACCATGGCTGGAGCNGAGAGAGAGGCCATAAAACAACGACTTTTGCTTTCTTCATCGTCTGTTTTTTTTTCTCCTTAATTGTTTATTCTTTGTTCCCCTCTAGAAGCTCTGTTTTTTTTTATGCATTGTCGTCTTCATTTACAGCTTGGTAATTCTTTTTCACAATCTTGGTGATTCATCTGGATTAGCACGTGAAGAATTTATTTTTTATAAATATTTTAATTTTGGTGGGAATAAATTATTTTTAATTAAATTAGAGATAAAATTAATCGAAATACGCATAAATTAGTTCAGACACTCTTGATCGTCAAATATAAATGTAATTTTAATGAATTCATATCATGAGTGAATTGATCCGTGTTCAATATAGCATATGATTTAGATTCACAGGGCCCAAAAATTTCAATGACTATTGTGCGTAGTAGATCGATTACTTACGTGATTCAAATCCGTGGTGTGTGTCCACTGCTCGAAAAATCTTGTTAAATAATTTTTTAGGATTTTTTTTCTTGATATATGTAAAAAAGTTTCCAATGTGAGTGTGAAATCAATAGATCCCACTTTTGANCTTGAAAAATCTTGTTAAATAATTTTTTAGGATTTTTTTTCTTGATATATGTAAAAAAGTTTCCAATGTGAGCGTGAAATCAATAGATCCCACTTTTTAAAAAAACGTCGCCCGCCTTTGTCTTATCACAATCTCACTCCATTCCTTGCCGTACTGACCAGGACTTGGGCACTCACTCAGACTTCTATATGTATCTTCGTACGAAAAGGGGTAATTTTATGTGAAAATTGGGTCGTGTCTGTTTAAATGATTTTATAACGACTTGAGTTTAATAAAAAAATTTATTTAGAGATAAATTCGTTTTTAAACTTATATGTAAGTATTTAAGTTTATTTTTTTTTAAATCTCAAAAATACTTCTAACAGTGTTAATTTTATTTAATTATAAAAAATCATAGTAGTTAATTCATTAAGATATATATAGAAAAAAGATATGTCTACTTAATTTTACGCCGATAATTGTCTGTTACAATCTTTTCATAACTCTCTCTCTCACCCCATGTAACTTTCCTTTCCTAAACAGACTCCTCAGACGCTCCCATCTCTGTCTTTCCAAAAATCAAAGTCCCATAGGCTAGTGTCACCGCCAATCCAAAAATCCCAACCCACCGCCCTCAACAACCTACAAAACCTCTTATATTCATTACTTCCATAACATCAAACCCATCCACCAAAAATTTCGACCAAATGTCCTAAAGTGTGTTACTATTTTTTCAATTCTTGAAATATCATGTTACTATTTTTTTTTTTTGGCTCATGTTACTACTTTTTTATGTGATCAGCGAGATTTCGATTTAGGTCTCAATTTAGTTGGTTGTGTATTTTTGTAAAGAAGATGATGTTGTATCGCTAAATTTTTTTTTTTTCCATTTTACTATTTCTGTTTTGTTGGGCTTATTCATGTTATTACCTTTTTTACTATTTTTTATTAAACATATTACTATTTTTTTGATAAGTATGTTATTGTTAATATTGAATGTTAATATTTTTTTCAAAAATATTAATATTCAATGAGACTATAGTTTGATAAGTATGTTACTACTGTTTTTTTTCAAATATTATACAATGTTACTATTTTTTATTTTTTAAATTATACTATGTTTTTGTGTTTAAATGATACTATTTTTTTGTGTTTAAATTGTACTATTTTTTATATTTGAATGTTACTATTTTTTGTTTTTAATGTTAATATTAAATATTATTATTTTTCTGAAATATCAATATTAAATGTTACTATTTTTTATTGAGTATGTTACTATTATTTTTACAAATATTAATATACAATATTATTATTTTTTATTTTTTAAAATACTATTTTTGTATTTAAATGGTATTATTTTTTGTGTATTTAAATATTACTATTTTTTATATTTAATATTATTATATATATATAATAAAGTAGAGCTGAACTTTAATATTTGAGATAAAAAGATGTCCAGATAATTTTGAGATAAAACATAAACACATCTAATAGACAACGTAATCCCAACATAAAAGATGATTCAGTTCATCTCAAAAATATTGATCCGATAATCTACAATAAGTGCAAAATTTTGTTTTCCGTCCAACAATATTTCCTTTTTAGATTATCAGACTTTTAACTTTTTCCAAAACTCTCTTACTTATTCCTTTAATTTCTTGACTCAGGCCTTTCTCACCTCCAAAATCTCTCAAATCTTTCCCAGTCTTACTTCTATCTCTCTCTTCCAAGCTCAAATCTTCTGCCAATCTCACACCTCTCTCTCTCTCTCGTGGAATCCATCTTAACCTCACTTCTGCCTCTCTCTCCCAATCTCAAATCATCCGAATCTTGTAATCTCATGCCTCTCTTACGCTTACCTTCTATATTCCCTGAAACCCCTACCTTCCAAACTCAATATTCTCCCCAAACTCATCCCCTTATCTCTCATGTCCAACTCTCTAAAGCTGCCCTTTTCTGCGAAGCAAATCCATCGCCACCCACTGCTCTCTCTCACATCCAGAGCTCTATCGCTGCCTTCTACTACGAAGCAAAGCCCCTGCCAAACGACAGCAATCGTTAAACGACAGCCACCGCTGCTGCACCCAGAAGTTGACCAGGTATCTCAGTTTTTTTTTCTATTTTTTCTCATCCCCTTTACACCGCTGCTTCTTGTTTCTCTCCCACTTCGTATCTCTCTCTCTTTGTTGACTGCATAGGACATACACAACGAACAACACACTCAGGACATACACATTACGCAAACAATATGTTTGACAAAATGCCCCAAAACACCAGATCTTTTATGTTGAATGGTGGGTATGTTGGTTTTGGGTTTGAGACAATTATTGTGTTGCCAATAGTTCCGAAAATACTATTACCTGCACACCAGCATTTTGTGGATATTTCTTGCACACTAGCATAGCTGCGGGCTTTCTTTTGGCAGTGGGACTCATCAACTGTTCTTGCTTGAATGAAGGATTGTCATCAATTTGGGTAATTTTTTGTTTGTGTCATGCACTGTATAATTTTTGTTTTTCATCAAGCGTTCAAATGTCAGTCTCTTAAAACTTTTGGAACCTGTCATTTACATAACAAAACGGACTTATAAAATGCTCAGGTGGCAATAGCTCTCTTTACCACCTGAACCAAGATAACTAGAGGCATTCTTATTATTTTTATTTATAAGCCTATTTAGTGCCTGTTATAGCCATCTGTAAATGATCATGTTTTAGGAGCATGGGTGCTATGGAAAATAAAAAAAAATGCAAAGAACATGTTGCTCATGTAGTTATGCGATTCTATTTTTTAGTTTGTCTCATGGAATATTGTTCTACTTGCTCGCAGTGTGTGGGTGATTTTTTATTGAATGTCTACTTTCTATGATATATGCTCGAAATTGCTTGAAAGTTCTTTTGTTTCTTAAAAGAATTATATTGCGGGCTTTACCTTAGTATTTGCAACAGTAATATACTTATTTGTTCAAACTCATGGAAATCTTGAATTTATTTTTTGTTTGTGCAGACGCCATGTTCTATAATTTTGTCAAAGGAATGCATGATAAACACCTCAGGGATGCCACATAATGCTCTTGGAAGGTAATTTATCTTCCTTTCTATTGTTGATCTTTTAGCTATGTATTTTATTTAAATTTTGTCATCCATAAAGAAAGGGTCCTGATAGCTATGGCCATTAGTTAATGACATTTTCAATTTTGTTTTGGCCCTACTCCTTAAATCTATGTATAAAGGTACCTTTGCAGAATTTGAAAGCTACAACTGAGGAAGCCTTCTGATATTTATGGTCATTGGTTTTCCTGATTTATTAACTTTTCATATCCGGTTGACAGAATATATTTAAGTTGGTTGAAGTCTTTGAGCTGATTTGCCTCTAATATCCCAAGGCAATGATGTCCCGTAGGTAATTGCTATGTTCTTTGACTTTGGAATTTGAATTAGTTGAAATAATTAGCGTTAACTTATGTGAAATGATCTAGATATGTGACAGTGATGACAAAATGTTCGAAGTATTGCTTCAATGACTTTGGTATGTAGTTTTTCATTTTTTTGTTGTTTCTTTTGATGCAGAAATCTGTGTTTTTTTTTTTTTTTGGAAAAGAAAATTTTCTAATTGGTCAAAAAAGAATTATGAGTTTAAAGGGATATGGAAAGTTGAAGGTGGGAAAATTAGAGATCTTTTGTTCAATTATGTTTTGAAAAAAAATTGTAAAGTGTCTATGTGTATGTTTACATTGGGATTGGGATAGAAAACAAAATCAGAGGCATTTTCATATTGTTTTGGCTGATTTGATATCTTTGAATTGGGTTGAATGTGACGGTTGGCATTTTCTAGAATTTTCTATTGTATTATGGTGTTGTTGATATGATTCTTTTGACTCTTTATTGAATTTTTTCTCTTCAAATCCTACTTAACAAAAGAGAATGTGATTGCTTATGAATTTTGTAGCGTATGTTGCAAATCTTACTATAAACTAGAACTTGTTTGGCCTATTTTATTCTACTCTGCTAGCTTTTTTTTTTTTTGGTACAGTGACATTTGTGTGGAGCTTGCTAATCAGTCATCATATTTTGTTACGGTTTTTTGATTTTTTTGGCAATTCATGTCCCCTTTAATTTGTGAGATCAGCATATGGACTGGCAAAGAAAACAAAATCAGCTACTATATCTCTTTCATCAAGTTATTTTGAGTGGATTGTCTTATGTTTTCTTAATCATGAGCATTATAGTTGAATTAAATGAGTTGATTCCCAAATAATTCTCCAAATATAAATCACGTGCTTTGGTCTGGGCTATGTAATATTATAAGAAAATGAATATTTGTAATAGGTGATCTTTGTAACCATTGACTAACCTCAGTTTAAAATTTATGAAGTTTTATTTGTCCATGAAGTAGCGTTAAGCATATTTACGAAGTAAAAACAGTTGTATTTTTTTTTTTTTGCATGTGCATATATTTAAGGGCTATGGTTGGATTTTTCTTTGCATGTTTCTTATGTGATTAAATTAGAATTGTTTTATCTTTAGATTAAAATAAAAAGAAGAAAGTGCACAAGTTTATAATTTTCATTTTTTTTGTTATTTAGTGTCTTCGGGTACGGATAATTACTAGTAGATAGATATGAGAGAGAAATTTTTTTAATTTTAGTCAAACTACTAAAATTTAAGAGTTTTTAATTTTTAGTTTTATTTCACTTCTAAAAGAAATGGATAGTCTGGTAAAATTGATTAAAACAAACTTCAAAACAAATAAATTTTCTTGATGGATTTAAGTTCAAACAAGTTCGTATAAGGGAATCAGTTTTCAAATTTTCCTAATTTTATCTAGTTAAGGCCACTTGAAATTTTCCAGGATTTGGGCTTTTGCCCATTCTATCTCTGCTTACCCCAAAGGATTATAGGCAACCTTCAGTCCAAGCCAGGTCCGTTAAGGCACCGTCGGGTCAAAATTCAACCGGTATAGAAGTGGGTCGAAGGTTCCATTTTGGCATATTTCCTGAGCTTGATTAAAGTTCAATATCCTTTAAAGACCTATCAAGCAGGAAACCTAAAACTGAGAGAACCTTAAAAAAGACCAGACTAATCCAAAAAATCTTCCTGCCTGTTTCAATGAGGTTTGATGATGCATTTTATATTCAAAAAGATTGTTTTTATAATTCAAACTCAATATTTTGGTGACAATGTAACGTAACGAAACTAAAATATATCTATTTAGAATTGAGAAATAGATAAACTATCATTGATTGGACTGGAGAAAAAATTAGTTAAAATACGTACAAATTGATTTAAACACTCTAAACTATTGAACCAAAAAAAAAAAAAAAAATTAAAAATCTCAACCTAGCAACAAATAGATTTTCTAAAAAGGATCCAACCTATTGTAGGACTAAAGAAGAACAAATCCCAACAAATCAATAATGGTGTACCACATCAATCAACCTACAAACTCCCAGCCACTACACCAACTCTTCCACTTATAAAAGGAAACAATTCTCCACAAATAAGATATCCAATTCTTTAATCACATAAAATACAGACAAAGGCACATAAAAATTAGCATTTTCTTCTTGTCCTAAACTCGTAATCTAACTTGGAACACTGCATAACCTTAAGTCATGCACCACACCATTTTCCGACGAATTTTTAGCATCAACAATACCCATGATACAAACTCCCAATCAAACAAACAGATCTATCTGAGACAATTCCGAGATGATTAACCCCAACTCGAAGAAGTAGAGATCATTGGTTCAAATCTATTATCAAACAGTTATACTAATAATAATAAATACAAACCCCATTCCAACAAGATATACAAGTTATTTATTTATTTATTTTTGATCAAATATACAAGTTATTAAAAAGGACACCCCATATATAATTTTCAGATAAAAGTACCAGAAAATGTGTGATTAAAGAAGATTACATCATAACCAACTTGGAAAAAAAGTACATATACATAGTTTTCAATTAAACAAGTCAGTGAGAGTAGGCAGCTTGATCTCTCCCTTACTGGAGAGCGGAATGGTTAGGTTTCCAACGACTGGAAGATCAACGGTGAGACCCAATTCCAATTCATAGTCTATATCCCAATCTGCACCTACGTCTTTCCCCAAGCTCACCAATACACTGTGTGGCACCTTCAATGGCACTTCCAGTAGCGTAATATCATTTCCCTTCAGCGACCCTGGGTCCGGAACGGTACCCGAAGCAATCACCCTAGCCGCATTTACAGAATATAAGTGGACACATTATTTTAAGTATTCACCAAACAGGAAAACTAATTCATATGCCTTGCAAATTTGACAGAAAATAAACGGGTTTGAGTTTAATTTTAATAGGGTGAAGTAGTAAGAGCCAATCCATCCTCTGCTATTGGAAAAGAAAATTAAAAGTGGAAGTGGTCGTCGTTTTGTTAATAGAATGACCATTTTTTTTTTGGATGCAAAACGATACCGATGATCAGCACTCTGTTAAAAACTAAGAGCTAAGGAGCTGGACCCATCTGTTAAACCTAACAAATACAAACCCAGTAAATAAAAATTATTTCCGATGGAAATCTGACACAACCAATATTTCAAGGCAATATGACTTACACTACTACTTGAAAACAAGAAAACAACTAGAATGATAAAACATAGTAACAAAGCTTTAAATTGACAAATGAAATCCAAATTGCTCAAACATCCCACCAAGCCCAAAAATATTGAGTGACTCCATCGAAATCCGCTCCATTACACTTTAGACATCACGTAATGGTAAATTGTCAATTTAAGTGAGATTTGCTATTTCATTTTATAGGTGTATGTGTATCCATAACCAATGAGGTTTACTATTAAGTAAAATTAATTAAAAGTATAATGAAGAGAGATTTGAATCCCATCTTTGCCACCCAAAATTCTACTTTTGTTAATTGCACCCACGAATGATTCGTGCTCAAACTATTATACGCCAAAGATAGATCTGTACCCTGATATCACTTGTCTAAACGCCCAAATATATGTGTGCGTGTGCATTTGTATATACATATATACATACAGTTATGAATAGCGTCAAAATATATAATAAAACTGGGGTGTATTTGAATTTTACCTCAGTTATATTTTTCACCTCAAAATCATCATCAATCACTTACCTCACTCATCATCCCTTTGTCAACCTCAAAAATCAAATCACATCACTTATTTGAATAACATATTTAATCATTTATATATTTCCTCGTTCAAAATATTACACCACCCATTTATTTCATATGTTTATTCATTTAATATTTAATTAACTTGTACTTAATATATTTTGAAAAAATTTAATATAGTGAGATCAATCAATCGCTCGAATTTTATATTTTATCGTACCGGATTATGACTAATATATATATAAATAGTGCGATCATAAACTCTGCCCTATAGTCTCTGAATATTGGATCGTGATCTAACGATTACTAATCGTAAAAAACCAAAATTTAATGCAAAGACCTACCAAATTTGACAAGAAATTTCTGTGGCATATTAATTGTAATCGTATTCCTATTAGGAAAATCTAGAGGAAGAAAGCAGACGAAAACCTGCCGGCGCTTTTGAGGGTGTAAGAGATCTGGCAGATGGGAATGGGTGCACCGTAGGGATTGTTAACAGACACCTTGGCCTGGTATGTTATACCGTCACGGCCTACGTGTTTCAGATCCACATCGGTGATGCTCGCCTCCGGCTTCTTTATGTTCGCCACCTTCTCCGTCACAAAGTTCTTCGCCTTGTCGATCAAATCCATTGCCACTCAACCAATGAATAAGCTTTACACACTCCTGTCTCCAGAGAAGGAGAGAGAGATATGAATGCTTTGCTAACAAGTGTTTGTGTGTATATATAGGAGAGGCTTTGTGTGTTGGCGACACGTTGCAAGTTCTTGGGCTAACCTCCGCTCTATTTTGGTGGTGACACGTGGTTCGACGCGTGGGGCAGCGTGATTTTCCCGCGTCGTAGGATCCGTGCTTTGAGTGTGCGATGCACCGAATTTTTGAGGAATGCTGCGGTACCGACGTAATTGAGATTTAATTTATTGAGATAATTTGTTGATTTAATTCACTATAATTTTTGGATTGACTGTGAACTCTATCAAATATTAAAATTTGGTGTTAATCAAATGGTTCCAATAAAATCACATCATTATATCAACAAATTATATCAAATTTTTAGATCTAAATAATATTTTTCTACAATAAATTATACTCTTATCTATACGTCCAAATAGAATTATCGTATATATAGATACCAATATCAATTAATTCGAGTGATCAAAATTACATTTTTTTCAAAAATAAGATTGATAATCAAATCGAACTTTACAAACTCAAGTCAAAAATATCAAACTATTTTTTTTAAACAAACTTAAAAAATTATTCAAAATTAGTTCGTTTAAAACGTTTAGAAAATAAATTGAACTTGAATCGAGCCCAAAACAAATCGATCTTGAATAACTCAATTATTTTATATATAAATGAATCAAATTTTACGAGTTCGAGCTTAAATAAATTGTTTAAATTCGACTTGTTTAAAAAACAAACTAAGCGCAAAACAAGTTGAACCAAATAACTCAGCTCGTTTAAAAAATGAACCGAGCCTAGGCAACTCAGTTCAATTATCGGCCCCAACAAAAAGAGGAAGAAAGAAAATACAGATAGACAAGCAAGATAGAGCAAGAGTGAAGGGATATCAGCAGATGAAAAATAGGAATAAAGTTCATAAAAGGCTGCACTACATTCAATAACCTCATAACATCAAAATCCAGAACTCAAAACTTCGAACAGATTTATGAAGCCCGGCAAAATTCATTTTGGCAATCAGCAGCCTGAACTTCCTATAGTCGCCTTCAAAGCTCGATAAGACAGTCAAAAACATTCCATTGACCGGAGGAATGCAAGAATTTGCTTTCTAATACAGAGAAAGATACAAGTAATCCATGGATATGATCCCTAAAACAAATCTTATTGTAAGCTTGGAATTGAGAAACAAAGCAGCATCAGCTGATGATCATCTTGTTAAGGAATTCAGCTTGCTCGGGGAAATACTCCAACAGTTCATCCTTAGTCACCCAAACAAAATCTTCACACTTCTCAATCTTAAACTTGTTGGTCGCGATCACTTGAGATTTGAAAAAGAAACGCTGACAAAATGGCCAGGTAAACAAGGGGGAAAATACGCAGCTTAATCAATATCAGCAAGAAGCCAAAGCAATGAAAGCATATGATAGAGCTTCCCATGAAAGTAGGAACTATGGATGGGCTGATGTGTTTGAAGCAAAATTTACGGGGAAGGCTTTCCAAAGTCTGATGGTAACATACACCAAAGTAGGAAAATTCAGAAATTTCCATACCTTGAGTGACAGAAGATCCTTCTCATTCTCTGCTGGTTGTATAACCATATGGCCCATGGGAGCATTTCCAACAAAGTACGTGTGGGAAAGGTCTCCAATAACAGATTCTAATGCTGATTCTGCACACTGCAGACACTTGAAATCCAAATTACTCAAAGAATATGAGAAAACAATAGCTAAGAGTACAAAGCAACTATCACCTTGCGTAATGTCTCTTCAGACCCGTAAGCTTTTTCAGGAAAATGCCATACAGGCTTCTCAGTGGAAGCCCCGTCTGTGGTTCCATATATGAGGAGATACAGCCTTCTGTCCAGAGCCCGTTGTAATGACCTGAAACAAACGAGTGTACAATTTTGGATATCACTACCTGAGTTGCATGCACATTTAGAAATTAGTCTGGAATTCATGCATATGAGGAAAGCTTCAGTTTTCAACTAGCTTTCTCAAAAAAGTAGCTTCTACTGGCTATTAAATTACTTCTATGCGCTATGAACAGCAGGGGCCCAACAAACACTGTTAGTACAATGGGATGTAGTGTGATGTTCAATAGAATGGTCAACTGGGCAGACTGTCCAGTTCCTTTGGGAAGGCATATGAAGGGAGTAGCCACCTTCCAAGGAGATTATCTTTTCCCACTAAATGTCCCTGGAGAAAAAAAAAAATCAATAACTTGGTGAAAAGGGAAGACAACCCATTTCCACTATATGTTGTACATGCAAGTGGGATATAGAGGCAGTCAGCCACTTGGACTTGTGGGTACGACACTTTTTTAAGTACACGGTACGATGGAGGTAGATTTACTAATACGGTATGGGTCGCAATTCATTCTGAAAATCTTATTTAGATCGTTTTCACCACTATACAACATTGTATATTATCGAACATCTATAAACACTAAGTCAGTTACCCTTTATCTTACATTTGTATTCCATTTTTTATTATTTAAAACAATATATAATTAAAAATCTATATACACGTAGTTTATTAAAATATATTTTATATTTGTGTTACATGTACAATTTGAATTAGTACATTTTAGTGATTTGGATCGCGAACTCACCCTATTTGGGATTGATATACCCAAATCATGAATCATTGATTGTACAGTCCAGACACAAACACATTTAGACACAGGTCGACCCATGAAAGAGGATCTGTAACTTTTCGAATTTCAGAGGCACGGGCACATTTGGGCATATACTCATGAGAGGCTGTTAGCATTTCTTACAAACATAAATCCTCATGCAGTACTATGAACCACCCACCACCTTGACTGGAAGAAAAGAGTCTTGAAATAAATTCTCATGACTCACTCACAAACCTAAATCCTGAAACTGCTGATCGACAACGGTATAGGGAGTTGAGCCACAACCCAATCCCCAACCTCAACAAAAGTTCGAAAAATTCATTAGAATTATATATTACTTGCTAAAAAGCTCTTACAGTTATAAAGGGGTTGCCACCTAATTTTTTAACTTTCACATCCCACTGCAGCTGACGTTTAAGGTGTTCTTCCTGAGAGGTGATGCTGATGGCAGTGGTTCTTATGGCCAATGGTGATCATAAAGGATCTGTCCTTCTCTAATGAAACAGAATGTGCTCAAAGCAACAAGATTTGCTCAAGTAGAGAAGTATCTTTCCTTCTAATTCTTGAAAATGGAAACATGTAAATCATTATTGAATCACATAATACCTTCTATCATTAGTTTTGTCAGCTTCAGTGATCCGAGGAGCTGGTTTATAATCAATTTGGTAATCACCTTTGCCCCTGGTTACAAACATAGATGTTAACCATTATACTTGAGGAAAGCCAAAGTTCACCTTTGCATTTGTCGCATGTGTGAGGGTGTGGGCGTGTACCTTTTTGTGTGTGAGAGAGAGAGAGAGAGAGAGAGTAACAAGTAACAACATAATGCTATGAGTTAAAAGTTGCAAATAAGCATGGAAAAAAACAGATTGGAACACAACAGTAGCACAATGCAAAAAATGGGGGTATCCTTTCTGATAAAATCAAGTTGAAGAGCCAATCCAGATGCACAACTATGACTGTGGTACAGCTCCAACAAATCCATAGAGCTCAAAGTCACACTACAAATCCATAAAGACCAGTTAAAATAGCACAGAGACCCTGAGTGAACAATAATTTTGTGTTCTATTGTAAATTCTTTCATGTACTTTAAATCCAACTAAACAAGATATCATGCGTCAGATTTTCACTGGGGCCTACATTCAGACCAGGAGAGACTTTAAGAAGCAAATTTATCATGTATCCAGTATCCAGTATCGTACTTGATCCAGGCTACATTTCTACATTTTGTTCCCAGCAGAAAGGTCACTGGCACCATAAGTTCTTAGTACTTCGTTTCTCTCATTAGTTGTATCGATCGTGAGAGTGATCAACATGATCAGGATACAAAAGAACCATCAATTTATTGGACAACTCGAGAAATAAGCTCAAAAAAAAACACGATGAGATTATAATGAGTGTTTTTGTATGTCTGAATATGTCAACAAAAACATTCCAATTACACCACCAGTGTAAAATACTCATCAGAAGATAGCAAATAGCATCATTTAACAACTTGCGTGCTAGATTATAAACATCAGAATTCTTGCAAGAATTTCAGTCAATTATTATAAATTTTACCTGGCATCAGATTTTTTCAAGAACTCATCAGGATATGCCCGCCTATATTGCTGTCTCCACCGGAACCTAAAAACACAAAAGATAATTAAAGCACAAGAAACCCTAAAAAATCAGCCAATGCAATAACACCTTAGATAAGTATTCATAAATGTAGCACCAAATACCCAATAGTTTCCAAAATGCCAAACATTCCCCTCAACTAAGCCCAGTTCCAATATGATTGGTTGAATGTAGTTAAATGAATTAGTTTCCATACTTTTTCTCTGTTTATACCTCTAACCCTTTGATTGGAAGCAGAGATAAACAAATGAAGAGAAACGGAATGAAATTCGAAGTCAAAAATATTGTTCATCATGTTTTAATTTCCACAAAATGGTAAGCTCTACTCAGCTAACAATTAAAAAATAAATAAAATTAGGCTTTGCTTTTGCGATTTCGGCACTAATTCCAACATTTTCAAAGCAACCAAAACAAAAAAAAGAATATTGAATACATAATACTTACGAGAACTCTTGAAAAACGTAAATAGCGGGGTCGATTTTGGGAATAACGATGGGTAGTCTCTCGAAGAGCACAGAGGCGACGATCTTATCGCTGTTCTTTGATGTGCAAAACCCTCTCGTTCTTCTAAGAGATTGAGTCAATGATGTACAAGATCTCTGCATTTCCACAAAACCTAAAAACAAGGCCAAAGAAACGTTCATAGTCTGATATTATTGTTAATACACAAATGTAAATATACCTAGATTGCATGCAAGAGGAGTAGAAGACCTATACGAGGATGGGTCGCATGAACCCTAACAACGGGGAGGGTGGAGATTGGAGAAGAGGAAAAAGAAGAAGACAGTGAAGAGTTTAGCTGAATGTGAAACAGAGAGCAGTTTACCAGTGACCGGTAATGGCAATGGGGGAAGTGGAAAGTTTTTACTCCTCTCTTTCAGTAAGAGAAACCGGACATGTCGGTGACTAGGTCTTCATTTCATAGTTTTAAAACTCGGCCTGGTCGTCAACCTGACAAGGAGATCAAATCAATGGGTCACTGGTTAGACTGTTGGGTCACTGCTCATACTGATAATATAATAAAAAAATTAAAAAATAAATATAGATACTAATAAATAAATTAAAAATTACAATAATTATAAAAATAACATCAAACATATAAAATTAAGTAGAGAAAAACCGTCAAACATGTATCCAACAAATAGAGAATATTTATTTGAAATTTTCACTTCTAATCTAGTCCATTGTGAATTCAAAACAAATCAGATGCAGAGAGAGAAAGCAAAGGAATTTGTAATTACAGTCTCACTGTCAGGATAAACAATTCTAAATGAATCCATGCTTTACCAACTTCAAACGTTGATACAACTCAAGCCACTATCGGCACAAACTGTATTTAAATTAAGAACACAAAAAATAAACAGATCATGTTAATTTGGTGCAGAAAGTTAACAGATCATGATATATGCAGCTCTCCATTTCACTCGTTTAATTACAAAGACAAATAGTTAGGGGTGAACCCAATCAAAGATTCAAAATCTTATAAACACAGAAACTCCAACTTTACAAAGACAAATACCCTGGGGGTTTTGTTTGTAAGACACAAAAAAATTTATCCATGATATTATCAAAAGCACAATATATATGACTGATTACAGTCACTGAACGAGAGAGAGAGAGAGCACTCACCTCGTCACTAGACTGGAGGCTGGAGTGGTACCTCTTGGAGCTGCTCAGTCGCCGGAATAGTGCCTCTTGGAGCTGTGCTCAGTCGCTTGATGGTCTGGAATCTGGATGGATCGATTAGGGTAGGTCTCGATTTACGGCAAAAGAGCAAAAATGCAAAAAACTTACATTTATACGAAAAGTTTTAAACCGTCCCGGTTCTCACAGGTTAACCGGTTTTTGACTGATTCAACGGTTTAATCCTGATTTCTATGCACAAACGGTCTTTTACGAGAACCGGTTTGAGTACCGGTTCACTGGGTTGACCTGCTGGGCCGGGCCAGTTTTTTAAAATATGCTTCATCTTTAAGTCGATGACCCGGATGAAGAGTCCGAAAAAAAGATAATCGGACCCTATGGTTCGACTCATTTTGAGTGTCAACGTGTCGGATCGAGTCATTTCGTGTCAGGTTGATTTTGAATTTGTGTCAAAAATCTCAAAACTCGAACCTAACATATTTAATAATCATGTTGAGATGTGTAAATACTAACTTGACTGGACCATTAAACGAGTTATCCGAACGCGACAATGAGTTTGGTCGGGTTCGTATCCGAATTATGTCAACCCGTTTAAGATATACTGGTTAATTAGGTCAAAATCAAATTGACCTGATTTTGATATGAACTTGACATAAATTTTTTCATGTTTTAAGCGTGTTGACCTATTTTAATCCATTAACTCGTTTAATTTTGTGTCAGACCCATTAATTTTGTGTTCGATTCGTGTCGAAAATTGATAGTCACTTCAAGTTCGATCTTTAACATACTTAATTCTTGCTCAAATTTTAAATTTGCATAAAATAAATTAAATAAAAGTTCTAATCCTTTATTCAAATTCACATTAAATAAAAAAAATTCAAATTTTTACTCAATCTCCAATAATCAAATTTCATCATCGTTTAAAAATTAATGATTATAGTTGATCCTTCTTTAAATTTGAATTTATATTATTTAAATTTATTAGTTAAAATATTTAATATTNAAACATATAAAATTAAGTAGAGAAAAACCGTCAAACATGTATCCAACAAATAGAGAATATTTATTTGAAATTTTCACTTCTAATCTAGTCCATTGTGAATTCAAAACAAATCAGATGCAGAGAGAGAAAGCAAAGGAATTTGTAATTACAGTCTCACTGTCAGGATAAACAATTCTAAATGAATCCATGCTTTACCAACTTCAAACGTTGATACAACTCAAGCCACTATCGGCACAAACTGTATTTAAATTAAGAACACAAAAAATAAACAGATCATGTTAATTTGGTGCAGAAAGTTAACAGATCATGATATATGCAGCTCTCCATTTCACTCGTTTAATTACAAAGACAAATAGTTAGGGGTGAACCCAATCAAAGATTCAAAATCTTATAAACACAGAAACTCCAACTTTACAAAGACAAATACCCTGGGGGTTTTGTTTGTAAGACACAAAAAAATTTATCCATGATATTATCAAAAGCACAATATATATGACTGATTACAGTCACTGAACGAGAGAGAGAGAGAGCACTCACCTCGTCACTAGACTGGAGGCTGGAGTGGTACCTCTTGGAGCTGCTCAGTCGCCGGAATAGTGCCTCTTGGAGCTGTGCTCAGTCGCTTGATGGTCTGGAATCTGGATGGATCGATTAGGGTAGGTCTCGATTTACGGCAAAAGAGCAAAAATGCAAAAAACTTACATTTATACGAAAAGTTTTAAACCGTCCCGGTTCTCACAGGTTAACCGGTTTTTGACTGATTCAACGGTTTAATCCTGATTTCTATGCACAAACGGTCTTTTACGAGAACCGGTTTGAGTACCGGTTCACTGGGTTGACCTGCTGGGCCGGGCCAGTTTTTTAAAATATGCTTCATCTTTAAGTCGATGACCCGGATGAAGAGTCCGAAAAAAAGATAATCGGACCCTATGGTTCGACTCATTTATGTCGGATTGAGTCATTTCGTGTCAGGTTGATTTTGAATTTATGCCAAAAATCTCAAAACTCGAACCTAGCATATTTAATAATCATGTTGAAATGTGTAAATACTAATTTGACTGGACCATTAAACGAGTTATCCGAACGCGATATGTTTGACACATTTAATAAACATGTCGTTTTCGGGTTAACACACATGTTTGTTTGACATGTTTAACACACATAATACAGACCTATTTAACACACATAACCCGAGTTCATATCTGTTCATTGCCATTAAATACATCATTCAATCATTCATTCAAAATTTTAAACAATTTTTTTACAAATAACGTACCACATCTCATCAATAGAATTAACTAAATTGCATTCAAATTTAAACCCAAAAATTAAAATAAAAACTATATTAGGATACTGTCATAATAATGTTATAAACTAAATTGCTAATTACCATAGTAGAAGTAAAAAGTAATAAGTAATAATGTTAAAATCATATCAGTTATATATAATAGACAAATTATATTGCTATAAACGAGTCTTCAATGAGTTTGGTCGGATTCGTATCCGAATCATGTCAACCCGTTTAAGATATACGGGTTAATTAGGTCAAAATCAAATTGACCTGATTTGATATGAACTTGACATGATTTTTTTCGTATTTAAGCGTGTTGACCTATTTTAATCCATTAACTTGTTTAATTTTGTGTCAGACCCATTAATTTTGTGTTCGATTCGTGTCGAAAATTGATAGTCACTTCAAGTTCGATCTTTAACATACTTAATTCTTGCTCAAATTTTAAATTTGCATAAAATAAATTAAATAAAAGTTCTAATCCTTTATTCAAATTCACATTAAATAAAAAAAATTCAAATTTTTACTCAATCTCCAATAATCAAATTTCATCATCGTTTAAAAATTAATGATTATAGTTGATCCTTCTTTAAATTTGAATTTATATTATTTAAATTTATTAGTTAAAATATTTAATATTAAATTAAATTTTTATTCAAATTTAAGCAAAAAAATAAATTTAAATTAAAGATAGTGTTAATCCACTCACGATAGAAAAAGCATCACTCTCGTGCTTCATTCTTATTTCATTTTTCATTTTTCCATTTCAAGTTTTTTTTTGGGTAGAACATCAAAGTTTTTTATTTCTAGCCAATGCCCATGAGATATAAATACTAATCAATTATCAAGCACCTCTCTCCTCAAAGAAACAAGGAAGAAGAACTGATGACTTAGTAATTAATGTATTATTTGGTAACTTTTTTTAAAAATATTATAAAAATAAATCAAATATATGTCTTAGTGTGAAAAGGATACGTACTTGTATGCGTACATATATACTACTATTTATCTATATCTATATCACTTTAAAAAGTCAGGGTACGTGAAAAATATTTTATTTTCAATATTATCCTCTAACATTTTTATTATGTCATCCATGTCCTCTGCTTCCAGGCGTTAATCAGCCTGTTCCTAGCTTCTCGCTTCTCTCCTCTTCACTCTTCTCTCCCTATTTCCTCTATCACATTCACATAGCCATTACACTCTCTCTTCTCAGCGGTTACACCCTCTTCCTCTCTCCTACTTTCTCTCCCTTTTTTTTTNGAGTTCATATGTCACAAATAACCAATATGTAGAAACTATATGCAAATTCAATGCATTTTGACATTGAACTATAGCCTAATTTTTGTTCCTCAATGCAACTGTGTAACAGAGAGTCTTTGTGCATGGATTCCCCATGGTTTCATGACTGTAAATATGAACTTGAGAACTGGGTCCAAAGTCCTGATACACTCAAGTAAAGCATTGACAATCACAAACTGTCAACAGTACAACAGGAATGTTTTGTACGACCTATTGAGGTGTAGTGTATTTAGTGTAGAGAAACACACCACGAAAGCCACTGCACGTCTGCCTGCGACCACTGCTCTGTTGTGCCATCACCTTCGTGTGATCGACAGAAGAGAAGAAAAAAAACAAAATGGAAAAGAGTTTTCTAGGCCACATAAAAATGTAAAGCTTCGTNCAATTAAGTTGTTTAACTAAAAAGACTGCTGAGCTTCTTCGTAATTCTATTTACAATCGGCCTTTCCTGTCCAAAAATTTCTTCGAAATCCTATTTGCCAGCGCTTGTGTCTTGGTATTACACTTTGCNGTGTGATCGACAGAAGAGAAGAAAAAAAACAAAATGGAAAAGAGTTTTCTAGGCCACATAAAAATGTAAAGCTTCGTTTCATAACGCTAAGGCCAGAAAATAATGTATCACATTGAATGTTCTTAGTTTTATAATTATGTCCCAATTTTCATTAATTAGACCAACTGTAACTTTGTCAATGGCCTCCTTGGATTTGGCAGCTTAATTACTTTGCAGTCATTTATACTAATTAAGCACTTATGATTGACCACTACAATCAATAGAAGCTTTGAAATCATGCTATGCAGAATTACCAGTAAATCTTTTATCTTATCGGCTTTTCCTAATGGATCCATCTCAGCAAAAACCTTTTGGATTCCAACCTCCTTCGCAATTGCAGTTGCTGTTGCCCAGTTATCACCAGTCACCATGGTACTTAAGATGTCCATAGAGTGCAGATAAGATATGACACGACCAGCCTCAGGTTTCACCGGATCAGTCACAAAGCAAACTCCAGCAACTCTACCATCAATGGCAATTACCACACAAGTACGAGCAAGTTGCTCATTCTCTGAAATGTAGTTCTCAACCTTATAACCAACTGGAACATTGCAATCCCTCATAAGCCTCTTGTTCCCAACCAAGACTTCTCTGTCTCCAACTTTTCCACTCACCCTCGCTCCTGGGTGCACCACAAAGTCGTTTACGTCAGTGAAGTGTTTAGTTTTGGATCCAAGCTTCTGGCATAGCTTCTTAGCATGCTCCACTACAGCTTTTGCTACAGGGTGCTCACTATTTGCCTGAAGACAACTTTGAAACACACTAAGTTCACATTGTAATGGGGATTATGGGTTGTAGGCGAAGGTACGAATTGCCCTTTTATGACATTTGCCAGATCACCTAATTTATTTCCTATGATGACAATTTTCTGCACTTTTTAAAAGCATTAAATATGATCCGGCAATTCCTATCTCTCTCCTTTTTTTAAAATTATTGTGTTAGCACAAGTAGAAGTCTGAAAAACCCATATTCATTTGAAAGTAGAATGCCTGCGTATAAATTTTCCACTCCACCTTTGTTTATGGGATGCGCCATCTGGATGACACGATGGGTTGTTGTGGATGAAGTATATGGTTCATTGTTTTGTTTGGCCTTGATGTGGAGGAATTCAGTATTCACTTCATGAGTTTGGCTGGTAACAGTTACTGGCTCTAACCTGCCAAACCATTTACTAGACTAACCCTTGTGATCTTTTCTTTTGTAGGGATCAAACCTGGATAGCAATGCGAAAATGTGGCGCTAAATTGCACATCTTATGAATTATCTTGGTAGTAATTTAATCATTATTGTTTGACTGAAACCTTTTGACCCTTCCATTGACACACTGCTCTCTCTCTCTCTCACACNTGTGATCTTTTCTTTTGTAGGGATCAAACCTGGATAGCAATGCGAAAATGTGGCGCTAAATTGCACATCTTATGAATTATCTCGGTAGTAATTTAATCATTATTGTTTGACTGAAACCTTTTGACCCTTCCATTGACACACTGCTCTCTCTCTCTCTCTCTCACACACACACACACACACTCAGAGGAATGGAACCAAAAGAAAGGGAATGGGACAATGTACTTTTTTTAAATGATTGAAGTCATTGGACTAAATTATACTGAAAAGATCAGTTCAATATTTATTCTATCTCCGTCATAGCCTCACTCGTTCATCATAGATTCAGTTTCTGAGTAGTTGAATATGAAATTCAGATATTTGTTATCAAGTATTCTTTCACTTGATATGGAAGAACATGGCATTGGTTGCAGGAATGTTGATGGACATTGTTTCTCCTTTGTTTCCTTCAGCATTTGTGTTCGTAGTCTGCTTAGGGAGCTTATCAAGATCATTCAGTAAGTCCCCACTTTTGTGAGGAATATGCTCTGAAATGCTATTGAGATAAAAATAGATTGTGATCTGAATTCTTACAATCACTTTTAACATCATGTTTCATTCAGCTGGTGTTGCAAGTGGAGCAACCAGAGCTGCTTTGACGCAACATTTTGCTCTTCAGAATAATGCAGCAGATATATCTGCAAAGGTACCACAGAAGACATTGTGAAACAAACATATTCTCATTTTCTAAAATGAATGTGTACCTATAACCTTTCTATGTGTTCATTTAATATCATGCTTTCTTTTGTCATGCAAATTAATAATACCATCAAATTAATTCCTCTGTTCTATTTTTTTTTTAATTCTACTTGTAAATTCAATAATAAAAATAATGGCGCTAATCTGTTAATATTTCTTCACCAGAAACCGCCTGGACCACTTTTGCTCATATCATCACCGCCATGATTGGAGCTGGTGTCCTCTCTGTAATTGTGATCCACCACATCAGAAAATATTTGGACAAGGAAAGATAAAATTCACTAGGGTGTCACAGAAGATATCACATCATTTGTCTCTTCCGCAGCCCATTCACTTGGACCACAAGATCAAGCTTTCAGGGCTGGCATTGCATGCTATGATATCTTGGTGGATGTGCCCTTCCCTATACAGAAGGAATTCAATGCTTTGCTGGCCAACACAGAGAAAACCAAAGAGATTGATGCTTGTGATGAAGCAACTTGTACGGCCATAAGGAAGATCCATGAGCATCGCAACAGACGGGCATTCTTTCTTGGATTCAACCAATCACCAGTGGAATTTATCAATACTTTGATTGAATCTCAAGGCAGAGACTTGAAGCTTACAGCAGGGCAAGCAAGTCGTAGTGCTGAGAAAGAGCATCGATTAAATTTCTACAGGCAACCATGGTAAGCTTATACACTTCTTCTTACTATAAACATTGTGCAAACACCACTTCTGAATGTTGATATGCAGTAATATTTGTTTACACTAACTGTTAATTACAAGTTCGAAGCAAGTTGAAGATGGACATGATAGGAGATTCTATGATGCATCACAATGAAGATTTCTTGGACAATGTCATAATCAAGTATTTATTTGAGATTTTAATTACTGCTTTTCAAACTCTTGGTTTTTATAGTGATTTTGAAGGAAATGAAGAGAAGAAGAGATGGTTTGACAAAACTTCTGTGTTTCACGAATTAAGCACTTTATAAAGGACATAGTTTAATGTATCCTTATGAGTGTTCAGAAAATATAGAATTTGTACTATTTGAATCTCGAAAGCACTAATTGACAGCCTCTCAAAAGGCACATCGAACACGCTAAGGGACATTGAAATGGTGCAAGAGGATATATGGCAGTATATGAGGACTTTTCCCTCAATTCTATTCCAAGCAGTCATAAGGAAGGAGAATCAATTGGTTTACCTTATAGCCTCCATGACCAGGAATGGTTCCATCCCTACACAGTGTGCTGTTAACCCACCTGGTAGAGTCATACTGCTGGTGAACAAGGAAGCTAGAGAATGAATTGGGTAGGAAAGATGTTGATGGCTGGATCTTGCTTTGAAGCCATTTCAAAGTCTTTGCTTTAGCATATGGTATATTTTGTGATAGTGAAACCAGACCAAAAAAACAAATATCAAGGGGCTGATGTTTCCAACTTATTGTATTTATACGTTTTTAGATAAAAAAAAATCACATACATTCTGTTATATATAACATTTTATAGGAACTTAGGGCCAAACTTATATCTTTGGCTTATAGATGGGAAAATAACTAGTTATTCTCAAATTTTTTGTTGACGTTATACTTGGTCTCATTATTGTTTTGTATGGAAATCTTGAAAATTTGGCTGTTACGTGCCATGGAGCTAGAGGGCTATTGAGAATACATTAATGTTAGCGTTTTGGTTTTGTGCTTCCAAGCAGAAGAGAGATTAGGAATATTATTACTCTTCCAAGATTGACAATGGTGACACTTCTATTTACAGTTGTACCATCTTTGGCATTTTTCCATCTTTATTAGCTTAATGTATTGCTTAATGTATTGCACCCCTCAGGAGGGGTGATAAATTCAACTGACTTTTAACTATTGTTTAGGCTGCCCATAGAGACTCAATTAAGGGTGCCCTATGCTTTTTTTTTTGAATTATTACTCCGACAAGACAACAAAGAACAGCCAAAGAGTTCACTAATAAGGCATTTGGGCATACCACCCCAAAACATTACTCCCCACTTTGTTTCCAGATTATAAAAATTAGCTCATAATGTTGCTGCATCATTTAAATGAATTTACTTTGTTTCTTAACAACAATAAGTACATGAACTTTCAGATTTCTAAGACTTTCAACTTTAGATTTTTACACTAGAAATTTATTTGATAGCGGCTTAGAGAGTGTTAGATTTTACTTCAAGAACTACACACTTATCAACCGACTAACAAGTATTAAGAGAACTTGAAGGCAATGAAACTTACTATCTCTAATCATGAGTCTTGTAGAACTAAAAGTTGTTTCTACTTTCGATTATAATGTACGAAATCTAGATGGCCCATGTGGTGATTGTTTTCCATTTGCATATTGTTGTGATACTTTACACATGAATTTCATGTTAGCAAATCAAAAAAGTGCTTGAAACCTTACCTGTCTAATTTTCATGCTAGAACACACTAATCACCTGTATTATTATGGGAATGCGAAGACACTGAAACTTACAAAGCTCAATTCATAGTTTCACAAAACAAAAAGTTTGCTTATACTTTTGAGTAATATATGTTTCCTAAACCACCTAATGTGGTGATTTGTGCCCATTTGCATATCTCCATGTTAGTTTGCATGAATTTAAGTTTTACCACAGAAAATAGTCATGAAACCTTTATCATTTTTGTTTTTCACATCTTGAAGTTATTTGGAAAAGCATGTGTTGGTTATTTACTAAGAATGCAGGCAAAAGGAGCAGAAATTTGGAAATATTTTTTTTTTTCATTTGTAATTAATAGATAGAAATTAAAAATTTGTACATTTTGTTCATAAATCATAATCTAAGAATGCCAAACTAATATTTATTGGGTCAATTGTAAACAATACAGATGAAATGAATTGGGATTTTGGAGAGATAACATACCTCGTCTTATAATTATATTAAGTTGGCTTACCATCTTCTTCGTTCATAACGACTAGACTAGATAGAAGAAGTTGACTCAATTCTCTGTTTTGTTTTTGCCACCATGACTTGAATAAATTCTTCATTGTTAGGGAAAAAATGTCATTCAAATGCTTGGAAGGGTGCTGGTGACACTGGTGGTTATTCTTATGAGTTAGGTTTAAGGTTGTGATCTTATATGCTTCGTTTAGGAGTCTTGTTCCAGATTAAACTTTTTACTTGTAATTTTATCTCAATTATTCGCTCTCATGTCCTTTGACCTGACCATTGACGATTTCCAACCAAACATCCTCCAATGCCTTTATATATTACCTTTGAGTCCTTAAGTTAATAACATATATGAGTCATATATTCATTTTTAATTAGGAATGTATGAGTTACATACTTCATTCAAATTCAGTTAATGTGTCCAAATCCTTTTCTTTGAATGACAAATAGCACGAAACTACCTTTTAAGATCTCGTGTCAAAATGCTCAATTTTGTACAAATAAACTTATAATTCCATGCCATAACAAATAAGAAACAAAATTATATTTTAAAATTATCCACGTAATGCACGTGTGCACCAACTAGTTACTTTTAAAAGCACCTTGAGGTGAAAATTTGTTGTTTGACTAAAATAACCTCAATAAAATAGTTATTCTCTATTATATCTTTTTGGAGTTAATAGTATTATTAAATTATATGTAATTTATTTATATCTATATCTATATCTATATGTATCTATCTATATCTATACTATTATAAATGCCAATTAACATGTAAAACTTTTATTTTTCTAGTTTAACCCTAATTTTTAATGTAAATTCAATTGAAACCTTGAACTTTGAGAGTCTTTTACCTTCTTATTAAGTGATAGTAAATTATTTACAAAGTTTACCTGAATTACTTATCTATACTTAACTTTTTTCCCCAGCTTTACCCTCTAATAACACAAATATTCCATTCTTATCCTTCAAAATTAATGCTACAGTGAACCTAAATTATCAACTCCACCAAATTGATTCCCTATTTTTCAGTCGTTACTCCTTCTCTCTCTCTCTCCACCCAATTGCTTCACGATTAATGTTAACACCTTTACAGTCTCCTAACGGATGCCTCTTTGTCTTGCATCCCTATATCGTCTTATCTCTCCGATTTCTCTTATTCATCTTCTCCCATCCTTCTTCGTCTTCTTTGATTTCTCTGTCTTTTTTTTTTCAGGACTCAGATCAACAAAAACAGTTCAGAAGAAACATCCATCATCACCACAACGGATGCCACTACACCTCTCAAATTCTTTTGCTGCTTACATTTCTCATCCTCTCTCCCCCTTCTATCTCTCAAAACCAGAGGTACTGTTTTAACTACACTGGATTGCACAACAATTTCTCCTATTTGATTGATCTATGTATTATATTTTTTTTGAATTATTTCATGATTAATGTAATATCATGTCTTTTGTTAATTTTTAAATGGTTCGATTTATGGCCATTTTATATTTCCTCCGAAAGTTTCAATTCGTTTGTTTCTGATATGTATTCTTGTATTGGTCTACTTTATAGGTACTTCAAGACATAGAGAATTACTAGAGGTTTGTTTTTTGTCCAAGCCTTCTCTCAACTTATATGTGTGTAATTTTGATATGCATTATCTATATTTGCTTAGTAATTAAAGAATGTCCATATCGTTAGAAGTTACGAATATTCTGTTGGATTTATGTATAGAAAGTTCAAGGCCTTTTTTTAAATTCAACTGAGTTTTAATTTTGTTCGATTAATATGTTTTTAGATTGGGAAAGGAAGGATTTATACTTTGACAGCAATTTTTTTTTTCTATGATGGCCAAATTAGAAAATGAGTACAGGAAAGGCATAATCCCATTCTTCCCTTGTGATCATCATTAAAAAAAAAAAAAAGGGAGAATTACACCTAGACTCCTTAAAATTTGTCACTTAATCACTCAGACTCTCTGACATTTGAAATATTACAGACAGATCCCTTGAGGTTTGTACGCGCGTAACACCTAGGCCCCTGCTTTAAATATATCAGTTAATAAATTATACTTAGCCTCATGAAGTTTATGGATATATAATACTTAGACCCCTTAAGTTTAAAGTATTGTACTTAGACAAAAAATACTGCAATTAAAGATAAAATATCAAATATTTTAAATTTTGCAATCAAAATTTATTTTCTATTGTATCATTTATTGAAATAAAATTAAAAATAAAAATTTAATTTTTTTCTTAAAAATTGGTAATTAGTATACAATTATATTATCTATTAAAAAATAATTTAGTCGTTTAAACGACTAAATTAAAATACCAATTAAAGTTAAAAGATATTGTGTCCATTACAGTTCGATCCCTTATTTAATTTTTTAGTTTTATTCTAATAAATAGTATAATTATATACTAACTATGATTGTTTTAAAAAAAATTAGACTTTTATTTTTGATTTTATTTCAATAAATGACATAATAGAACATGAATTTTAGATGTAAAATTCATGTTCTATTATGAATGACTTAGACCCATTTTTTTTATTTTTTTTTAGTTTTATTTCAATACATACTATAATTGTATATTAATTACGATTTTTTTAAAAAAAATTAAATTTTTTATTTTTAATTTTCTTTCAATAAATGATACAATAGAATATGAATTTTGGTTGTAAAATTTAAAATATTTAATATTCTATATTTGATTAGAGTATTTTTGGTCTAAGTATAATATTTAACTTAAGGGGTCTAAATATTATATACTTATAAACTTCAGGGTTTCTAAGTGTAATTAATTAACTGATATATTTACACAAAAAGTCTAACTGTTACGCGTGTACAAACCTCAGAGAGTTTGTGTAATATATCAAATATCAGAGGGTCTAAGTGATTAAGTGACAAACATTAGGAGTCTGTGTGTAATATTTTAAATATCAGGGAGTCTAAGTGATTAAGTGACAAACATCAAGGAGTCTGAGTGTAATTCTCCCTAAAAAAATGAAAATACAATGTTAATAAACAATTTTGGAAGTATAGACCTAAGAAAAAATATGATTTATTATATCGTAAGTATTTGTTCCATAAATCTTTATTGTTTGCATATTTTATTTGTCATGTAATGTGAATTTCCTACTTAAACTTATGATTCCTGATTTGATTTAATTATTGATTTGAAAATAAAAACTTTGATTCACAATGCTAATCTCGATTTGGCAATTATGCTTGTAACTATTCGACTCTTGATTGTTATTATTATCAATTGTGACCTTTATAGACAATAAGAGTAATGTTACATTGATCAAATTTTAGGATCACATCAAGAGCCCAAATGACATGGCAGCTGGCTTGGGCTTCTTTATTTGGTGATATGTCATCTGAGCCCTAATAAAGACTCCAAATAATATGTTGTCATATCATTTGAGCTCTTAATTTGGTCCCAAAATTTGGTCAACATTACATTATTGAGACAATAATTCATGAGACACATGGACAACCCATATATGTTGTTTTTCTCACTCTGCCAATGTGACAAATAGAAGTACCTATCTATGACAAAAAGTATTTGCAAATACAACATTTAGCTGTGTTAGTTCACAAATTTGGAATTGACGATGCTTGACAGTTTGTTCATATTGAATTCCAGTGCTCTATCTTTAACCAAAAGTCTTGAGATTTAGTACAATTTGGCTTTTCTACCTGTTTTAGTTTTTATCAAAATTAATGGAGCATGATGATGCTGCAATCAGTTCATTTGTGTGTCTCTTTGTACTTTCAACTTGATGTGTTGCTTATGTTTTTCTTTGTTGCAAGGTTAGGCTTTTGGGATGTGATATATGCTTGTGATATTGGGCTATAGCATGAGTTCCCTCTATGTGTTAATATTATAATAGATAATTAATTATGTTGTAATTATGGTTACTGCGAGTTGTGTGATGCATGGTGTTACAGCTGCATTGCCTTGTGCAAATGAAAGTTTAATATAAGTTAGCTTCCTTGACAAATGTGTGTTGCATTCTCTAGATGTAGACTTTGAGATTACGTGCTTGACATTTTTTTAAGCTTGTCCTATTCTGATTCAACCTTATTTATAGGTAATATACATTTTTCAAAACCATTCATATCGATAGTATCATCTGTTGATATATGATGAGTTAGAATTTACTGTTGTGTATTTTTTCATTGCATCTGTTTGGTGTACACCTTGACATTATCTAATATGTTCTGGGTAAGTTGCTCATGTAGTTCATTTTAATGCATTTTCTTTTAATATGAATTAGGAGTTAAGGATTTAACATTGACAAGCTGGACATATCGATGCTTTTTTTGCTTTTAAGACGACATGTAGTAGTCATTAACTGTTGAGACTGTAATATGAGAAGTATAGTGTGTCATTTACTTATTTTTATTGATAGGTTGAAGCGTAGTGATTGTTATGTATGCGTTGATTCACAAGTACATTTTGTAGTATATTCATTGGTAGACTAAGAAGTATCTTCTTGTGAGGAGGTAAAATCATCTTAGTCTCCTATTTTTTGTCCACTATCTATATCTATAAACTACTATAAAATACTTTTTTGATTTTTTGGTTGAGATGGCTTGTAGAATTAGAAAAACTCCCAAACACAATATATTAGGTTGAGATAGAAAAAAGATAAAAGAGTCGCTTTTTTCAAACTTTACTTTTGATGTGCTTACCATTAGGCTAGGACTTCACATATCAAACCTTGTTGAAATCATGGTTTAAGCTTGCCCTTATATGAATGCAATTAGAGGCATGTTATGCCATGATTCCTGTTGGAAGGGTTCAATGCCTCTTTGGTAAACTAAAATTGACCAATTACAATAAGGAGCAACTGTAGCCTATAAATCTTGATTTCATAGCAAACCAATTCTGATTATGTCCCTAATCCTTTTCAAGGTCAGTGCCACTGCTGCAAATGGTGTGATGTTTGTGAGTATCATGAGAAAAATTTTAATCTGAGTAAATAGTTTTAGTCGAACATTCTTCAGTATTGGTTTTGTAATTTATGATAGTATACATATGATGTTAATGTATACATTGTTTCGCATGCTATTGGACACGACTTCTCAACTTTTACAAGCAAAAAAAGATTTTACAATTGCTAATTTAGATATCATCCAAAAATTCTCATACATATAATTTTCAATTTTGCATGTGTTTGCGGCGAGTCTCTACATGAGTGGTGCAGTGAAATTTTGGCACTTTCTTTCGCATCCCTACGATTGATTTTAAAAAGAAAGGAAGAAATGGTGAGACATGAGGCAGGAGATAGTCTATGCAAGTGATTACGTGATTTCTTTCTATAGCATTAACCAAATAGAAAAATATTTATCCAGAGATTAAATTACACTACACTGGAATAGATGATATTACACACAGTTCTCCATTAGATTTTCCCCTTCTAGCTCTAGCACATGATGAACATTTCAAATTTTTATTCTTTTAGACATTTTAAATTGTGCAAATGAAACTATATATCGACACTTGACAATATTTGCAAAACTGCCTCAAGTCTAGAACCTAGCTGGCTTGGTTCATTTTATTAACTTGCAATGTTGAGCATGATGGAAAGCAATCATCAGACCCAACAACCGTACAACTACTAAATACCATATTTGGCCATCTCTATTAAAATAAAAAAAAAGAGAACAATATTATTTAAAATTAATTTATTGTCATAATTCATTATGACCATTAAATTAATTGTGAGTCTCATTAAATATTAAAACTTGATGTTAATTTAATAATTTTAATGAAATTATATTATTATGTCAACAAATTATATTAGTCCCAATAACATTTTAAAGATGGTATTATATGTGTCGACATCTTCAAAACTTACCCCAACCTGCTCAACATCGAAGATAGTATTCGTGGTTGAGGAGATTAATTTTAAAGGTTAAAAAGATAGTCATATCTTATACAGTATCTCTTAAGAATTTGCGGATGAAATAAGTATTGTTAAGCAACTCATCTATATTTTAAAAGATGACGGAGAATAAACTTCCATATTTAATTTATTTATTCTAATAACATTTGTTTTTTTTTTTTTTATGAATGTTTGCTGAAATGATAGAATTTAAAAAAAGTAATCCACAACTCGAATGTTTAATATTTTATAATTAAACGGATTCACGTACAATGCATGTGTGCACCAACTAGTATTATCAAATGACACCTAATGCATTACTACTCTTTTACGAAGCAATCTAGAAGCATCTTAGTACATAAATGTTATAGTTATAGACATGTATATGTATATTACTAAGCTGTCACTAAATTTAGAAGAAAAGAGTAAATTGAGACAAGAAAATAGTAAAACTATAAAATGCAAAAAACAACGTTACTTAAAAAATATATATTTAAAAATACATGTCCAAACAATACTTAATGTCAGGATGAACCTCATCATCAAGGCCTGACAATTCTAGACAAGTCTTAAAAAATCGACACAAATTTAACGAATTTAGATAGTTAACGGATTAACTCGGCTGACTCGTAAAATAAATGAACCGATTTCGTGTTTAAACCATAAATTCGTTTCAACCCGTTTAACCTGTTAACAGTTGTACTATAATTTTTTTTTTTGTAAAAAGTTAAGTCCTCATCATCTGTCTCATCTTACGTTTCTCATCTCTTAGTCTCATTCAAATTTAATAGTCATTTAATGTTTATTTTTTATTTTTATTTTTTTGCTCAACCATGATTTATTGTTATAGTAAATAAGTCAAACATGTGTAATGTGCTGTAAGTTGATGATTTTTCGTGTGTACTCAAAATACTCTATATACTCCTTCCGTTCCTAAATATCTGTCGTTTAAAGTTTTTGCACAGGGATTAAGACAGCTATTAAATAATTCTAATATGAGTAAAAAATAATTGCACAAGACTAAAATAACTTTATTCAATACATATTAAGAAGGGAAAAAATATAAAAAACACTTAACCTTTACATAATCTAATGCATTGAAAAGTTAAAAGTAAATTTGAAAGAAAAAATATTAATAATGCTTTAATTTCATTAAATGACAAATATTATGGAACAAAAAAAATTATATAAAACGACATATATTTAAGAATGAATTGAATATTCTCTTACTTAGCAGGTGACACATAGGTTGTATCGAATAATCCCTCTAATAAATGATTCGTGTATGAGTGTAATATTTTAACTCGTTCATATAAACGAATACGGTATAGATGAAATTTTTTTTTGACACAAACTCATTCCATCCGACACGAAACTGCTTCACACAACACCACCACCAGTACCAGGCCTAACCTCAGCCACTATGTCTCATCCTTCTGACTATAATAGTAACAGAATAATGTCAACAGAATCTCTAAAATGCCAAGTGCTATTCCTCAAAATCTATATTATTTCTAGAAATAGACATTTTTTTTTTTGGTTCTGTTAATTATTATGCTATAAACCCTCATAAACTGAATATGTGGTACATCAAAGTGGCTCACCATCAGGAAAGACCAGAGTTCATGTATGCTTCAGATGAAGAGAATTTCCCTCATAAATACAGCCCCAATTTTAAGTTCATGATGTCAAGTGTCAACGTCTTCCACACTCACTGACGCTCATAAATACGGTCTTCCTGCTATTGTCAAATCTTTAATCAACCAGTTATACTGATGATAATAATAAATACAAACCCCATTCCAACAAGATATACAAGTTATTAAAAAGGACACCCGATATATAAATTTCAGATAAAAGTACCAGAAAATGTGATTAAAGAAGACTACAACATAACCAACTTGGAGAAAAAGTACATATATAGTTTTCACTTAAACAAGTCTGTGAGAGTAGGCAGCTTGATCTCTCCCTTACTGGAGAGAGGAATGGTTATGTCTCCAACGACTGGAAGATCAATGGTGAGACCCAAATCCAATTCATAGTCTATATCCCAATCTGCACCTATGTCTCTCCCCAAGCTCACCAATACACTGTGTGGCACCTTCACTGGCACTTCCAGTAGCGTAATATCATTTCCCTTCAGCGACCCTGGGTCCGGAACTGTACCCGAAGCAATCACCCTAGCCTCATTTACAGAAAATAAGTGGGCACATCATTTTAAGTATTCACCAAACAGGAAAACTAATTCATATGACTCGCAAATTTGACAGAAAGTAAACGGATTTGAGTTTAATTTTAATAGGGTGAAGTAGTAAGAGCCAATCCACTAAGATTGAAAATCCTCTGCTATTATAAAATAAAATTAAAAGCATAAGTGTTGTTGATCAAAATAGCATCGTTTTGCTAATAGAATGACCATTTTTTTTGGGTGCAAAACGATGCCGATGATCAGCACTTCTGTTAAAAACTAAGAGCCAAGGAGCTGGACTGGACCCATCTGTTAAACCTAACAAATACAAACCCATAAATAAAAATTATATACGATGGAAATCTGACAACAAATATTTTAAGGCAATATGACTTACGCTACTTGAAAACAAGAAAACAACTCGAATGATAAAACATAGTAACAAAGCTTCAAATTGACAAATGAAATCCAAATTGTTCGAACATCCCAACAATGCCCAAAAATATTGAGTGACTCCATCAAGATCCGCTTCATTACACTTTAGACATCATGTAATGGTAAATTGTCAATTCAAGTGAGATTTGCTATTTCATTGTATAGGTGTATGTGTATCCATAACCAATGAGATTTACTATTAAGTAAAGTTAATTAAAAGTATAATGAAGAGATATTTGAATCCCATTTTTGCCACCCAAAAATATATTTTTGTTAATTGCACCATGAATGATTCGTGCTCAAACTATTATACGCCAAAGATAGATCCGTACCCTGATATCATTGTCTAAACGCCCAAATATATTTGTGCGTGTGCATTTGTATATACATATATACATACAGATATGAACATCGTCATACTATATATATATATATATATATATACTAGGAATAACCCGTGCCTGAAAGCACGGTACAATTGAAAAAAATAGAATATTGAATTTGAACACCTGTTTTAACCTCACAACCCTTCAACCCAAAACCGCAATATAATCATAAACATGTCACCAGCACCACCACCATTCCTAAAAATGAACATCTACAAAGGCTTCAAGCCTTGATGCCAAGGGTGTAGTTTAGCAAACCAACTTTAATAAATATAAAGAACCCGAAATGATCTATTACTGTTAATTACACTCATATACAACACCAGTAAATCCCAAGTCATTTGTAAGTGTCTCAAACTTTGATCTTACAAATGTGTGAGTTAAGTGGATGCAAAAAGAAACATTGGCAATCATATTAATATATCTATGTCAGTAATTAATATGATTTACGATTTTTTAGACAGAAGGCACTATGTAACAAACAAAAAAAATCAATTAAAAGGCATACCAATTAGAATATCACTACAAAAGCAACATATAAAGCATATAAATGCGGATAGAAAATATATTTGAACCGAACACCTATTCCACAAATAAAAATACTATAGAAAAATGTAATTGAATCTATAAATGTTTCAACATGTACAATTAGAAAAATTTGAACACCTTGGTGGTGAGAGACAAAGAGAGTTGAAAAAAAAAAATGAACACTACATTAGAAGCGTTCAATTTGGCTCCATTCTACCAATAAGCCAAAGTTTTCGGCTCGAAGAAATTGTGAGTGATTCAATATTGCATTGTCAACCATTTGCCATAGGAATTAAATATTTCAATATCTACTAACAAATAGAGAGTATAAACATCAGCAAATTCTTATGTGTATGCAAATGGCATATGCTACTTGCTAGCAAGCAAACATAGATCCACCCAAAAAAGCAAAGACTGGTCAGCATATCTATATAATAAACCAACATATTTTAATCCCAAATAGGCTTATGTTCAAAACTTCCATAGTAATAAAATAGACTTCTGACCACTTACCACTAAAAAATTTAAGATAGTACAATAAACAAAATTAATACTCATATTTTGTTCAAGGTACACCCAAAAAACCTGTTTAATTGAATGAAAACAAAGTTGCAAATAATCTAGACCCATGTGAAATTTTCAATCTTAAACTGAAAGATAAAATTTTCTCTCAAACTTCTATGGTTCTCCATCTAATAACATTGGGTTGAGGTCTTGATTCTATGCCACCATGCAATAAATCACTAACAAACCAATACTAAAACCAACTAAATAATTTAAAAACCACCAATTGAATGCCAAATTCATCTAAACCAACTAAATAATTTAAAAACCAGCAATGAGGGATGCTGCATATTAGCCAACCAAATTCATCTAAACCAATAGAAGCATCTTACTACAACATGAATAATCTTAGACTCATTGTAAGGATGCTGCATCTGTTGGCCATAGATTGGCCAAGGAGGCTAATGACATCTTTCATTCCTAACCCTTATTAGATAGGGCATTTAATTGAAGTACCTTTGCTGGATGATATACTTTAAATTATCAGATAACATTCTATGGTAATATGATCGCTAGCTGATGCTTCCTAAATCGATTAGCAAACTAAAAAACTTCACAAAATTATTGCATAGGCAAGCATGTGGTCAAAAGGTCCTCCGTGCACCACGATGAGGTAAACTTCCTAGAAACCCACCAATTGAATAACATTGGGTTGAGGTCAGTATTTTTCTTAGGCATTTTGTCGAACACTTCATGTGCATTATGAATGGATGGGGAAAGAGAAAGATAGAGAAATAGACTGAGAGTGGGGGTGATTTGGTGGCGCTGGTGGATGTCTACCAAACTATAAGAGTCTTAAAAGCTTCTCGAATTAATGCAACCATCAACCACAAAGCTAAATCAAAATGCTCTGGAAGGCATTAACTAACAATAAAGAATCAGATATCTTACCCCCTACATCATTCATGTTTTGCTGCCCAATATTCTAGGCAGAGCATCTTTATGTTTTCCTATATATATATATATGAATAGTGCGATCAGAAAACTCTGCCCTATAGTCTCTGAATATTGGATCGTGATCTAACGATTACCAATCGTAGAAAACCAAAATTTAATGCAAAGACCTACCAAATTTGACAAGAAATTTCAGTGGCATATTAATTGAAATCGTATTCCTATTAGAAAATCTAGAGGAAGAAAGCAGACGAAAACCTGCCGGCGCTTTTGAGGGTGAAAGAGATCTGGCAGATGGGAATGGGTGCACCGTAGGGATTGTTAACAGACACCTTGGCCTGGTATGTTATACCGTCACGGCCTACGTGTTTCAGATCCACATCGGTGATGCTCGCCTCCGGCTTCTTTATGTTCGCCACCTTCTCCGCCACAAAGTTCTTCGCCTTGTCGATCAAATCCATTGCCACTCAACCAACGAATAAGCTTTACACACTCCTGTCTCCAGAGAGCGAGAGAGAGACGAATGCTTTGCAAACAAGGGTTTGTGCATTTTATGTGTTGGCGACACGTTGCAAGTTCTTGGGCTAGTCTCTGAGCTATTTTGGTGGTGACACGTGTTTCGACGCGTGGGGCAGCGTGATTTTGCCGCGTCCTAGGATCTGTGCTTTGAGTGTGCGGTGCACCGAATTTTTTTGATAATTGCAGATTTTAGATTTAGTTAATCTATTATAACTATGGATCGCAAATTAATAAAATAAAAAATAAAACACGTGCTTATTTATATTAGCCAATAAATAAAAAAGNCAGAGAAATAGACTGAGAGTGGGGGTGATTTGGTGGCGCTGGTGGATGTCTACCAAACTATAAGAGTCTTAAAAGCTTCTCGAATTAATGCAACCATCAACCACAAAGCTAAATCAAAATGCTCTGGAAGGCATTAACTAACAATAAAGAATCAGATATCTTACCCCCTACATCATTCATGTTTTGCTGCCCAATATTCTAGGCAGAGCATCTTTATGTTTTCCTATATATATATATATGAATAGTGCGATCAGAAAACTCTGCCCTATAGTCTCTGAATATTGGATCGTGATCTAACGATTACTAATCGTAAAAAACCAAAATTTAATGCAAAGACCTACCAAATTTGACAAGAAATTTCTGTGGCATATTAATTGTAATCGTATTCCTATTAGGAAAATCTAGAGGAAGAAAGCAGACGAAAACCTGCCGGCGCTTTTGAGGGTGTAAGAGATCTGGCAGATGGGAATGGGTGCACCGTAGGGATTGTTAACAGACACCTTGGCCTGGTATGTTATACCGTCACGGCCTACGTGTTTCAGATCCACATCGGTGATGCTCGCCTCCGGCTTCTTTATGTTCGCCACCTTCTCCGCCACAAAGTTCTTCGCCTTGTCGATCAAATCCATTGCCACTCAACCAACGAATAAGCTTTACACACTCCTGTCTCCAGAGAGCGAGAGAGAGACGAATGCTTTGCAAACAAGGGTTTGTGCATTTTATGTGTTGGCGACACGTTGCAAGTTCTTGGGCTAGTCTCTGAGCTATTTTGGTGGTGACACGTGTTTCGACGCGTGGGGCAGCGTGATTTTGCCGCGTCCTAGGATCTGTGCTTTGAGTGTGCGGTGCACCGAATTTTTTTGATAATTGCAGATTTTAGATTTAGTTAATCTATTATAACTATGGATCGCAAATTAATAAAATAAAAAATAAAACACGTGCTTATTTATATTAGCCAATAAATAAAAAAGGGTGCAATTCCATAGTGCTGTCCTTAAATGTTGCAATAAATTATGCTCTTATATATACGTCCAAATAGGATTATCGTATATATAGATACCAATATCAATTAATTCGTGTCATCAAAATTAATTTATTTTTAAAAAAAAATAGAATTGATAATCAAATTGAATTATACGAACTCAAGTCGAGAATATTAAGTTGATTTTTCTAAACAAATTTAAAAAATTATTTAAATTCAACTCGTTTAAAACGTTTAAAAAATGAGTCAAACTTGAACCGAGTCCAAAACGAATCAATCCTGAATAACTCAATTATTTTATATATAAACAAACCGAACTTTACGAACTCGAGCTTAAAAAAATTGTTCAAACTCGTTTAAAAAACAAAAAAAATCCAAAACAAATCGAACCCAAATAATTCAGCTTATTTAGAAAACGAACCAAGCCCTGAGCAGCTTAGTTCGCTTATCAGCCCCAAAAAAAAAAAGAGGAAGAAAGAAATATAAATCAACAAGCAAGATAAGAGAGCAAGAGTGACGGAGTATCTGCAGATGAAAAATAGGAATAAAGTTCATAAAAAGGCTGCAATACATTCAATAACCTCGTAAGATCAAAATCCAGAACTCGAAACTTCAGACAGATTTATGAAGCCCGGCAAAATTCATTTTGGCAATCAGCAGCCTAAACTTCCTATAGTCGGTTTCAATGCACGATAAGACAGTCAAAAACATTCCATTGACAGGAGGAATGCAAGAATTTGCTTTCTAATACAGAGAGAGATACAAGTAATCCATGGTTTTGATCCCTAAAACAAATCTTATTGTAAGCTTGGAATTGAGAAACAAAGCAGCATCAGCTGATGATCATCTTGTTAAGGAATTCGCCTTGCTCGGGGAAATACTCCAACAGTTCATCCTTGGTCACCCAAACAAAATCTTCACACTTCTCAATCTTAAACTTGCTGGTCGCGATCACTTGAGATTTGAAAAAGAAACGCTGACAAAATGGCCAGGTAAACAAGGGGGAAAATACGCAGCTTAATCAATATCAGAAAGAAGCCAAAGCAATAAAAGCATATGATTGAACTTCCCATGAAAGTAGAAACTATGGATGGGCTGATGTGTTTGAAGCAAAATTTACGGAGAAGGTTTCCAAAGTCTGATGGTAGCATACACCAAAGTAGGAAAATTTGGAAATTTCCATACCTTGAGCGACAGAAGATCCTTCTCATTCTCTGCTGGTTGTATAACCATATGGCCCATGGGAGCATTTCCAACAAAGTACGTGTGGGAAAGGTCTCCAATAACAGATTCTAATGCTGATTCTGCACACTGCAGACACTTGAAATCCAAATTACTCAAAGAATATGAGAAAACAAGAGCTAAGAGTACAAAGCAACTATCACCTTGCGTAACGTCTCTTCAGACCCGTAAACTTTTTCAGGAAAATGCCATACAGGCTTCTCACTGGAAGCCCCGTCTGTGGTTCCATATATGAGGAGATACAGCCTTCTGTCCAGCGCCCGTTGTAATGACCTGAAACAAACGAGTGTACAATTTTGGATATCACTACCTGAGTTGCATGCACATTTAGAAATTAGTCTGGAATTCATGCATATGAGGAAAGCGTCAGTTTTCAACTAGCTTTCTCAAAAAAGTAGCTTCTACTGGCTATTAAATTACTTCTATGCGCTATGAACAGCAGGGGCCCAACAAACACTGTTAGTACNAATGAGGAAAGCTTCAGTTTTCAACTAGCTTTCTCAAAAAAGCAGCTTCTACTGGCTATTAAATTACTTCTATGCGCTATGAACAGCAGGGGCCCAACAAACACTGTTAGTACAATGGGATGTAGTGTGATGTTAAATAGAATGGTCAACTGGGCAGACTGTCCAGTTCCTTTGGGAAGGCATATGAAGGGAGTAGCTACCTTCCAAGGAGGTTATCTTTTCCCACTTAATGTCCCTTGAGAAAAAAAAAAATCGATAACTTGGAGAAAAGAAAAGACAACCCATTTCCACTAGATGTTGTACATGCAAGTGGGATATAGAGGCAGTCAGCCACTTGGACTCGTGGGTACGAGACTTTCTTAAGTNCTAGCTACCTTCCAAGGAGGTTATCTTTTCCCACTTAATGTCCCTTGAGAAAAAAAAAAAATCGATAACTTGGTGAAAAGAAAAGACAACCCATTTCCACTAGATGTTGTACATGCAAGTGGGATATAGAGGCAGTCAGCCACTTGGACTCGTGGGTACGAGACTTTCTTAAGTACACGGTACGATAGAGGTAGATTTACTAATACGGTATGAGTCGCAATCTATGAAGCATAGATATAGATATGACGATACGACAAAATCTAAAAAAATAGGATACGGATACGGCCAAGATACGGCTATAATAAAATATATTTAATATTTTTATTATTTTCAACCATCTTAATATTTATATGTTTTGANCGGTATGGGTCGCAATCTATGAAGCATAAATATAGATATGGGATACAGATACGATACGATGCAGATATGACGATACGACAAAATCTAAAAAAATAAGATACGGATACGGCCAAGATACGGCTATAATAAAATATATTTAATATTTTTATTATTTTCAACCATCTTAATATTTATATGTTTTGATAGTTCTTTAATATACAATAAGAAAAATTAATAATTTTTTTTAGTTTCAAGAAAATATATATCGTATCGTTGTAATATATTCACAAAATGAAGTGACTAATTAAAAGAATAAAAGCTAATATTTACCTAATATTTAGAAGTAATTTTTGCTAAAATAATAATGTAATAACTTTATTTTATGCTTTTTTGACATGTAATTATAGATAATACTTAAAAAACACTCATGTGCTTTTGGAGTAATATGATTTTTTTGTTAATATATTGTATAATATGTGAATTCGAAAATAGATGTTAAAAGTTTAACTCAAAAATTATATATGTTGCTCAACCACAAAAAATATCCTTGAAGTATCCTAATATTTAATTATTATAGAATACGTAAAAAGTGTAGTTAATACGTATTTTCGAGTATCTGACGAGTATCGTATCCGATACGATATTAGATATAGGTACGTCCACCTCAACGAAATATCCGTGCTTCATAGGTCGCAATTCATTCTGGAAATCTTATTTAGGTCGTTTTCACCACTATACAACATTATATATTATCGAACATCCATAAACACTAAGTTAATATTTATCTTACATTTTTGCTCGATTTTTTATTATTTAAAACAACATATAATTAAAAATCTATATACACGTAGTTAATTAAAATATATTTTATATTTGTGTTACGTGGACAATTTGGATTAGTACATTTTAGTGATTTGGATCGCGAACTCACCCTATTTGGGATTGATATACCCAAATCATGAATCATTGATCGTACGGTCCAGACACAAACACATTTAGACACAGGTCGACCCATGAAAGAGGATCTGTAACTTTTCGAATTTCAGAGGCACGGGCACATTTGGGCATATACTCATGAGAGGCTGTTAGCATTTCTTACAAACATAAATCCTCATGCAGTAATATGAACCACCCCCCACCTTGACTGGAAGAAAAGAGTCTTGAGAATTGAGATAAATTCTCATGACTCACTCACAAACCTAAATCCTGAAACTGCTGATCGACAACGGTATAGGGAGTTGAGGCACAACCCAATCCTCAACCTCAACAGAAGTTCGAAAAATTCATTAGAATTATATATTACTTGCTAAAAAGCTCTTACAGTTATAAAGGGGTTGCCACCTAATTTTTTAACTTTCACATCCCACTGCAGCTGACGTTTAAGGTGTTCTTCCTGAGAGGTGATGCTGATGGCAGTGGTTCTTATGGCCAATGGTGATCATAAAGGATCTGCCCTTCTCTAATGAAACAGAATGTGCTCAAAGCAACAAGATTTGCTCAAGTAGAGAAGCATCTTTCCTTCTAATTCTTGAAAATGGAAAAATGTAAATCATTGTTGAATCACATAATACCTTCTATCATTAGTTTCGTCAGCTTCAGTGATCCGAGGAGCTGGTTTATAATCAATTTGGTATTCACCTTTGCCCCTGGTTACAAACATAGATGTTAACCATTATACTTGAGGAAAGCCAAACTTGCCAAAGTTCACCTTTGCATTTGTTGCGTGTGTGAGGGTGTGGGCGTGTACCTTTGTGTGTGTGTGTGAGAGAGAGAGAGAGAGAGAGAGAGAGAGAGAGTAACAAGTAACAACATAATGCGACGAGTTAAAAGTTGCAAATAAACATGGAATAAAACAGATTGGAACACAACAGTAGCACAATGCAAAAAATGGGGGTATCCTTTCTGATAAAATCAAGTTGAAGAGCCAATCCAGATGCACAACTATGACTGTGGTACAGCTCCAACAAATCCATAGAGCTCAAAGTCACACTACAAATCCATAAAGACCTGTTAAAATAGCACAGAGACCCTGAGTGAACAATAATTTTGCGTTCTATTGTAAATTCTTTCATGTACTTTAAATCCAATAAACGAGATATCATGCGTCAGATTTTCACAGGGGCCTACAATCAGACAAGGAGAGACTTTAAGAAGCAAATTTATCATGTATCCAGTCTCCAGTATCGTACTTGATCCAAAGCTACATTTCTACATTTTGTTCCCAGCAGAAAGGTCACTGGCACCATAAGTTCATAGTACTTCGCTTCTCTCATTAGTTGTATCGATCGTAAGAGTGATAAACATGATCAGGATACTAAAAAACCATCAATTTATTGGACAACTCAGAAATAAGCTCAAAAAAAACATATGCGGAGATTATAATGAGTGTTTTTGTATGTCTGAATATATCAACAAAAACATTCCAATTACACCACCAGTGTAAAATACTCGTCAAAAGATAACAAATAGCATCATTTAACACTTGCGTGTTAGATTATAAACATCAGAATTCATGCAAGAATTTCAGTCAATTATTATAAATTTTACCTGGCATCAGATTTTTTCAAGAACTCATCAGGATATGCCCGCCTATATTGCTGTCTCCACCGGAACCTAAAAACACAAAAGATAATTAAAGCACAAGAAACCCTAAAATCAGCCAATGCAATAACACATTAAATAAGTATTCATAAATGTAGCACCAAATACTCAATAGTTTCCAAAATGCCAAACATTCCGCTCAACTAAGCCCAGTTCCAATATGATTGGTTGAATGTAGTTAAATGAATTAGTTTCCATACTTGTTCTCTTTGTTTATACCTCTAACCCTTTGATTGGAAGCAGAGATAAACAAATGAAGAGAAATGGAATGAAATTCGAAGTCAAAAATATTGTTCATCCTATTTTAATTTCCACAAAATGGGAAGCTCTACTCAGCTAACAATTAAAAAAAAAAATAGGCATTGCTTTTGCGATTTCAGCACTAATTCCTACATTTTCAAAGCAACCAAAACAAAAAAAGAATATTGAATATGTAATACTTACGAGAACTCTTGAAAAACGTAAACAAAAGGGTTGATTTTGGGAATAACGATGGGTAGTCTCTCGAAGAGCATAGAGGCTACGATCTTATCGCTGTTCTTTGATGTGCAAAACCCTCTCGTTCTTCCAAGAGATCGAGCCAATGATGTACAAGATCTCTGCATTTCCACAAAAACTAAAAACAAGACCAAAGAAACGTTCAGAGTCTGATATTATTGTTAATACACAAATGTAAATATACCTAGATTGCATGCTAGAAGAGTAGAAGACCTATACGAGGATTGGTCGCTTGAACCCTAACAATGGGGAGGGTGGAGAAGAGGAAAAAGGAGAAGACAGTTTAAGAGTTTAGCTGAATGTGAAACAGAGAGCTGTTTACCAATGACCGGTAATGGTAACGGTAACGAGGGGAAGTGGAAAGTTTTCTCTCCTCTCTTTCAGTAGGAGAAATCGGACATGTCGGTGACTAGCATAGTTTTAAAACCCGGCTTGGACATCAACCGGGTGAAGGGACCGGGTCGGACCGGTAACATAATAAAAAAATAATAAATAATAATAAATAGGGTAAAAAATCACAATAATTATAAAAATAACATCAAACATGTAAACTTAAGTAGAGAAAAATACCTCTATTGAAGTTCAAGCCTCCAAGTCTAAGTCCAACTCTTCCACAATGTATCAATCTAAACATAATCCATGTAATTTACACTCTTCAAAGCTTTCAAACTTCATCCTCAAACTTTAGTAAGCAAGACCCATGAAAACAAAACAAAGCACATGAGCATAACATAAAGACTCAAATAAACGAAACTGAAAATAAATTATCCAACCACTGTCTAGTTCCACTAGAAAATACAAATATTACCACTACTATCAATAAATAAAGCTTGTTTCAAGCTTGTTGCATCCTATATTTGTTGTAATGGACTTACAGAATTCTGAACAATGCTCAAGCTGCTGATTGGAATTTCCACAATCAGCCAAACCAAATCCATCAAAAGGTAGAAACAACTCTATTCAAAGTATCAAATCTGCGGGTAATAGTCATATCGTTGTTTTTTTACATCACATAGGCAATGAATTTGTGTAAAGTGCATTAATATGGACTGACTATATCGGTGGTTGTTCAAAAGAAATCGACAATGAAATCCAAGTTCACTGCAATACCCTTATATTTTAGAGTTTGAATTTCTGTAACTACTAAGTCCCTGTATCCCAAAGTACTTAATGGTTTTGCAGGATTACATCAGGAACCCTGGGCCTTAGGTCTTCAGAGTCTTCACTCTTGACACTATTGATTCTTACTGAACTTGAAAGTTTCAAACCAAAGAGGGTGCCGTTAATGACAACTACATAATCAAAATTAAACAGAAAAACTGAAACACATAAAAGATTAACTGAAAAAAGATCTGTACAGCCACTTGAATCAAAACCACCAATCCATGACGGACACAACCTTCCCACTTGAATCCTCAACCTTCCCTTCATGGATTGAAGCGCAAAAGAGACAGAGACAGATAGAGAGAGGGAGGGAAACTCACTGGACTGGAGGCTGGTCAGTCGTTGGTGGTGGCGGCTGATCGCTGCTGATCGTCAGTCGTTGGCTGATCGCTGCTGGTGCTGGAGTGGAACCTGTGGTCGCTGGTCTGGAACGATTTTGGGCAAAACAAAAGGCTAAAAAACAGAAAATGCAAAAAAGTTGAAAAAAATCTCACTTTTATAAAAATGAAATTAAACCGGCCCATTTGTTAAACCCGTCCGGTTCACTCAGGTTTATCGGATTTTGACCGGTTCACCGGTTTATCCGAGTTCCTTACATAAACCGTCTTTTAATAGACCCACCCGGTTTTGGGACCGGTTTTTTCTTTTAGCCCGTCGGGCCGGACCGAGTTTTAAAATACTGCTTTTAATAGACCCGGTCCGGTTTGGGGACCGGTTCACCGGGTTAGCCGGTCAAGTTGGACTAAGTTTTAAAATACTGGACCACTGGTGACTAGGTCTTCATCTTTAAGTCAATCACCCGTATGAAGAGTCCGAAAAAAGATATTCGAACCCTAAGGTCCGCCTCATCGCCGACGTAGGTCAGCCACGTCAAGTTCGTTCTTGAACATACTTAATTCTTGCTCAAATTTTAAATTTGCATAAAAAAAATTAAATAAAAGTTCTAATCCTTTATTCAAATTCATATTAAAAAAAAAAATTCAATTTTTCTCTCAAAATGAATGAGATTTAAATTCTTACCCAATCTCCATTAATCAAATTTCATCGTGGTTTAAAAATTAATGATTATATTTTTATTTTTATTTTAAATTTAAATTTAAATTTATTCGTCAAAATTAAATTAATTTTTTTATTCAAATTTAAGTAAAAATTAAAATTAAAATTAAAGATAGTGTTAATCCACTCACGATAGAAAAGCATCACTCTCGTGCTTCATTCTTATTTCAATTTTCATTTTTGTTCAATTTATAAATGAAATTTTTGGGTAGAACATCAAAGTTTTTTATTTCTAGCCAATGCCCATGAGATATTAATACTAATCAATTATCAAACACATCTCTCCTCAAATAACACAGGGAAGAAGAACTGATGACTTAATAATTAATTTGGTAACTTTTTTTAAAAAAATTATAAAAATAAATCTAATATATGTCTTCATGTAGAAAGGATACGTACTTGTACGTGTACATATATACTACTTTACATGCTGTATTTAAAAATAAACAAATTTACTACAAAAATATTATCAAAATGACACCTAATGCGTTACTACTGTTTTACGAAGCGATCTAGAAGCATCTTAGTACATAAACGTTATAGTTATAGTTATAGTTATAGACGTACATATATATTACTATACTGTCACTAAATTTAGAAGAAAAGAGCAAATTGAGACAAGAAAAAAGTAAAACAATAAAAATACAAAAATAAACGCTACTTAAAAAATATATATTTAAAAATACGTGTCCAAACAATTATTAATGTCAGGATGAATCTCAATTAGGCCTGGTAATTTTAAACACGATTTATAAAATTGACACAAATCTGACATAGATTCAACGGGTTTGGATATAGTTTTAATGGGTTAACTCGGCAGATTCGAGAAATAAATGAACTGATTTCGTATTTAAATCATAAACTCGTTTTAACATGTTAATAATTGTATTATAACTTCTTTTAAAAAAGGTTAAATCTCACACTTCTCATCTCTTAGACTCATCCAAATTTAATAGTCATTTAATGTTTTTATTTTGTCTTTATTTTTTTGCTCAATCATGATTTATTGTTATAATAAACAAGTCAAACATGTGTAACGTGTTACAAATTAATGATTTTTTGTGTGTACTCAAAATACTCTAACCTATTTTTTTATTTAACAAGTGACATACAAGTTGTATCGGATAACCGGTCTAATAAATAATTCGTGTATAGATATAATAGTTAAACTCATTTATATAAACGAATAAGATATGAATGGAGAATTTTTTTACACAAACCCGTTCCACTCGACATAATTGTCGGCCTAACCTCGGCCACTATGTCTCATCCTTCTGACTATAATAGTAACAGAATAATGTCAACAGAATCTCTAAAATGCCAAGAGCTATTCCTCAAAATCTCTATTATTTCTAGAAATAGTCATTTTTTTTTTGGTTCTGTTAATTATTATGCTAAAAACCCTCATAAACTGAATATGTGGTACATCAAAGTTGCTCACTATCAGGAAAGACCACAGTTCATGTATGCTTCAGATGTAGAGAAAATTTCCTCATAAAATACACAGGCACCAATTTTAAGTTCATGATGTCAAGGGTCAACGGCCATCCACACTGACGCAATTCTTACACTCCATGCTTATCAAAAGCTTTGAGTAGAGCATGCTAGGTTAATTACAAGACTGCTCCATAGGTTACTCGCTAGAGTCGAGAATGATGAATCTAGTTTCGAGAACTTGTCTTATAGCAGCAAGAAACAGAGGAATAGTGTGTCATATAATAATTGCAATCCACGATCAAAACAATGGTTTCTTTCCGTTTAGCATTCCCAACAAATGATCCAAAACCTGACCCCCTCCGTCTCTTAGACCAGAATGCATATATTCATTAGTTATCCACAGCCTAATCCCTGCTATCTGAGGAGCCGTCTCCATGACCAGCTTGAAGTTGACATAGAGATCTTCATAATAAACAGCAGCTGCAACAGGTACCTGCCAAAATTTTAAAACAACAAAATCTAAGGAAAAATTGAACAAAAGCATATACATGGTACGGTTCATATTAGGGGTTGCTGCTTATAACCATGAACTTTGCTCCGATTTCCAATGATTTGAGAACCGGGTGGTGGGATTTTGCCAAAACCTTAAACTCCAACCATGGCTTTATCCTTCCAAAAACAACTATTTTGAACATCAGTTCCAAATAAATAACTGTACCCGTGAAATATCATAAGACTCGTGATAGCTTTTGTTTCTGCAAAATGTTATGGCGCAGGAAAGATGCAGAGATACTGACTAAAACAGAAGGTTAGCAAACCTTGTTATTTTTGAGAGAGGCAATGTCATATAGAGCAGGCCAATCATTCTTCTCAGCTAACAAACAAGCGGCTTGTTTGAAAGGCCTCAAAGCATGATATTCATCAAACATCCAAGGGAATATCATCTGCAGAAACAATGATCCATGATCATATGTATTCAAGTGATACGGATGATGCAAGAAACGAGTTGATAGAAACTGGCCTCTAACCATCTAAAACAATTGTGCATATTGTGCTCCTACACACATATATTTCGCATGCCCAACAATGCTAGGGAAAATCATAGTGTCAGAGTGATCATATGTTCCAGTCATTGTGAAACAAATTCCATATCATCAATCGAGTTTACAATTGCAAATGCATGGATGGATTCCGGATATGTTTCTCAATATGAGAATTGATTTCAGATATGCTTTTCAATAGAATAACCTCAAATGGTCACATATCACGGAAGACTGTTAATTTTCCGAACATATTGGTACACTATAACACCTTTTGTTACACTGTTCTTTTACTTACTCCTACTACTCTACTCACTACTACCACAACTAGCATTGGTGTTGCTATTCTTCTTGTTATTGGTATGAGGACACGCTAGGACACACAATTTAGCAAGTACAATCTTTGGGGGTTGTACCCAAGACTTCCGTACAAAGCTCACTCAGAGTAGACAGCATTGCCCTAAAAACAAGACTAAATTAAAATTAGCATGATCACCACAAGTCCTTGAGGGCCTCGTAATATGAATGGTGGCTTGAGCATGGAAAAATTTGACTCCATTGCCTCCTTTCCTTATTGTAGTTTTATATATGACGCAAATTATTAAAAATCAAAACAAGAAACACTCCACACACATACTATTTGCCCAGCTTCAAGCAGGTTTAGAAGCAAAATACTCCAACCTCAAACCAGTATTTGATCTCAGTTTAGACTTGCATAAGATTGCATGCAATCTAGTCCTGACTTGACTAGAAAGTAACTCAATTAGCAGTAGTGATTGAACATCTAGAAAAGATGCTGCGAGTCAACATCTTCAGCAGATTTTTCCAGCCCTTACAGTTACAGCACAACTGCCACAACAGAAGGCTGGGGACTTGGTGTTCAGTACAGATTAATATAGAATGTATTCGAAGAAACGCTGCCACTTGATAGTCCAGTATCTACATCCATGCACCGAAGTGTCAGTATACACATAAAGGGCACTGTTCCCTAAAGCCAGTTCATCCTTCCAATATTCCATTCATTGCAACAAAATATGTAGCGCTTGAGGTTGATTTATATTTTTGTAGAATGATATTAATACTCTTCCTTACCTCTCCAGTGAACAGCACGGGGTGACCTTCTTTGGCAGCCTTAATTGCATCAAATTTGTCCTCATTTTCAGCCCTTACTCTATTAGCAGACCACCGTGATGGAGCACCCTTCCAAGTTATAAACATACAAGAAATTAGAAACTTCAAGAAATGTAAATGTTTTGGAATGGACTTCTTGTCCATTTGGATTATGTAATACCTTCCTCTTTATTTCCAATAAATAATTTATGTTTCTCATTAAAAAAAATACGCAATGAAATTTGTCCAGTAAACAAAAAGTCATTACCAGCAGGAAGTAAAAAGTTTACCTGACAATATATGGACTCATGCATAAGAGCGTATAGTGGGTTTGTATCGAATGACAACCACTTCTCGAACTGCATGTGTATAGAGACATTAAGTCAGTTGGTTGTGGAATCAAGCTGCAAATATGTCCATCCAAAAGTACTAAGCAATTACCAATGCATCATGTGCCACATAAAAAGGAAGGGGTGAGCGATGGGAAGTATGGAATCAAACAAAAATGTAATCCCCTATGTACTAGAATGACATCACGCACTTTTCAAAACTATCTTTGAGTGTCTACTCTCTGAGAAACAGTGTACCTATATCCACACACGCATCTGTGTCCATGCAAATCTGTGTGCATGCATGCACATGCCTGCCCGAGTGAATTTCCATAGTGTTAGCCATAGTATTTATATTTAATTGCGGTATTGTCATTTATTCTCCTTTTAATGCACATGGGCCTGTCATGTGCTTGGTGTGTGCACACGTATAAAAACAAGTGTGATTGTGTAACCAGATAACATAAGTTTATTGGCCTCAATTAATGTCTCTCTCTCTCTCTCTCTTTTTGTTTCTACACTTTACCAATTGTTTCAAGTGTTAGTGCTACTCAGTGAAAATGAATGGACAAAGAAGTTGCTATTGCAGGTCAAGATGCACTTAATCTCTTTCATGATTACGGAATTCTGTTGAGGAAAATTTTCCTTTTTTCCTCTTTTTTCTTGAGTGGGGGGTAGGGGTGTTGGGGAAAAAATAAGTAGAACCTCAAAATGTTTGTAATGAAAATATGTGTAATGACAAAGACAATCATCATGAAGAATGCCATGCAAACCAGACACAAGATGATTATCACATATAAACATGAACCAGTGACTAAATGGTTAATCATACAAACCATAAGAATACCATGATTGATATCTTTACCCAGGATTAACAAAGGGCCTATGGGGATCAGATGGAGTCGACCTTTCAACTTCTAACATAATCCTGGAGATTTTATGTGCACATCCAGATCTCCAAAACTTTCAAAAGACCAAGATAATTTAAGCAGACCTTGCACGAAATCTTCAGTTTTTATTCAGCTAAATTAGGTTTTTTGTTGCTGAGAATGAGATTTTAAACCCTAGGTTTGTGGTCACTAAGAGAGCACTAAATCTTACAGCATTCAAGAAGTAGTAGCTAATTTGCTTTTGGGCTCCTGGAACTATCACTGGATCCCAGACCCTCTCAAACCTATCAGTGATAGAAAAAGGATATGGTTAGCTCGAATAATATAATATCATAAATAACTTATAGATAGATGAGTAAAAACGATAACTTACATATAATGCAAATGCTCAAACCCAGTACTAGATCCTAAACCAGTCAGACCAAGAAGTTGCAGTCCCCTCGGGGTTAGGATGCCACCAGATGGAAGAAGAACCTGTGCCACAGGGGGAGGGGGGAGAAAGAGAGAATGAGCAATGCTGTTACCAAACTTACCATTGAAAGAAAAGGAAAATGAAGATTGTACAGTCCCGGATTTCCTCACCCCGCCGCCTTCAGACTCTGCCAAGTAATTCACGACATCACAAACTAATACGATATCCTGAGGAAACCTCTTGTAGTACTTTTCATTCTGATGAACAATCTGTTCAAAGCATGCACTGTACACAGCATCGGCAGTGCATCCACTTCCAATTGGAGGGATTCCACCAGTAAGAAGCACCTGTTTCAGTCCTTTTGGTGCAAAACTCAAGTAGGTAACTGCACAAAAACCACCATAGCTCTACACGAGGGAAAAGATGAAGTTTCATCAAAACTAACAATAACATGTCACAAATCAGATCATAACTTCCATGATCACTTAAAAGAATAGAAAGCAACTTCAAAGCAAAAGACAATCAGGAAGGAAAATATAGCAAGATATTTTTTACTTCAAAGTCCCCAATGACAAATGCCCATTCTGGTAGTGATTGTATAAACTGGAAGAAGCACTGAACTTAATACAGTACAACTACCAGATACAAACAGCAAATAAAAGTAGAAATTTTAATTACCTGCCCCAAAACTGTCCATGGTCCAGCATCAGGAACAAGATGTTTTCGAATAAATTCAGCATCATTCACTATATTATCAGCTCGAAAATGTTTTAAGTAGTCAGCCAAATCCTCTGCAGACTTCAGTTGCAACATAGATGATGTTGTCAAAGGAGTTGACAAGCCTGTCCCTCGCTGCATTGGGAAGACATCAACAGAAGCCAAATATACAAAGCATTGGCGTCCAATTATGAAAAACTTAGCTATAAGAATGTATACAGACATGCCTGATCCATCAATATAACACGAAATTCTTCGCATGCTTTGCTTATCCATCCACTAGATTCAGTTGGTCGGGGGGCCTCAAACCCTGGTCCACCTTGCAAGTATAATAGGTAAGGGAGGAGTTGATCTTCCTTGCCAACTGCAATACACATTCATCAGTAGAAAACAAACTGACAAAACCACAAATATGATCCGAAAAAGAAATGTTATTTCCATGAGGAAACAAGCACGATACCATGTAGTAATTCTTCCCATAAAAAACCATCTTTTATTTTTTGATAAAAAATAACTTACACCAACTGACAGAATGATATCATAGAGGGATCACCCCATACACATCCTTATCACTTTTGTGTCTCTTATTTAGATTCGAGCTTTTCGTATAACTTGAAAATCTCTGAAAAACATAAATTATGTGATTACATCTATTGAACTCACATGAATATTATCACCCAAAACTAAGAAAACCTCATCAGTTTTGAGGAAGACTGTGAATACACAAATATCTGCCTCTGGTTCACAATAGAACAGTGAAAGAAGATATACAAAACCGAATGGCAATCATTGATGAATCTATAAGCTTTTGATATAATGGGCCTTGTAATATCAAACCAATTGGCCAGAAAACTAAAAAAAAAAATCCTCCAGTACACTCCAATGGAAATTTGAGCAGCAAATACTGAAGTATAACGTTTTCTTATTATTAAACATATGACATTACATAAGACCTCATATCCAATAGAAACCTTGATTGATCCAAAACTTCCAAACCAAACATATTTAAATGTGTGGTTGGATGAGTTTGCTATTGAGTTTATGTACACTTTCTTGGGTGACCAATGGAAAGTAGTTAGCAGTGAACAATGCAAATGTAGGACTTTCGATTAACAAAGGGACTGACCAGCAACGACCTCGCGAGCGAAGATAGAGATCTTGGTATAGCTTTTGTGATCGAGAGAGTAGTCGAGAGGGACTGTGAATCGATGGTCTCGAAGTCGGAGCTCCGGCACGGAGTACCAGGTTCCGGTGACGTGGTCCGACGGGGATTCTCCGGCTGTGGTTTTGGTTCCTTCCATGGCAGTGACGGTTGCGATTAGTCCCCTGCGAGATTGGAAGCAGAGAAGTCTCCTGGGTGGCGTTAGTGATGAAAACGGATGAGAAGTTGAAAGAAAAGAATAGCGGAGTAGGAGTGGCTTTATCAACGAATGTGGTGCCTCAGCTACCCACATTATAGACTATCTCGAAAGAGAAGAGTTGGTCCGTGCTTGCATCGAATGTTTTTTTTTTTTATTCAGGACTGATTGATGCGACTAATCTCCTCTCTCGAATTCTCCGCATTTGAATTTATAATTTATTTTTATTATCGCTTGAATCATTAATAAATTATTTAAATCAAATTAACGATGGACTTCAATATTTATTTATTAAATACGTTATTAATTTAATAATTGTGATGTATTAAGTTAATAAATTAAATTTATATAATACTTTTTATTACTATTTAGATTGAGATTTAATACGATGATCTAATCAATTTCAACTATTGAATTGAAAATAAGTTTCGTTTAATCTTAAAATTCAAAACTAATTTAACAATTACAAAAATTAATCATTTTTGTGAATAGTGTTGTATTTAACTAAATAACGTTCCAATGTCAAGAATTCTTATGAATGATTGATGTAGTTGAAATTGACAAATAAAATCATAATTCTAAATATATTTTTTGCGAGTTCTACGAATCGACTCAAACATGACACAATTTGACAAAAATATGTTGAATTAAAATTAAAGTCATTTGACACGATAAATTAAATAAATTGAATTAATATTACGTTCCGCTCACCACTATCTCAAAATAAACACAGCTCCATCATTTTTCCTACAAATGATTATTTAACTGTACTGTTGTGTAAAAATGGTGTTCCACACTTCCACTAGCTACATCACGAATATCTTCAAGCGAAAAATGGAACAACCCTCTTTAGTGCTCCAAATTAGCACTGTGCAAAACCAATCACTTCACTGTAGCATTGAGCAAACTGTGTTCTACTCACAACTTGACGAATACAGAGAAATCTACAATGGCACCGTCTGTTGTGGAATTCTAAGATCAAAATTTTGAACCTTATCATTTCTATGATGTAAAGCAAACCTTCTAGCCTAACATTTGTAATTTCACAACGCTTATGCTAGGTGGGTTGGTTACGCCGAGTATATAAAACTCCTATCTATAACGAGATATAGCTGTGTCTTGGAGAGTTCGTGTAAACAATTTTATCTCATCGATTCCCGGAATACCTCTAATAGGTGATGACCTGCATGCCTGTTCATAATTCTATAGGACCTGCAAAGACACCTTGATTTGATTTGAAGTTGAAGAATAAGTGATTCCTGCCAAAAGTTATAATATGTACTAATTCAAATTGCAAATCTACCAAAAATTTCACCAATTTATTGATAATTTAACAAACAAAAACTCAAATTGTCCTAAATCCAAAAACCAAGAGTTAACAAAGCATAACTCTGATACCAAACACCTCACTAGAGCAATCATTACCAATGAGCCTTTGGTTCAATAGTAGTCTTTACCTTACGAAGATTTTGTCTTCTTGAGGTCAAGAGTTCAAGTCCCCCTCCCTAAAAAAAAAAAAAAAAAAACTACTAGAGCAATCACTGCTACAATTGGTGGCCTTCCTATATCCAAACATACAGGTTCTGAAACAGTGAAGGGGAGAATCCACCTGCTTAACCTCCAACAATGAAAGCAGAATGGCCAAATCTTTTATGGGATGCTTTCAAGGTACAAAATACATTTCGACAAGCAACCGCGTGTAAGAATTAGGGTCAATGGCCTTATTAGAATGAAACTCTAAAATTAGGAATTGAAAAACACAGAACGCCGGTTTTGCAATGATAGTTTTTCAACTTTAAAACTACTTCAGAGACACCCAAACTTCAAAACCTCTGATGTATACTGCTTGCAAAAAGTAAGAGAAGACCTTTTAACATGTTAGCTCAGCTACTTCCCAAAACTAGCATTGCAAAGCCATTATGGGAATTTTTTCATGGTTAAGAAAATCAATAAGGGAAGGGCCAAACCAAGTGGAAAAGTTTGATACAGGGTGCAAGGTCAATTTGGTAGTTCTAGCCCAAATTTAGCCACTTCTTGGGCTACCACCATCAGGTGATTCAGTGGTCTCAATCTTCTCAACTGCTGTAGCAGCTGCAGAGGCTGCCTTCTCCAATCCTAGCTTCTGCAGTCCATTTAAAAAACCATTAACATCGGCAGCATTGATCTTATATGGGCTGTGGGCAGGGCCGGGGAAAGATCCATTAGTCACTTCCTCCTTGTACTCCGAAAGAGCTTTGTTGATAATATCTCCAACCTGCCCATACTGTTTACAGAACTTTGGGGTAACCTGTGAGAGAAGGAGCATCCCTTTCGATTAAGACAAGTCCTACATTTGTAGGGGGAAGAGGGGAAAAACCAACCAGAATGACAATTGTGGAAGGGACTAACCTTGGCATGATGCGGGTGTTGTAGCATTCCAAGTAGATCATGGTAAACTAGCACCTGCATATGTAAAGAGATTTCATTAAAGTGAAACTCATTTACCAGCATAAATCCAGTGGAAAATGTGTTTGGAATAAAGTGGCTCTGTACAACTGCAACAATGCATCTGAATGCAGTCTACATTGTCCCTATAAAAGAATAGCACCATAACAGAATAGTATAGGCAGAGAAAAGAATGAAAAAAAAATTCTCCAGGAGCTAAAAAAAACAACAATAAACCGAGCAAAATTAGAAGATTCTTGCTACTGGAAAAGAATCCACAAATTCAACTTAAAACTGGCAGATCTAACCGTGGTTCATTTTGCTTACTCACTGATTTTGCAAATGACTCCTGTTAACAGTATAGGAAGGGTTGGGGATATGCAACGGTCACTTGGAACTGAACCATAAGAGTATGGGCCTACTAGTAACAACTAACAAATATATGACACCCAAAAACACTAAAAATTGTCTGAATTCATTATTCCCACAAACACAAGCTTGACAGAGACGCTATGCTCTGAACCATAATATAGTTGCTGCCCTTGACACTAATTCTGTATAATCCTAATAAATGTATTACATGCACCAGCAAATACAATCAAGGATTTCAATTAAAAGTTCAAATACTCCCATGCTGAAGATCTTAACCAAGGGTAACATAGTTCAATAAAACATCATAACTCGAGGAAATGTCAATCTACAATGTTCTGTTTCTGAATCAGATTGATCTAACAATAGATTCAACTGACCTGCCCACTGCAAAAAGGCCCAGCACCAATTCCAATAGTGGGTATCTGAAGAGCAGATGTAGTCGCAGCAGCCACAGGAGCAGGCACACATTCCAGAACAACAGAAAAACACCCAGCTTGTTGCAAAGCCAAGGCAGTCTCCACAACCTGCGGAAATCAAACTAATTTTTCATAACACCTAATGTACAAGTGTTTATTTCTTACTATGTTTCCACTTAAAACATATGTTTGTGTGTAAACTGGAATACCATGACAGCACTAGCAACGTTCTTCCCTTGAGGCCTAAACCCTCCCAGAACACTAATGGCCTGAGGGGTAAGCCCCACATGCCCCATAACTGCAATTCCAGCTTCGACAATGGCTTTTGCAGCTGTAATTCTTGATGGCGCCCCACCTTCTAATTTGATTGCATCCATTCCTCCTTCCTTCAGCACCCTGACTGCTGTATCTACTGCCTGCTCATAATTCAGACGGCAACACCACCAACTGTACTCATTTTAACCCAAATTCAACAACAAATATCCACTAATTTAAAGATTGCAACATTGTTCCGTTTGTTGAAAGTAATCGTGAAGCCTAAAACTATTAAATCATCCCAACAATTTGGTGATGATATTCTACAACATCCCAACAACAAAGTCCGACCACACTACTGTTCCATTTCTAAAGGGACTCTTATTTACCTATGCCAAATCTAGCATTTGCAAATTTCAGTTCCAAACATAATTTTTCTTGCTTAATGAAACTAAAATTTCAATTGCCCTTCAATTATCCGACCACGGAATGCTACCGATTATAGCCTAAAATTGTGTTGCGTGTCAGTGATGAGAAATATTAGCCAAACAGTGTATTCTTTGATTCGTCTAGAGATAATTATGTGTTGTTTCGAACAGTATGAATTATCACACTGGCTTATTCATCTCTCCAAAACCATGCTGTTGATTTCCTTCACTTTCTGAGCAACCACACATAAATCAGAGCGCTAAATAATACAATAAAAGTGAAAAAGATATAACCACGAAATTGATGATGTACGCAAATGAACATTACCTGATTCCTGCTGGACTCATAGGTACCAAAAGGAAGGTCCCCGACGAGCAACGGCCGTTTCGACCCACGCGCCACCGAACGACAATGCACCAACATCTCATCGAGCGTAATCGGAAGAGTGGTATCGTGGCCGTGAACCACCATAGAGGCAGAGTCACCGACGAGACATATATCGATGCCGGCGGTGTCGATATGAACCGCCGACGGATAATCGTAGGCAGTAACCATTGTTATGGGCTCACCCTTCCGGTACTTCTGGCGCAAATGGGTTAGGGTTACTCTTTGGTCTGGGTTCTGGGGCTTTGGTCCTCCGTATACGGTGTTTTCCGGGACATTGCTCATGGAACGTAAGAGGAATAACAGAGAGGAGTGTCTGGAAAGAGAGCCCGCAGCAGATGCTTTTGATAATTTGGTCAGAAGTGCCATTGAAATAAGAAATATGAAGGTCAAAGGGAGAAGGGAGAAGGGAGAAGAGAGAGAGACAGAGACAGAGAGGGATGTTGGTTGGGGGGTTGGGGAGGAGGGAGAGAAGGGGGGTCATGTGTGTTATATGAGCAGCGGGGCTGCGCCACCTGCAAGTGGGGATAGGAGGAGTGACGTAGGGGGAGTTTATTGATTTCTAACAACCAGCCTACATTTTTATAGTATTGCGAAATGTTATCCATACAAGCGTTAAAAAGTGGGACTTCTTCTATTATATTTCTTAATAATTTAAATGTTATAATTTTAAATAGGACTTGATGTATAAAAATATTGAAGATAATGTTGTGTGATAAGTTGTGTTTTTGTTAAAGCGAGTGGAAAGTCTTAGAGGAATTTTGACAGAATTTTGTAAAATATATAAGTTTTGAAGAAAGTTAACTTTCCGAAGAATTATCTCTCAAAGTTAATTCTAGTCTTTCTGAGAGATAATTTTCACTCAGAAAATATCATATGTATCGACCTTTCAACACGTGCAACGGTCAATCAAGATTTGCACAATTAGTTAATAGGGAGTCAAACTTATACCCAAAGCTTGTATATGGTTCGTCCAATAAATAAAAGATCGTCTTACTAACTAAACTGTATTATTAATCCCAAAGAACCCACCTCAAAAGGTTGGTAAATTCTAAACTTAGGACGTCTGAGTTTACAACTCATCTCTATATTCACTTGAGCTACAATTTAGGGTTTTGAGTAAATTGTAAGTAAAATATATTAGTTTCTCCTCATTTAATACAATTTAAAACATCATGGAGTGATGTTTTAATTAAATGTCAAAATGAAAATCGAACAATCAAAATTTGTTGTATTATAATATTACCTTTATTTTATAATTATTTTTTGTAAGCTGATGGATTTGGGACTCGAGATGTAAGCGGGATGCTTGAACTGAAGAGTTCAAGGCTTATGGATACTAGTTTCATGAGTTTGTGATGGGAGAAACGATCCTTGAGATCAAATTATAGTGGTTCAAATTATTGTATGGTGCTTCAGTTAAAACAGTAAAGAAGACTGAGCCAGAGAACGGACAAGAGCACAAAAATTATAGTAATTCGCCGATTGTGGAACTTGTCCAATCCACTCTCATAGAGTCTCTTATTCCTGAAAAAATTGAACATTACTTGGAAAATAAGAGTTTGTTACAATATTTTGTCTTCCCCTCACACGAGTAAGAGCCTGAGTATTTATAAGAGGCAATTATGTTATCCTTAAGTGGTCTCTGGTTTATTAGGATTTCGTTGAGAAAATATTGAACTATTAGAGCCTATATTTCCAAAGTTGTTAAGAGGATATATTTCCTAAGAGTAACATGCAGTATGACAAGTCCTCCACTTTGAATATTTGATGATCTTGCACGTCTCTGAAAGAGTCTATCACCTAATGAGTGTGCTTTAGGACGAGCTGTCCTGTTGAGGTTAGCTTGTGCATTCAGGAACTCAGTCCAATCGATTGTACTGATCTTGCAATGCTGATTCACCTCCTGATTTCAATGGGGTTGATCTAAGCGCTTCTCCCTGTGGTTGTCCTGGGTCAATCTGGGCACCTTTCCCTGGATGGTCCTTGCCCAATGAAACTCTAAAATTAGAAATCGAAAAATAAAACACAAAAACGTCAGTTTTGCAGCGATAGTTTTTCTACTTTGAAACTACTTCTGAGACGGCCAAACTTCAAAACCTCTGATCTGTACTGGTTGCAAAGAGTAAGAGAAGACCTTTTAACATGTTAGCTCAACTACTTCCCAAAACTAGCATTGCAAAGCCATTATGGGCATTTTTTCCTGATTAAGAAAATCAAAAGGCAAGGGCTAAACCATGTCGAAATTAAAAGTTTGATACGGGGTGCAAGGTCAATTTGGTTGTTCTAGCACAAATTTATCCCCTTCTTGGGCTACCTCCATCAGTGGTCTCAATCTTCTCAATTGCCGTAGCAACTGCAGATGCTGCCTTTTCCAAACCTAGCTTCTGCAGTTCATTTAAAAAACCTACAACATCAGCAGCACTGATCTTATATGGGCTATGGGCAGGGCCGGGGAAAGATCCATTGGCCACTTCTTCCTTGTACTCCAAAAGAGCTTTGTTGATAATATCGCCAACCTGCCCATACTGTTTTACAGAACTTTGGGGTAACCTGTGAGAGGAGGAGCATCCCTTTTCGATTAACACAAGTCCTAAATTTGTGAAAAAAGAAGAGAGACAGAAAAAAAAAAAAAAAGAAGGGGGGGGGGGGGGGGGGGGGGGGGGGGACAGGACTGTACAACTAACCGGAATAACAGTTGTGGGACTAACCTTGGCGTGATGAAGGTGTTGTAGCATTCCAAGTAGATCATGGTAAACAAGCGCCTGCATATGTAAAAAATATCATTGAAGTAAACCTAACACTAAATCCAGCGGAAAATGTGTTTGGCATAAAAGTGGCTCTGTACAACTACACCTCTACCTGTTGGAAGAAATGAAGTGGAAAAATGCATTTGAATGCAGTCTACATTGTCTCTGTAAAACAATGAACCTTAACAGAATAGTATAGGTAGAGAAAAGAAGGAAAAAAAAAAAAAAGATGCAGAGGAGCTTTTCCATGCTAAAAAAAAAAGGAGCAATAAACTGAGAAAAATTAGAAGATTCTTACTACTGGAAAAGAATCCACAAACTCAACTTAAAACTGGCAGATCTAACCATGAACTGAAATTGATAGTGGAGAATTCAACAAGTTTTAGTTGAATTGTTCCAATGAAAATACATGAAGCATTCTCACTCATTTTGCTTGCTCACTGATTTTGCAAATAACTCCTGTTAACAGTATAGGAAGGGTTGGCGATATGCAACGGTCACTTGTCACTTGGATCTGAACCATAAGTATGGGCTTACTAGTGACAAACACATGACACCCAAAGCACTAAAAATTGTCTGAATTCATCATTCCACAAACACAAGCTTGACAGAGACGCTATGTTCTGAGCCATAATATAGTTGCTGCCCTTGGTTAAAACATAGTTCAATAAAAATGAAAACTTAAGGAAATGTCAATCTACAATGTTCGGTTTCTGAATCAGATTGACCTAACAATAATCAACTGACCTGCCCACCGCAAAAAGGCCCAGCCCCAACTCCAGTAGTGGGTATCTGAAGAGCAGATGTAGTCGCAGCAGCCACAGGAGCAGGCACACATTCCAGAACAACAGAAAAACACCCAGCTTGTTGCAAAGCCAAGGCAGTCTCCACAACCTGCAGAAATCAAACTAATTTTTCATACACCTAAAGTACAAGTGTTTATTTCTTACTATGTTTCCACTTAAAACATATGTTTGTGTTTAAACTGGAATACCTTGACACCACCAGCAACGTTCTTCCCTTGAGGCCTAAACCCTCCAAGAACACTAATGGCCTGAGGGGTAAGCCCCACATGCCCCATAACTGCAATTCCAGCTTCGACAATGGCTTTTGCAGCTGTGATTCTTGATGGCGCCCCACCTTCTAATTTGATTGCATCAGCACCCTGACTGCTGTATCTACTGCCTGCTCATAATTCAGACTGCAACATCACCAACAGTAGTCATTTTAACCCAAATTCAACATCAAATATCCACTAATTTAAAGATTGCAACATTGTTCCATTTGTTGAAAGTAATCGTGAAGCTTAAAACTATTAAGTCATCCCAACAATTTGGTGATGATTTTCTACAACATCCCAACAACCAAGTCCGACCACACTACTGTTCCATTTCTAAAGGGACTCTTACTTACCTATGCAAAATCTAGCATTTGCAAATTTCAGTTCCAAGCATAATTTTTCTTGCTTAATGAAACTAAAAATTCAATTGCCCTTCAATTATCCGACAACGGAAATGCTACCGATTATAGCCTAACATTGTGTTGCGTGTCGGTGATGAGAAATATTAGCCAAACAGTGTATTCTTTGATTCGTCAAGAGATAAATTATGGGTTGTTTCGAACAGTTGAATTATCACACTGGCTAATTCACCTCTCCAAAACCATGCTGTTGATTTCCTTCACTTTCTGAGCAACCACACATAAATCAGAGCGCTAAATAATACAATAAAAGTGCAAAAGATATAACCACGAAATTGATGATTTAAGCAAATGAACATTACCTGATTGCTGCAGGATTCATAGGTACCAAAAGGAAGGTCACCGCCGAGCAACGACCGTTTTGAACCACGCGCCACCGCACGATAATGCACCAACATCTCATCGAGCGTAATCGGAAGAGTGGTATCGTGGCCGTGAACCACCATAGAGGCAGAGTCACCGAAGAGACAAATATCGATGCCGGCGGTGTCGATATGAACCGCCGACGGGTAATCGTAAGCAGTAACCATTGTTATGGGGTCACCTTGCGGTGCTTTTGGCGCAAGTGGGTTAGAGTTACACTTTGGTCTGGGTTCTGGGGCTTTGGTCCTCCGTATACGGTGTTTTCCGGGACATTGCTCATGGAACGTAAGAGGAATAACAGAGAGGCGTGTCTGGAAAGAGATAGCGCAGAGGCTTCTGATAATTTGGTGGGAAGTGCTGTTGCCCCTAGGGAGGCAGATGACACCCGTCTGCCGAGTTACTCGCGTTTTTGTTATTTCACGGTATAATGAGCTGGCAGGCTCGGTCTCTGTGTAACAGCTGATAGACAATTTCACTACTTTTAATAATTGTTGTGGAACTGATTTTCATTAACATGCATTTAGATTGGATTCAGACTGGAGAGGAGAGAGTATTCTGATTTTAAAAGTCCTTATAAATTGTTGAGTTTAATATATAAGATTTGGGAGTGTTGTCTCAATAAATTCGTGTATGTCTTCTGTGTGAATTTCTGTCTTTTATTTTTGAGTTTGAGTGTGGTTGGTTGTAATAGCAACGCCTTCACAGATAGCTTTATAGTTTTGCAAAATATTCATAAGCCGAATTGTTAAAAAACTCGACTTCCTCTAATATGTAACAATTTGGAAAATTTTGTGTCTGAAAAAACGGTACAATATAAATAATTTTGAGAAGAAAATTGGTGATTATTAGATGAATCTATTTAAAACCGTTGGATAAATTTATTAAAATCTATACTATTTTATATTATAAACTAACCATAACTCCTATCTAAAATGTACAATGTAATATAAAATTGAGAGTAAAAAAATTAAATTTTATTATATTAAATAATTAGTAATTGTTGTATCTGCAAAAAAAAAAAAAAAAACCAATTAGATCAATTATTTATCAACTGCCTGATAGGATGAAATGAACATCTACAAAAATTGAGTAATCATGCATTTGAGTAATGACGAATGGAATTGTTGATTAGCAAATCAAAAAGCTCAATTTTGTACTTGGATGGCTACTCTCAATGTCAAATTTAAAAAATTTCAATTCATAATCGACCAGTCCACCAACGAAAAGGGAGATAGCATGCACACAACCATGCAGACTCTTGTCAAGTGCAAATTAACACATGATCCATAGAGACAAAGGGCTGGTTTCAAACCTCTATAGATTTGTAATATGCAAATGCACAAAAGTCATACCTTTATATGTAATTGGGCAGCACTAATTAGCATCAAACAAAATTAGATTCATTATCAAACACATCATAGAAGAAACACACGACAATTACATTATTAGTGTGTGAATTTATCAATGTTGCCAACTTGGTTGGTGATGTTGGCGACAGAGGCACGATGATGGTGATGGTGATGGCGATGGCGTGGTTGGTGGTGATAGAGATAAGTAAAAGAGAGAGAGAGACATACAGAGAGCTAGAGGCATGGGACGGTGTTGGTGGTGTGGGGTGAATTGGGCGTGAGTTGCAAAGTGTGAAGAGAGAAGGTAAAAGAGGGAGACAGAGGGACTACTTGGCGATGGTCGAGGCGAGAGAGCATCGTCAGAGAGGACATTCGATGAAGTTATTGGATTTTTTAGGTTTGTGGGTACTTGGTGAGAAGAGTTAGGATTTAGGTCTGAAGGCAATATGGCGTTACAAAGGGGAACAATTTAGGAAAATTCTTAGGTGGGAATACAAAGAATTAAGAGTAATTTTTAACCAATATAAAAAATTTTGAAACAATTTAAACCGCGAAAAGTCTTGAGATAAGTTTCTACTATACTCTGTATCCAAACATGAAGGTAATATTCATTACAATGGTAATACTATATTATCGGTGCCAAGTTGTATCAGCAATCGATAAGTATGCACTATGTAGGATAATTGGATCTCGTTATATTCTTGGAATAGTGGGGTCCACTTATCCTACATGGTATATTCTTGTTGATTGATGATAATATGTATCACTGATAACATGATATTAACGTTATAATAAATATTTTCTTGCAAAAATGATTATAAGTAGAATAAGATGTGTCTTTTTTATTATTTTATTTAATTTCTCTTTTTTAATATTCAGAACAAACACACCCTTAGAACATATAACTATATTGACGTGGTATCATATTTACCTTTGTACCCATGACTACGTATGAGGAACTGAAACATCACCTGTGGCAAGATTGGAAAGTGAAAACCCAACCCTTTGACGGTAAGTCCCATTGAGTGAGTAATGTGACAGGCATTTGCACTGGAGATTAAAAACCAACACCAACAGCTGTCACACATGTTCCCCATGATTCCATTATGAGAAATGACTCCTAAATCAAAACCAAATCAACTTAATTAATCACAATAAAAGCACGTCATATTCAACACCCCAATGCAAATCCCATCAAAGGGAGAGTAATTAATCACAATTATGAGGACTAAAACCACTAATTATATAAGGCAAATATATACCATTATTGTAACGGGGTTCACTATTGCTACTCTAAATAATGCCATGTAACCCAAATTTATATTCCAAATAAAGAAAAATTATTGGATCGGTAGGTCCTATTTAAAAAAGTTGATAGGACTCATTCATCCAATGATCCTCTTTATTTATGATGCAAATTTGAATTACAAATTTAAATTACATAATATTTTCTTTGTTACTCCACAAAAAGCAGGAGTCTGTTTTTGGTTTTTTGGCATTATTATGGTCAGGAGCATCTAGACTCGTTCAGGTATATTTTGATTAATTATTTTTTTATTTCGATCAAAAATAGATCATTTACGCCAAGACTTGTAAATTTTAAATTCAGAATGTCTTAATATAAAGGAAAATATTACGTAACCCAAAATTTGTTCATCCCAAATGAATGGGGATCATTAAATGAATGAGTCTCATCAATTTTTTAAAATATAAATCATTGATCTAATGATCCTTATTGATTTAGGATGTTATTTGAAATCTCAAATTTGAGTTACGTAGCATTACTCGAATATAAAATTCGTCATTGTCTTCACTAACCTACTCCTTGGCCCTGGGTTAAAAAATAGTGTTATTAGAACTGCTTAATTGTCCATAACAAAGAGTGCTATTAAAGGGAAACAAAAACTCATTATATCAAAAATAAAATGAAAATAATAGTTACACTTTTGAACCAATTTTATAGAGCTTATGAAAATCCACACATGATTATGGGCAACACTTTTTGAAAAGCAAATTATCGTTTAAGTTGCCGAATCATTTGCTCTAGTTGTAAATAATCAAGCATAAATAGAGTTGCCCGTTTAGTACAATAAGTTATAATGGTGTTTATTATTGTAAATGTTATTTCAATTTAATTTGTTAATTTTATTTATTGATCTAATGTAACATAGCTATTAGATTGGTGGCATGTTTCAACCAATATTAGGACCTATTATGAATCTAATGACGGTAATCTATTGAATCAATAAATTAGATTTAAATAACATTTGTTTGTAATTCGTGCCTGAAGATACGGTGCAATGTAAATGATTTTGAAATGGATGTTTTGTGACCGTTGAATTAATCTATTTAAGATCGTCGAATAAATTTATTGAAATATATCATATTTTATATTATAAATTATAGATACACATAAATGGCTATAAAGCCTAACTATGCTTATTAAACTGATATCCACAAATCCAACACCAAAACAAATATGGCGATAGTGAGTTTAAATTTACTCAAAACGTATTTGAATGATAAATAAGTGAATTACCAAATAAATAAATAAACACGAATTTAGATAAACATGACCAAAAAGTCGTCTAAATATCTATATAATAAAATAGAAATGTATTTGAATTTTATCTCAGTCATACTTTTTCCCTCAAAACCATCATCAATCACTCACCTCACCCATCATTCTTTTGTCAGACTTAAACGTCAAATCGCATTATTTATTTCTATAATATATTTAATTATTTATATATTTCTTTTCTAAAAATATCACATCATTCATTTTTATTATATATTTAATCATTTAATATTTTGACATTAATACGTCAGTACTAATCGAGTTTTTGAACGCTCAAATTTTATATTTTATCGTGCCTTCAGGCAGGGGTTATCACTAGTGTCTTATATGCAACACAAACCAAAGTGATCACAAATATAAATAAATTGAATGTAAATTGAATAAGTTTTCATACCACACAAGCCAGACCCGAATCGAAACGACAAATAAACAATTCTGAGAGATGGTCAGCCAAACAAACTGTTTTTTTTTCACTTAAAAGAAAAAAGGGTGGAGCAAAAGAAAAGTGTCAAGAGACCATTCAGATAGATTTTTACTAGTGAAATTATGGATGTTAAATGTGTCGGGTTAAACGGGTGATAGATAAAAAATATATATATAAACTGGTAACACGACACAACTCGGTTAACCAGTTTAATTTTAAAAAAATTATATTAATAAATTTTTAATACTCTATTTTTTTTATTACTAATTGCACTTATCTCAAGAAAGAGAAATTTTTAGTCAAATCTCACAAAAATAAGACTTGAAGGCTTAAAAAAAAATAGGTCATTACTTTTTATAGGCAAATCAACCCTCCCCATCTCCCCTCATTTTTCAATGTGGGACAATAACAAAAAATATTGATTTGTCTTTGTCTTTAAAGTGTTCATCATCTTCTTTTTTTTTTTTTGAATTACTACTTTACTTTTTTTTTATTAATTTATTTACTTCATTTTTTCTTGCTAATTTTTTTAAAATAATTATTAATTTATTAATTTTATTTAAACGAGTAAACGTGTGTGATAAACGGTTTGACAAGTCTCATCCAAACAAGATCCGTTTATTAAATGTATTTGACGTGTCAATCCGTTTATCACCCAAACCCGCTTAATTGATGTCGATTCGTATCGATTAATCGTATCGTGTCAAACTTTGACAGTCCTGAGTAAAATCATGAGATTTTTGATTATGCTAGTTACTCTTCTGAAGATCAAACTTAATTAGGTTTCTTTTGAAGATCAAACTTAATTAGGTTTCTTTTGAAGATCAAACTTAATTAGGTTACTATAACAATCAATCACCGAGCACTATTATATAGTTTAAGACTCAAACCTCTAATTTAAAAATAAAAAATTTAAACGATACCCCACTAAACCACTAATAAGTGGGAAAACAACAACCACGACAATAAACAAACTGTTTATCATGTAAAACAGTTAGATCAATTTTTAAAATTTTTAAAAAATTACTCATTTAAAATTGATTGGAGTGGCAGAAGCCTCTCGGAAGTGCCAATGCAATCACTGTGCTATAGTACAAGTAAGAAACACAGAATCAACTCTCCTTTTCTTTTACAAGACCGGCTAGCAATCTCATTCATTACACAGGTACAAAAACATTGTAATTGGAAGATTCTTTCTCACTGATGGGAATTTTTTCTCTCTTTCTCTCTAACGGACAAAAAAAGATGGAAAGAAAAAGTCAGTGCGAAGGAAAGCATCATTTCATGCTCACTGTCACGTGGCACTTTACTGGAAAGTCAACCACCGCCGGCGGTGGTGGTTTCAGAACTATTTGTCAACCATGGAAATTCCAAACTTGTCTGTATATGGTCAGAAAAGAAATCTCCGGTGGCAGGGCCGCTTAGTTCTTCCAAACCCACAAAGAAATCATCACTCATGACCATATCAGATAACCCAAATAACCCATCGTCTTCATCTTCAACTTCCACGGTGTCTTCTATCTCTTCTCTGCTCTCTGCCTTTTCTGTTGCCGGGGAGAGACTCGTCGACGGTGAGAACGGAGATGAGCAAGAGGGCTTGATAGTTTCATCGTCGGGGAAGGTTTGAGGGGTGGCTGGCTTCTGACGGGTACTACCGGCGAGAGAGCTCCGGTGAGTGGGGATAGGGTGGTTGTGCTCGCCGGTGTGGGTGACAATGAACATACCCGGGTCAGATCTGTTTCGCTCCACTTGTTTTCGGGCCAAACAACCCTTTGAGGTGCTACATCTGTAATATCCCCTGTTGATCCACAAGCCAAAAAAACTTGAGTTTAATTTCCGGGGAAAAAGAACTAGAATTTTCTCGAGAAACTGAAATTTAAAAGGTTGAACTTGGTTTAGGTCTTCACATAGACTGATTTTTCGTTATCTATAGATGAGAATTGAACATAACAAGCTTCTATGGTAATTATTGTTACTGTTTGACAAAGTATCTTTTTACCCATTGCATTTTGCTTTCGAAAAGCAAGCAAAATACTTTAAAAAACCCAATTTTGCTGGCAAGAATGTTGAAGCACATTGGTATGTAGCAATTTGGAAGTCATTTTTCTGTTTGTTGAAATCCACACAAAAAAATTTCCAAAAATAAGAAAAGTGAAAATTAATTCTTAAAAACAACCAAAAATGGCTGAAACATTAGAAACTCACCTTGGGTAAGGTGAGCCTTTGATGGGTTTTTGTCCATACTTTCTCCAAGACCACACGTCAGAAGATAAACCCTCTGCTGGTACATGAGAACCCTCTTCAATTGATTCTTCCTGTAAACCAAACATAACTTTATCTATCAGAAAGAGCTGATTTAAGAAATGGGTCTTTGTTAAATATTGATTTTTCAGCATAACAAAGCGTAAAAAACACAAATTACCTTCTTTTAGACCTTGGACTCAGAGTATGTGAAGTAGCAGCAGAACCACCAACGGACTGCTTTGCTTGAAGTTGTTTTTGGTGTTGTCTCTGCTGTTGTTTTTGCTGTTGTGGTTGTGATTGATCTTGTAAACCACCAAGAACAGAAAGGGGTGAAATGGGTAAGTTTTGGGGAGAAAGAGGTTGTGATTTGGGAAAGAAGGGTTTATATAGATCATGTAACTCCGCCATACCACTCTGACTTCTTGCTTCAAGCAGATCTGGAAAGCATAGGAAATGGTCATATCCTTGTGGTTCAAAGCTGGACAAAGAGTAATCATCTATAGAGCAGGTGGTGGTGGAAAAGGAGGAGGTGGTCGCGGTGGTGGCGCAGCCTCTGACCACCGCCTGGAGACCCCAGTCATCCTCCATTGCTATCTCAGTTCCAGAGAGAGAAGCAGATCTCAGCGAGAGGAAAGGGAACAAAGGAAGGCGCTGACTTTTGGAGGAGATAGAAAGATTTGGGGTGTAAACGAGTGCAAAGCAGTATCAATTATTTATAGAGAGGAGTGAGTGGTTTTCACAAGAAGTCAATAGAGAGAGAATTGGCGTGTGAGTTTTTTTTTTTGGGGGGGAGGGGGGGGGGGGAATTGGACAAAGAGAGAGGATGGATTGGGTGGCATTATCAAAGGCTTATCTCTTGTTTTCTCCCCCTTCTCTCTCTTCTTTCCCTTTCTCTCTCTTCTTTCCCTTTCTCTCTCTTTCAGACAACGAAACTGCTTCAGTTTTGGCTTTGGTGGTTGACTTGTAAAATTGTCAAAGGGGATACAAAACTAAGAACAAGTCCACACGGTCTATTTTCCTCTCCCTAAAAAACTTCCTCTGTCTCTCTCTCATGAAAAAAAGTTGTTTGGGAACCTTTTTCCGAAAAATTATACTTACCCCCCTAATTTGTTATATGCAAAAAATATTATCTATAGTTTCAAAAATTTGCTATGTCTTTTTTTGGTTGAAAAATGTTAAATAGATTTAAAAAACTAACTTAAAAACTTAATGTTTTACTACCATTGAATAAGTAGTGGATCTTAAAAAATACTGGTACCTACAATTAAATCAATAATAAATATAATAGTCATATCATTAAATCAAATTTTTAAATCTGCGCAACATTGTTCATAGATACTGTCACTACACACGCTCAATCTCCCCATAACTCTGTTCTCACCACAAAATGCACACACCATTAACACAGAGCACAAAACACAACTATACCATTGCCACACTAAAAAAATTTAAAACTAAAATAAAATCTCCACCGAAATGAAGTCGGAATTGAAATAAAAAATGATAGTCAAAATGAACAAAAGGAATTTCACACAACACCATATTTCAAATTAAAATCAAGCACTAACCCAACAAAACAATTCGATCATGGGTGTGTGCATGTAGATGTTTATATTTGTGCAGCTATAGATGCTTACATCTTTTATCACTATGTGACTATGTGTACATTTATGTGTGCTTGTGAAATTGTATGTGTATGCTTGTGGTAATGTGTGTATGTGCGTGTATGCTTGTGGTAATGTGTATGTGCGTGTATGCTTGTGGTAATGTGTATGTGCGTGTATGCTTGTGGTAATGTGTATGTGCATGTATGTGTGTCTTTGTGCACTTTGTTTGTGAGTGGGTGTTTTTTTGTAATCTTTAGAGTTAAATAATGAGTAATTTATCTTTTATAAATACTTTAATTTTAGTGTAGATGGTCTGAGAATTAATCAAGGTATATGTAAATTAATTCAGATACTCTTGACTATTGAACAAAAAAAGGGGGGTGCAAGACAGATAGGGGTGATAAACAAATAAATGACGATTTTGACTCTTGGGTTTTTGGCCCCCCTGAAGGGGGAAGATTAAGGTTGATAATTGAGTCGAGCTACTCGGCCTCGACTCGGATAAGACTCATTAGAATTCAGCTCATGTTCTAAACAACTAGAGTTTGAACAATTTTTTAAGCTCGTTTATATGTAAAATAGTCGAACTACTCGAGTTTTATTTGAGTTCGGCTCATTTTAAACTTAGCTCGAACATGACTCATTTTATAAACGAGTCAAGTTTAAATAATTTTTTAAGTTCATTAAAAAAAATTAACTTGACAAATTCGATTCAATTATCAATCTTAAAGAAGAACGGTCGAGATTAGGATTGGTGCGTAGCCAAAACATGTGTTTGTGTTAAAAGGAGTAGAAAAATTCAAGGAATATTGAAAAACTAAGTAAATAATAATGAATTATTGGTAAAATATTCTCAATCCTATAGGATTGCAATATAATGTTAGACGCAACAACAGGGCTATCCAAAGTTTTATTAAATTACTAGGGGTGTGAATGTAATTCTAATTTTCTTTTCTTTCTTTATTTGGGTGCTTATTCTAATATTCTTTTCCTTAAATTCGTGACCCGTGAGCCAGTCCACTTACCGACACGACAGCAACAAAAAAGTAGAAGCCAGTCACATGGGTGCTCTGTGTGTGTTCCTCGCAAAGTTGGTAAGGAAGCGTGTATTGTACGTTATACTCGCTCCGGTATTGAATCGTATACGGTTTTAATGCATACGACCAGAGGAAATACGCGTGAAAAACACCACCGCACCGAAAATTTATTTTTGGATATCAAATAAAAAAAATTTAAAATATAATAATTATTTTTGGGTATAGCTTATGTATATATGTAGCACTAATTAGTACATGCATAAGCCTTTCCACATCTATTCTAAAAACATAAATAAACACAGATTAATCGGCCAAATCATGATTAAGTTTATTAATAAGGAGAAATTTAAGTTTCATAAAATCAAATTACCAATTGAAAATTTCATTATCTATTATGACTTTAGTATTTTGTATTTCCATCGACTCAGATTTGTATTGTTATCAAGCTTGACAAGTTCGTGATTAGGATTTTCTTAATTTTTTTGGTACAATGGAAATGAATAGAGATGCTAGAGATATCAGCATTAAACAATGACCCAATTTGGCTTGAGAATTTATGAAGTTCTGCAAGTTTTTCTTACTGCAGAATTCTCAAATTAATTAATTTATCGGCACACTGATTCCCTTCTCCCAAAATGTGTTAGAGAACTATTAGTTTGTTCTTCATCAATTTCTTACGTTTCTCTATCAAAAATTTATTCTCATCAACAATTACTACTAGTAGCGAGCATCTTTTGGATAATGTTAATTGATCCATTTAATGTAAATAATTTTCATTTGAATTTACGCTTAATGTTAGTTAAAAGAGGAAGAAAGGTATATATTGATCTTATAATTTATTGTCAAAGGCTTGATTATAAGTTTGGATTGACTTTAATGTCCATTGAGTTTTACCAACCCTAGACCAGATTCACGTGGACCCAATTAGTCCTGATTAGGCAGCCTAACTTTGTGACATCAGCCAAACTTTTAGGGCGAGTATGCTCTTTTTTTGTTTTTCCTTTTTTCTTCTTTTGTGGAAAGTATGGATTGCTTGTGATTTACGATAAGCATAAAGCTGTATTGACGTTTGGATTGGTTTGTTTAGCAAGATAATTATAAAAAGTGCAAAAAAAATATAATTTTTAATTTTTAAATATTTTTAGTTGATATAAAATAGAAAATAGTGATTTTTTTTCATACTTAATTAGATTTTCTTAGAACTAATCAACTTTTTTTCTAATAAAAAACAAAAAAAAAAAAAGATTAAAAAAATGTGATCTATAATTTAACTTTATATTTTATCCTTATTTTTTTAAAAATATTTAATTTATTATTAATTTAAAAAAAAAAACTTGGTATGAACTAAATTAATCATATTATTCGGCGTAGAGATCTAGGTTCAGGCCAAACCACATCCCAAAATTAAGTTAGTAGTTATTTTTTTTAATATAATAAAGAGTAATTTAGAGAATTAAAAAAAAATTGTGTAACTTTCTTTTCTTTCAAATAATGAAGTAAACAAATTTTAAATTTTTTTTATACTAATCAAATATATACATTATTTTTTTTTTCAATTTATTTTCAATTACTTTAATTTTTTATTATTTTTTTTTCCAAACCAAACAAACCCCCAAGAAGTTCACACCCGGTGTAAGGTTATAGAATCCTAGAGATACAGTATCAGAATTGATCAAAACTAACAATAAAAAAATATAAAATTTTACAGATTAACCCATTTTCATTGTATAAAAATTGAAATTTAAAAATAAAATTTTGATAGCATAATCGAACCCACTTGAGGAGAGAAAATTCAATACAATAGTGTCAACTAATAATAAAATTTCAAATGGGTTTAACTAAATCTTACTTGGGTAACTATCTATATAATAAAGTATAATGTAATTTAAATTTCAAAAAAATAAAATAAAATAATATTTATTTTTTGTGGTTGATATCATTTTAAATTTTACTTTAAAGTTAATTCGACGGTTAATATTAATACTTCAAATTTAATAGGGTTGAAAAAGAGACCCTTGAGGGTGTGTTTGAGATAATTTTTTAAAAAATATTTCTAACACTTATAATTTTTCATAATTACTTTTAAAAATAATAATTTTTGAAACCACCCCATGATCACCACTACCATCGCCATCACACACCCCTTTGCCACAACAACTGTTAGAGATAATTAGTAATGTAAAGAATCCCACGTTGAAAAAGTTAAAAGAGAATGTAAGGGTTTAAAAGGAGAAACACATTAACTTTTATAAATTTGGATGGTGGAAAAATTTGGAAGGAAGCTCCAAATATTTCAAATCAATGGGCCTTGATAACACTTTAAATAAAATAATCTTTAAAGTCAAAAGATGGGCACTTGAGGCATCTTGGGATTGAAACCTTTAAATAATTGATTAATTTTGTATTAATTAAGTGTTAAATGTTTTTTGGCCCAAGAGTTGTGTCTCCTCTATACATCTCTTTTGGCCCAAAAGTTGTGTCTCCTTTTTATATCTCTTTGGCCCAAAAATTGTGTCTCCTTACTAAGATATTATAAATACCTGTACAGATATTTCAATTGAGATATAGACAAAACAAACGTTTCTCTATTTTGTTCTTGGAAGAATTTCAGAGTTTGCTATCTGAAATTCTGTTTGACTTTGTTAATCCTAGAGGAATCTGTCATAAACCCAGCAGCAACATAGTGAGGGCATAATTTCCTTAAGGACAGTGAACACACGATCAAAGCCTTCTAATTTGGTGAAATCCTATTTTTGCTAACAATCTTAAGGAAATTAAACAACAATGGAGGCTACTAGTTCGATTACTGGTTCAAATTCTGTTTTCAAGTTCAATCCCAAAGTGTTCAAGTTAGATCGTCTTGATGGAACGAACTTCACACGCTGGAAGGATAAATTATTTTTCTTGCTTATTGAATTGGGTGTTGCGTATCTGCTAAGTGAAAATCTGTCAACTATTCCTGAACCATCTAACAAAGAAGATGAAGAAACTATTGCAACTCGCAAGAAACGCATGAAAGATGAAGTT